TAAACCTGGTAAAATATTATCTAATGCTACGGAAAACCGCTGAAGGTTTTGACTGCGGACGAATCGCTTTCCGTTCGTTCCCACCGAGCATTAGATGATATTTTACCAGGTTTGTAACACGATCTCATGACGGTTTGATAGGTCAAGTTCACAGTAAACAGAGGTGACTCGTGGGATCGGCTGCAAAATTTTCGCTTCGCTTGCCATCACAAATAACTCTTCTGCGCCCTCTGATCGAGATTGCGAGTGATAGTTTGTGATCATTAGGAGCTTCAGTTGAGGAAAAACAGTTCTTTAACTTCCCTGCGTCCACAAACACGAGTGTTGTAGTTGTATTAACCTACAGTAGCCTGAGAAAAAAGCCGATAATTCTTCTGATTGGTCCTGCTACGAGGGACATTTGTTCGAACCAATCAGAATTACTATCCAGATCTGGGTAGTGACACGTCATTAGTATGGAATTTCTGCGTTCGTTCCCCAGACGCAATTTGGCAATAAATTTAGTGGCGGCCTCGCGAAACGTCGGCAGTTTTCTCAGGTTAACTTTTACTTATACTGATTTTAATTTAGTTTCGGTTTATGAATGTTGAAGCGATAACGAAAAGTAATCAAATGCGATACAGCATAATGAAATTTACCAACGATTATAAGTTGAGCTCACGGCCTCCCCCTTCAGTAGACCGTCACTTTTCAAACTGAAGTAACGGGACGACGATAGGTTTTACATCATCTAATCTTACACTTTGAGCCGTTTTATTTTCCATACCGCAAACTTATATATTACGCTTGGGTTACCAAGGCATTTACCTGATTGCTCACAGTAACGGCCGTGGTACGCAGTCGTCTCACAGACACACTCGGTCATGGTTATCAGATCCACGCAAGTGCCGTTATGTAGGCAGATGTGTTGATTCCGTGAGCAAGGCTCCCCGCTGCAGTTTCCTAAAACATGCAGTGAGCTCTGTAACTTGGCATTCTCAAATGGCTTGCTTGCACTGCTGTATCTTAAGAGAGCCACACACCCTTTAAACCAGCTGTAACAATGCAATAAACGTAACGTTAAGTCAAGGTACCTACAATAGACCTTGTTCACGGTACCTGCCATCTTTGCACGTGCTTTAGGACTGATGGGATAAGGGCAATGTCACGTGGTTTCTCAGGAGGCAAACAAGAGATAAAATTTGCCAATGTAAGAAATCGCGGTCGAGTTTCACCTTAAAGATGATAATGAAAAATTATACCGTGTGAAAGTGATCATTGTTTCTTTTCTAGATGCAGAAGGGACGGTAGATGCTCTCACAGGAAGCAATACTGAAGTAAAAGTAGTCGAAACGCAATTTGTACATTTTGCAAGACTAAAACTGTCGCCCCGTCTTGATAAAATATAAACAAACTCGACTGTGATTACCCGTATTGGCAAATTTCATTACTTTTTTGTTCCCTGAAATACCACTTGACATTGTATTTATCCTATCAGTCCTAAAGCGCGTACAGAGATGGCGGGTATGGTGTATAAAGTCTATTACTCGTCTTCTACTCATCTACAGTGCAGTACATATTCGTTATTTACCAAGGGTGAGGACAAGATGGCTGAAACTTTGTCTCGGTCCATAAAAACACAAACAAGAATCACAGCCCAATATCCAGTCATCTTGACCGAACAAGGTTGGGCAATGAAGGATTTATTACATGGCCATAAAGATAACGTTTTCTTGCGGGACTAACGCGGGAAATCCCTAGCGGGCAAGATGGGTCCATCTTGCCTGCTCAAGTAGCCAAGCAGAACACAGGATTCGCCTCACCTTACCCGCTCGCAGATTCAGCCATATTGTATCATAATATATATGACTTACAGTTTACAGGATAACTTCAAAAGCCAAAATGGGTGCTGCAATTCCCGGCTCTCGTTTAGACTTTGAAATCCAACTTAGTTGCTTGGCTTTTGCGATCCATTAAAACAGAAACTATTTTCTTTATTTTCACAAAAGTTAACTTTAAAAATGAATAAAACATAATAATGGAATTTTAGTCCTCTTGATTACACTGATATGAAAATACATTAGAAATTCGTGCGTCACCTTGGGAAAATATCTTCTCCTCGTTATTTTCTCACTGTTTTGCAGACCATTAAAACAGCGCAGATTTTGGTTCAATAAAGATTGCATTTCTCACAGAGGTTTCACATGTTATTATAACTGATAGCATTTGAAAAACGCACCAGCATTTGTAGAAAATGGTCATAGACTTTCGCATTCAATATCAATAATTAATAAACATAAAGTGAGATATGAAAGCTTGCGCCTTGATATAATCATGGTGGCATTAAACTGACTCGAGCGAATCTTGAAGTATGAAGCAAGTATTATCAGCTGCCCTGCTTGAAGATCGGAAAAAATTCATTGCAACCACCTCAAGTTTGGCGATCCAAGCCGTGCAGTGTGGACTTCAGTGAATAGATCAATTGTGGTCACAGGTTTCAACAACTCTCACGCAAACGTCTACTGTATGTCAGGCAAGATGCTACAATCGTCTAAGGCCATGTGGAGTTATACCTTATTAAAATTTTTCGTTGTATTCCTGATCGATTTATTCTGTCAAAAAAACCGATAAACATAATACTCTCCACTTAACTAGGTGGACTTCGTAAAGACCAAACTCAACCAGGGGTCAAACGTTATTCTTTGAGGATGACATCCTTAAACCTTCTTATTTGTATGATCTATTTTCTAAAACACTTTTCAAACTTCCAAAATTTAATGTGTCTATGACAACAGATTTGATTATATATCTAGCCGTCATTTGAGTGAAAAGGCGTCAAAAGGTAGCTTTCTTGGGCCTGATAATCCCCAAATCACACTAAGGAAAGGAGAAAAAGAAAAAGCCAGGAGGAAGAAAAAAGGAGGAGAAGAGGATAAAAAACAATAGTTGCACTCTTAGTTTTTATAATGCCTACTTTGGCCGGAAAAAATACTGTTGGACTCGAACGGTCCTCTTTGCGGTAAGGTTTTCAAAAATCCGACTAGATATATATAAAAGGAAAGATGATCACACACGTGCCTAGAGGAAGGCGCGTGTATAATATATCTACAGGTGCAATCACTACACATCTCTCAGCTTACCTGTTTTCTCCCGTCACTTTGCTTGGAAGCCCAGTGAGAGACCATTTTCCAAAAGTGGGATTCCCTTGCGAGTCTAAAACCGGAATCCCTCCAATAAAAAGAGATTTCTTCGCCTTGCCGGTCGGTCCAGCGAGCTTGGGGGCTTGGACGCAGTTGATGGAAGGAGCTGAGATGTTACCCACGCTAAAATTGAGCTGTAAATCCTTTCTTGAAATTGTCAGCTTGTGCCAAGAACCATCTGAGAAACTTCTGGGAATTTGGACCTGGAAAGGCGAACATGTATCGCCTACTACCTTCAGTCGAGCATGTCCATTAGCCAACAATGATACTTCAAGGTAGCCTTTGTGGCCGGATCGATCATCTACACCAGTGTCCTGGTAAGCCAGCAAAGCCAGTTTTAAGGCTGTTGTTTTAAAGTAGAGTTGAAGCTGACTGGTTTCAACCATAGGCCAACCACTAAATTCTGCAAAGTTGCCCCCTTCTGTCCCCGGCCTAAACTGGCCGCTAAATCGTAATCCTGCCATGGAGTCCTCCATTGCCACTGACCACGAAAGAAACAAAATCATGCTTAAAACATTCATCATGTTAACAATTCAACATAACCCAATTTAGTAACACTTCAATTTAAAAAAAAACTCTCAGGAAAAGAGAACAACAAATTAAAGAGTTTGTCTGCTCAGAAGGCCTCTCTCTAGGGCAAATCAAATAAAAATAAGCAAAAAAGATCTAGATCATCCATCTCGTCAGTCATAAAACCACAATTCAATACAATTTCATTTGTTCACTGGATTGCTAAGAAGCGATCTCTCAAGATCAATATCAAAAACTAGAAAGCCCACGACTTCGTATGCAAATGTTTAAGGTCATTAATTTCGTATTTCTAAAAACCGATTTTATTTGTTCAAGTCGGTACAGGGTACAAGTGGCTTGAACTTCCTTAACAAATTTCTGTCTTTCCTGACCAATGAACTCATCTAGGCTGCAACAGAAAAATTCTAATCTCAGTTTACAAGAAATCAGTACTGCTTTGAAATTTTACGGGAGCCTTTTTGACATGAGTCTTTCGGTATCTACTAACGGATCTTCCAGGCAAATTCAAAATTGACGAATCTTGAAAAATTGGCATTTTAAATCTGTTAATGCCATTTTTTTATTCCATGTTCTTAAAAAATTAAGGAACATGGAATGTAAATTACTTTTTTTGCCACTTGAAAGGTAATTAAAACTGTAACATGTGATTGAATCCACGGAAATGAATTCTTTTTTGTCGATACTCTCGCTAAAAAAAATGCATTATAATTTAATTATATATGTGTTCTATAATGGGGTTAATCAATTCTCGGGATTAAAGTAAATGCAATTTTTTTCTGACGTAAGTAGGTTTCAAAAAAATATTTTAGCAGCTCCAAAACGAAAACGGTGGTGAATGTGTAAGTAATGTATAAGTTGATAACTTTATCAAGCGTGACAGAGGAATTGTTATCATTGTTTCATTATTCATTCTCAAACTCATTAATAATTCATAAAGAAAATTCAAAGGAAATTAATGTTTAATGAGTGTTTGGATATCGGATGAAAAACTGCTCATTTTTGCATCCTTAATTTCTCCTTCAAAAATGATTTTGTTTGAGAAGAAATATCAAACATTCGACACAGTGTTTCATCGCCAGATGAAACACCTCGAAGTTCGTCAAAAATACTCCGCTACGCGTCGTATTTTCAACTCTCTTCTCGGTGTTTCATCTGGTGATGAAACACTGCGTCTCATGTTTGATATATTACTTCCTAACAGTAACGTATTCAAATTATACTACCACTTTATCACAAAAAATGATGGTAAAAATAAGCGGATAAGGTAATGGTAACCAAATACTCAATGTCAAGCTTGTATTAGTCAAAAGGCTTTCGTACTGTCCGGCTTATTAAATTAGTCGATTTATCTGAATTCGACATTTCTCGCTGAATGTTTTTTTTCATTAACTACATAACTGATTGTGAGCCTAAGGGTGTCAATCATAGGACAAAACTACTCTTTTTAGAAAACAGGGATGGCAAAGTGTCAAGAGCACTCGCCTCTCGACAATGTGGCCTGGGTTTGAGTCCTATCGCCAATCGAGACCATATACGGGCTGAGTTTGTGGAACGTACGACGAGGCAATAAATTTAGTTTGATTTCTTTAAAGGTGGATCATGCCGTAGAGTCGTAGGTGGCCATTATTAAAACTTTCGTTTAATAACTACTGTAAAATCGCCACTAAAAACCGTACTTTTATGAGGGAAGAAACAGTGACGAGTTACATCTTTAAAAGTTGTTTCTATATTCAGATTTATTTAGCTTATCCCGACTACTGAAATATTATCCGTATGCCGTCACAGTAATTAGACAAAACAATGAGATGAACATCACAGATTTTTCCATTTTCCTGAGCTTTAACTGACTTATCGTCTTTTTGTTTCCTGATTATCGTGGGAGAAATGTAATTTATTGAGCTTTCCGTTCTCGCTTAGCGCACGAAACTTTATTTGTGCATCCAATTTTTTCTCTCTCTCTAAAATAATAAGAGTATCTAATATAACCACAGGTCGTTGGAGATTTATATACTTTTAGTTTATCCTGACGGAATTTTGAAAATCATAGAGGAAAGAAATCTCTATAGTTCCTACCTTGAGAACAATTTGAACCGTAATACCCAGTTCCCTTGCAGTCGCATTCTCTCCGAACAACCTTGTTGACACATTTCCCGCCATTGTAGCATTTCCCAGTAATACTTTTGTCCTTGCACGCGTTACGGCAGCCTGGTAAAGTACGTTCACTTTTAAGCAGGCGAGCACGGCGAAACCTTTTTACTCCTACGGAGTATTTGGGGGTTTTTATACAGCCTTCAAATCTACAAAAAGAAAAGAATAATACAGCATATATATATTTGAAGTTCATTTTGATTCCATTCCTAGTAAATACACTCGACCACATGGTACTATATATTATAGAATTATTGAATAATGTATGTGATGATTTTTGAAAATCAAGCGTATTCTATCACAAAACCAAGAATCCTTTTAAAGCGAAATTTGTAAGAAATATAGTTTTCAGCAGGCTCTAATACATCATGAAAGTAAAATCTCAGTAGGATCGGCAGCCTTCTCGTAATTGTTAATACATAAACTATAGTATTTTTGTGGACTTTGTTTTTCTTTTTTTTTTCTTTTCTGTAAACGATAACAGTTACCTGTAATGAATTGTAAATGTAATGTATTGTAATTGTTTGTGCGTGCGAAATAAATAAATAATAATAAAAAAAAGGATCCATAGTTTTGTAGTTTGAATTTTCGTGACGTCTTGTGAAAAGCATCAGTAGCTTTTAATGAGCAAATTTGATGAGAACGTAGTTCTCTGGCGTAGAAACCCGGTGCATCGATTTTGTCATATTGGGGTCCACTGTATAGACTGTAAATGTACCTCTATGATCTTCACATGGTGCCATATCGGATGTCAGTTTTCACCTTTTCCTTTTGAGCAATCCCATACAGCCCATTTAGCCCGAAATTTGGGCGCCAATACAACTCAACTTCTAGGTAACTAAGTAACTGCTTTGAAACTGAAACACCGTGAAATTCAGCTTATAAGCCCTCACCCCCCCCCCAGCTATAGACCTATCTATCAATAAAAAAAAACTCTAATTAGAAGCCTCTTTCTAGCTTGTATTGAAATAAACTCGAATTTTTCGAAGTTTTGACGCTTAAAAAAGGGAGTAAATTCAAAAAGTATTTTGATCAGCACTCAGCTATGTAGCTTGTTCTGAAACGCCTTTTTTTGTTCTGTTAAGAGCCCTAAGACCCCCCCCCTCCCTGTTTACATAAGCCCTCCTAAAACACTTTGCGAAGTAGTATAAGCTCCGCGCTGAGGAGTCGCAGGCAACTTACCTTCCACTTATAATTCAATCCTTGGACTTGTTGAAAAATTAGCTGACAAAATCCGGACATGATAATTTTATCTCTTTACACAAGACACGAATGTTTCAAAGCTTTAATCTTTAATCGTTATTTATACACCGTAAAAAATTCATCAGGTACCATTAAGAAGATCAAAGGCTTTCCACTAAAGATAAAATCGTTTCGAAATACTGAAACATACAAAATGTCCGGGAGGGCTCCATTCACCCCTCCTTGTACCACGGTGGGGGCATGAATTTGCGTGTACGTCCGAGGGTCAAATGTGACATGTACAGCGCGTTTCGTGAAAGTAAGGCTCTTAGTAATAAAAGCTAAGGCCATTTTCACAAAATACCGTATAACCCTTGAGCAGACGCGAAAACCATACCAGATAGGGCTTCTGCTCAAACATAAGAACGATCATTTCGGTACAATTTCTGAAACGGAGCGAAGCTGCAGCGCGCCGATCTTAAAATTAGTGGAAATAGGTTTCTGCCACGACCACTCTTCGCCGCGCGTGTGAACCGGCTTTCGGACCGCAGCAGAAAAAAAAAGTAGGAGCGGGGGGAGGAGGGAGGAGGGAGGAGGGCATAATACAATCACAGATCACATGCAAAAAAGCCAGAATCTGGACTTTTTTGTGTTTGGATAGGAAAAAATACGAATGATTTGCGCTGTTCCGATTGGCCAAAATGCCGCCATCCGTTAGTTGTTGTTGATTTCAATCTGCATTTTTGCTTGCGTAATGAGTAGTGAATACACACGCGAGTTCGTTATGAAATTTCTGCCGGCTCAGTTTTCTTGAATTTGAAGAATATCTTAATAGAAATTTCATCCATTGAAGTATTTTCCGTCTCATCGTATACTAAAAAATTGCAGTCAAAACTTCACCGATCATTTGAATGCAATTTGATACCGGCTACAAGTTACAGAAGCGACAAACGGGTTCACTTTTCAAATAATCAATTCATGAATGGAATCTTGACCTGGTTTGACTGTAATTCCTCCCTCAGAAACCTGCGAATTATTCTGAGCGATCTTCGCTTTCACAACACTTTTCAGTTCGTGAAATATGGTGCTTCAGCCTAATTTTTTTTCACTGCTTTCGGCACAGAACGAAGTCAACGAGCTTTTACCAGTAAATTGTTTATCATTTGTAGCTGTTAAATAAAGGTACGGCAGCTGCAGCTAGCAGTATTTCATTACAAAATACACATTTAAATTTTCTTTTTTAGGAAGCACCATCTGAACATGGACGTACTTAAAAATTTCTTTTCCCTAAAATTGATTTCAAAAGAGGCATTATTGGCGCCAAAATTTGATTCCCGTCTGGTAAACGCTGATTGGCTAATAACATGGCAGGTCAAGCAGACGTTAGATTATATAAATTAGGGGGCGGTTGACGGCTTGTTAAATGAATGTATCAGGCGTTATTTTTTTGCCCTCTCGAGCCAAAGAAGCAAAAAAAAAAAATGAATAACGCCCGATCTCAGGTTAGGCAGGCTCTGGTAGGATGTTCGGTGTGTGTGACGACTGTTCCATTCCTGTGCCGTTACCGTTCATAGTGTATCTGACAGCTTTTCATGTCGGCACGAAAAGCTATCCGATAGAGTGTAGACATAACCTAGTGTGTAACTGCGTCGGTTTAACAGTGTAAATTATTGGCTTCATCAGTCAGATCAGTGTGTGCGAGGTGGGAAGGGAGGACACAAAGAGTTATTCATGTACAGTGGATCCGGTTTTTTACGTAGAACAACAATACAAACGCGACTGTATATTAAACGGGGTTTAAGGTTGTTTCGCTAACGAGTCTTTTCGCCTTCGTCCTGTTCGCCGACGTACGTCTTGAGTCTTTTCGCTGTACTGTGTTATAAGTCGTTTCGCTTACGTGTTATGGGTACATACATACATACCTACATATACATACATACGTTTATTGAGACTCCCTTTACAGGGCTTTTCAGTCACAATGGGCTAACTATATTGAACAACTAACTAGATACAAGAGAAAATTACTAAACGAGTCAACTAATTTTAAGTACTAAAAGGATGAACGTCATTTTAAGAAAATATTTATAGGTCTCTTCTTAAAAATTCGGCAATCTGCTACTTCCTTCACGTCTTTGGGTAGTTTGTTCCAACAAGTACCCCCTTTAAAGGCGAAAGATCGCTGCCCAGTTTTTAATAGGTCGTTTCGCAAACGAGCTACTAGCCATTTTTCTAACATCATGTGAGTAACAATTAAAAAAATCGACTTGACGGAAATACACGAAGAAAAAACGTTGGTATCACATTTCTGTCAGTTTTCATCTGCATGCTAGCACAAGTAGGGCTCCCAGCCCAAGGCCAGCAACTGCAGCTACACGCCAGCAAATGTTGTCAATTTTTTTTGGATTTTTTCGGGAGAAAAACCTGAAACATGTAATTTTGTTTAAAGATTTCTACTAAAATTTACAAAAGAAATTAGTCAAATTAGTCAAATTAGCCGTTAGCCAACCTATAACCAAAAAAACCGTGAAAATATCAATCGTAAGCCGTAACGATTTTGAACAACTGAAACAGAGAAAAAAATCAGAATTGCTTCGGCATGTAGGAGAGGAAGTGGGGTATTGGTGCTGATCAAGAAAGGAAGTCGAAATCGAGTGTCTTTTATTCGGTTGCATGCACGCATTACCCTGCTGCGGCTTAATTTAGTACATTTATAAGCAACGGTTTGAACAATTAATTGTTAATGTTTTTTGATATAGAGACGGGAAAATTTGACAGCAATTTCAGTTTGTTAAGAATCCGTCTATTTCCTGTGCTACAAAAATTGTTGTGATGCTGTGATTTTTTTCCTAACGTAGAAACGTCATTTTAAGTGCGGTTTTCTCTTAGTCTCAAGGTGTTCATACAATATAAACATCATGTGATGCCTGCCTCAAGGAAAGGCTTTCCCGATATTTTTTAATTTTATTTTCATACCTGTTAATTCACATCTTTGAAATAATCTATAAAAAAAAAAGACTCGCGGCATTAACTTACCCGCCATGTTTCAAGGAAAGTTCCCAAGAATCACGGAACATCCACTTAATTGGCTGGAGCCATTCCTCGAAAGGAAAACTGCTGACATATAACTTCTTAAAGCTAGTTTCTTCAACTCTGTTACAAATCTTGAAAGAGCTGGCGTTGCGGTTGTCTACTGTTAGTAGCACTGTTTCGGGAGTTCTTTTTAAGATAATTCTGTGCCATTCCAGGTCGGTAAAAGAACCGTTTATAAATTGTTTTCCTTTACAGCTGCCTATTGTAAGCCGAATTCGCAGCTGTCCTCTCAACAAGAACGCATCTATAAAGTTTGCCCCTTCATCATCCATATAGAAGAGCATTCCGTGCTTTTTCAGCGTTTTGAATTGGAAAACAAGAGTTGAGTTGTCAGTGGTAAACTGCCGCACCGAGAAAACGGAGTAAGCAAACTTGCTGTATTTTAACGTGCTGTTCGTTTTGATCCTTGGCATCAACCTTCTTCCATGACCAATTTGATGGCAGATGGTAATCGCCAAAAACATCTCTACGCAGCACAAAATCTTCATCTTGCAAGTTGTAGACACGTTAATAGGTTTCACCTGACACTTGTCAATCCCAAAAGGAAAATATAAAGCTCCTACTAAATCATCTGGAATTGAAGCTCATCAACAGAAGCACGGTTTTCACTCATTGCATATCAGTATAACAGAAAAAGTCCGCGAACAGACGTTTGCAGCACTCGGAACTAACCGAACGCGATAAGGTTGCGGTCAGGAATAGATTTGGAATTCAAATGACCTCATCTTGACTTTTCTTTTGACAGATAGACGATTGACAATAATTTCAAAATACTTGAACCGATAATCGTTTTTGTGACCGAACAAGTTTTATTTTAGCTTCTTTAAGTTTAATTCGTTAGAGGACAGTCTTAAATGTTCAAAACGTCCGAGAATTACTAATAATTTTTACATTTTATAAGAAGAAATTGCTAACAGAGTTTCCCCTGATTGTATGCGTGACATCCAAAAGACGTATTACGGACATACGGAAAGTTCTTTCTTCGCACACTACTCTTTTGCCTTTGTCTGGTTTTGCCGTACCTTATATGAGCCCCCAGTTTAAGCTCACAAATGTTCAAATGCATTCCAGTTAAACCGTTTAAAACGGCTTTTTAAAAATCCTGCCAGAGTGCTAAATATTGGAACTCTTGGCACCAAACAGATGCGTTTACTCCAATTAACTAATTGAAAGTTCTTAAGTCGCCGCTAAATTTGTGTCATACGAAAATCCATTCATTCTTACTAACTTCAACATGCACCATTTTATGTCAAAATGCCGTTTTAACAATTCAGTAATACAAAAGTATTGTCACTCAAAAACTTGTTTGAAAACAGGCAGATATTTCAAGCCCTGAGAAGCAGCTTCTGATCCGTTTCAGAAGGACCAGAAGAGTTTCTTAAGCAGATCACAACCTCATCCTGCTCCATGAGTTCGAAGACTGCTTCGAACAACGGTATACACCCTACACGAGTAACCCATTTCAATCAGTACCTTCCCTATTGTGCCTTGGTCACTTTGAACTAACAGGAGCCGATTTCGGGTACCAGCCTGTTTCATAGAAGGTCCTAGGTCGCTCGCTCAAATTCTGAACGAAAGCGATCGACAGGGACGCTGGTCTCGTTTAAAGGATATGAATGGCAGATTTTGCGGGTCTCACTTTGGGTGTTCAGGAAGGAAAACTAAGACTTTCCCATACATTTATTGCTTAGGTTAGACTTAAATATCTGTACAAAAACGTTTTCATTCTGAAAGACTTAAAATGAACCTTAGCACGGCCCCACCGACACGGACGAGGAGTAAGACAAAATATGCATCCCCTTCCCGTTCATATGAGAGTCCCGGAGGGAGAGTGCCCGACTGAACGAATCCGTCGGACCATCTGGAATTTTTGGGCTATCTTCGTCTTAGGTTACGTTTGAAATCTCAAATAACCTCCTTGTCACATGCGTGCTCCAGAGTTGTTAAGGCAAGGTCGCAAAGATGGCTGCGTCTTTTACAGCTCTTAAAAGTGAACAACCAGCAAAGATGACCGCGTTTGTGGGAGCATTTATCGTGGGTAATAACTACATGTATACTAATAATAGCAGTATTTAATGATTACAATACAATAACATATAGTTAAAAGGTCCTAATTAGTTTCTTTACTGTGCCCTTTCTTCATGCCTATATCGACGTAGCGTCCTGATCAACACCAGTACGATCGTGCCTGCCAGAAATAAAGTCGAAGATATTTTAAGGTAAAAACTAAAAGACAGAGGTTCTCCTTTCGTAATCTTTCATATTGGTAAGGGACATTGCGAGATCAATAGCGTCGCCTCTGTTTGTACCAATTCTGAGGGCAAGTGTTTGTCCTGTGTTTCACGGTAGCCAGTTGATAGCTGATGGTCGATAACAATCGTGGCAAAATTATCCTCTGTGCGTACCCCACAAACGTCTTTATATGCCTCTGAACTTCCTGTAGGCTTTTATCGTATTTTCTCTTCACTTTCAAGGATTTTAACTCTCTGTTATTAACAGCAAATTTTAACATTCTTGATTGAAGTAAACAAAACTGAAACAACTAAAACTGTTAAAAACACTTGTTCATTGTCGATCTTGACTAAATTTTGGTGTTCTTTAAAAGCGACTTGACAACAATGTCTGTGGACTTATCGATCGTGGAGAGTACGGCTCAAGGGAGACCATGACGAATAGAGAATCCCCAACTTTGGCTCGCACTTCGCCCTCACAAACTCGGAATATCAGAGCAAGTCAAGTTTGCTTATCCTAAAATGGTATCAGCAAGCCACACATATAAGAACAGTCATAAAGATACAAGGCTTTTGCCGTAGTAGCTGTTTCTCAGCAGTTTTTTTACTGGGCATAAAAAGGCCAACTACTCTGTACAGCAACTAAAGAACCAAGACAGAGCAAGACACATGAGCCTCTCGAAAAGAAAGCGCTACTTTTCTTTTGCATCACTGGAACTTGATTAACTATTGAAGAACTGAAAGGACCCGCAGTTGAATTGGAAGGTTTTGCTGATATTGAAATGATCGAACTTGAAGCTGAAAAAGCAGTGGAGCCACGCTGTCTGGAACTTGTTGAGTAGGCTTGAGTAGCAATATCCCGGGATGGATTTGTAGCAGTATTGAATAAAGAAGCTGTTGCTGCCAAAGCTTTAATTTGCCTCGAAGACATCAGATTTGGTGTGACTGTCGTAGAAAAGGCGTCAGTTTTGTTAAATCCAATCGATAAGCCTTTCTGTGCATGTGTGAGGTTTTCCCTGCAAAGCTCTTTCTCGACTTCAAATCCGGGACACTCGCATTCCTCGTCACTTTTTCCGACATCGTCAGTGTAATTGTCGCACTTCCCGCCAAATATGCATTGACTTTCACAGAAGCGTCCAGTCTCCAAGCTATTGCGCAGTGGCAGAGGTTCGGGTGGTTTTCCAGGTGCATTATGTGTTACCTGACCGATACACCCTTGAAACCTATCAGAATCAGAGTAATGATAATATTTCATTAAAGGTTAATAAATTTTGCTGAAAAAGATTGATCTGCAGCAGAATGAAGTATTTTTTCTTCGAGATCTTGTCAACTTGGTTCGTTAATGACGTACGGACGCTATTTATCTTTCATAACTAATTTCCGACAATTTAAGAAGTATTTATGGATTTATAATGTCCCTTCCTCCCTCCTGAATCTTTCCATACCATTAAGAGACTTTTTCTCTAATCGTCAGTACGCTCCAATTCGGGGCTAAAACATTATGTTCTCAATTTGAGAAGTCAAATGCCAATAATGCATGCACTGCCAAGACCGGGGTTGTGTTCATAGGCAAGAATTGAGAGTCCTCGAGCTACTATTTTGTCCATGTGAAGCTGTTCGTTTCTCAGTTTCCTCCATCTGAGAAATATAGAACTTTTGCACCCTAATTTATTTGGTTAATTCGTTCTTGGCCCTCCTTGAAATAAGTTAAAGCATAAATGTTTTACTCAGATTCAACTTACCCAGAAACGAGTGTCTCCTTAATAATGCTTGGTTTCGCCAACGAATTCCTCTTCGTGTGACTAGGAACTTTTCCAACGTAAAGAGCATTCCATTTTGTTTCCTTTGGTGGTGGAAAGGAACACGAGATAGACTGAGAATGACATCCATCCACTATAAGAGTCAGTTTGGTTTTTTCTTTTCTTAACTGAACTCGATGCCAGCGAGAATCTGAAAAGTTGCCTTTTATCAAGAGCGTCTCAGTATTGGAGCCGCACTCATCAAAAAGTACTCTTGCTTGGATTTTTCCATTGATGAGAAATAAGTCAAAGTTGTTGAAGTTACCATCGTCTTGATACACCAGAAACGCCTCTGATTGATGGGTGTTAAATAAAAACGAAAACGTGCCTTGCTTACGGCACGCGCACGGCTGATACACAGAGTACGCATCGTCCTCATGGTACGACAATAAAACGCTCTTGGCGTTTTTTCCTGGATTTGATGCATGGGCTTTTAGTGTTGAGTGGCAAAGGTACAACAGAGATGTGAAAAAACAAGTGGAATACAACATGGTATTTATGGGCTTAAAGTGCTTCTTGCGTCCGCGTATACCTGACTGCAGGAAATTAAACAGTTGCACTACACAGAACTGCTGAAATGCAGCAGGACAAAGTTGTTATCTCTTGAAAAATCTCATAAACAAAAAGGGATTCGCTGGGAAAAATGGGTTTTATTAATTAAAAATTTTGACTGAAATTATAATATGAATGCTTAGTAATATTAATGAGAATCGTACGACAAACAACCATGACTTTCAAATGGAGAAGGACCTTTAATATGAACTCGCCGTGTTTTATAACGTAATTAAGCCAAAAATTTATTTTCGTCTAACTCAGGCTCAGTTTGTTCCAGCTTATTAATGAGCGATAACAAATGGTTCTAAAAGTTGTTTTCTTACTCTTAAACAATTATCATGACGACTGAACACAGTTGTGGTTTATAATCCTTACTCAATGCAAAATTTACGAGTAAACACATGTCACTTTTGTCAAGTTCCCAATTGAATTGCTATGTTCTTTGTTGATTAAAGTTGATAAAAGCGTTTATTTCTTTCGAAATTCCTTTCGGTACAGACCGAAATTAAGCAGTAAAATTAAGCAATAAAGCAGTGATTAGGCCATAAAGAAACTACTGAAATGTCGGAGTTAACTTTCTTACAGAGTAAAGCAAAGCCCCATGATTAGCAATTCTGAATGACCAATTCTGCACTGCTTAGTGAAGAGGTAAGTAGCTTGAAGTAAGATCATATAGACATGTGTTTTGAATTCTATGAGCCTGAAACAATAAAGTTTTCGTTAGTTTCAACTGTTAAGAAATTTTTACGTTTAGTTTACGACTTCATTGATCAATTATTGAGTTCTCGGCATGAGGAACTCGAGCCACTTAAAATTGGTAACAAAAAAATCCACAGCCTTTGGCAAAGAATGGTGCAGGACTGGTTTAACTCGTTGTTCCGGTAAAATTTGGTCAGCTGTGAAATCTAAAACCAGCAGTTAGAAGTCATACTAAGGGTGCATATGCTGCCATTACGCCAAAAAAAAAAACAAATAAAAAAAATCTGCAAGTGTTATCTTATCTAGTCAATGGCCATAACAGGAATAACACCAGCCAATCGAACGTGCGAAAATTGTACTATAGGCGCTCTTTCTTATTACTGCGCGAAAACAGGCCATCTGGAACTTTTAGTTTATCGTAACAGTTCTACGGGATACGGTTTACAATCTTACAGGCCGTCAAAAAAAATATATCTTATGAGAGCAGCAACGAGTTATCATTTGTGGTTTTATCCTTCACCAAGAGAATGACTTCTTACGCTCTTGCGAAGAGTGAAAGCAAAAGTAATTGGGGATTTGTTTTCTTTTTTTCCATGATGTTTGCAAGCTGCTTCAAAAACGAACCTCTTTTTTTAATACATGTACCTGATTATTGAATGTCGCGTTTACCCAAAAGAGAATTCAAATTTCTACATTACGATTCAGACTTATTTTAGCTCCGTCAGTTGCATGATTGACGTATTTTGCTGAAATGTTTGTCCTGTCAGATGAGGTTCTAGAGATATAAAGCTATCATTTTAACTGAGTCACTTTCTGCGAACATTTGGTTCTTGACGATTAGAAAGGGAAAAAATTATCTGCTAAAAGTTCGTGCATACCTGGCGCAGTAATGGAACATGATAATTGTGGTTGTTCGTCTTGCCATAAATCATATATTAGATTTGTCTGTAAATCAGGTTTTCCTTATGAGGAATTTGAAGTACACTGTAATACAGCATTATATAGTATATTTGTTTCCAGCCACCAAAATCTACCTGAACCAAATTAAACACAAAATGAAATAGCCTGAACAGGGCAAATAGAAGAAACTCAACTCTTCCCCATGCTGTGCGGATACATGAGTTATGCATTTGAATTTTTAGGAAAGTTTATCCACCAGAAAGTTTTTATTTTTGCGGAATTGCCTCCGAAAAGTACTTAATCAATTTTTGTTTTGTTAGTTCTATGTCCTGGACTTTTCCAGGAAAATAAAAACTTGGTCAAGTGTTTTGTCTTTTTTTTTCTTTCGCAGCAAGGGAACAAGCTTAGTTTCTAGTGCCCGGAATGTTGACTATAATTATGCACTCATATACAGCTTGTTTGTACGATGATAGTGATGGCTTTGGTCTTGATGACACTGTACTCCGGGACAGTTCTGGGTACGTTTAGTTTTCATTTATTGGCTGGATGACGAGGTTGCGCGGGAAACTGAGTCAAAAATCATCTCCAGAACAATCGACCGACCCAGTCTCTTACACAACATAAATTTCAGCATTTATAGGAGAGAACCATGGGAACGAGGTTGCATAAAAATGACCATGGAATAATGAAATTCGAACGCTTTGAAAGGCTTAGTCATCAGCAAGTTTACAATCGATGTGTGGTATTCCGTTTCAAATAGAAATCTTTACAGTCCATTTTCCCTTTAAACCTCAATTACAAGCAGATAAGAAAAAAAATAATTTTTCGAAGCTACCGTAGTTTCAAATAGCCAATAAAAATAACAAATAAAAGAAGCTCATCGCAGTTATAGACGCAACGTTTGCGGTTGCAATAAGAAAGTCTGAAAAAAAATCAGGCTTGTACAGGATTCGCACCTTTAACCTCTGCAACACGGGTGCAGCGCACTAATGGCTCGTTATGACGAACTCATGTGCTAAACTCCAAAAATCTTCTTTCATTTAATTCTTCACCCCGCAGTTCCTATATATGATTTTCAATATTTATTATTCTATTGTCATCCTCTCAAGGGTTTATAACATAACGAACCAACTCAATGACCAGCTCCCAGTTGGCTTATTAGCTCAATTGGTAGTGCGCTGCACCGGTGGCGCAAACGTTTCTCGTATAAGCCTAGATCAGTTTTCTTCAGGCTTCGGGTTTTTTCCGGAATGCAAAAGTTACGTCTTCAACAGCGATGATCATTTTTTATTTAGGCTATGTTCATACTATACCGTCGGGTAGCTTTTGGTGTCGACACGAAAAGCTTTGCGGTAGAGCATGAACACATCGAACATCGCGCCGGAACGGTTTGCCGAGAGGGTTTGGTGAGCTAAATCCCAGTCCTCACCTCTGAATGTTTACTTTCGTCTCAGTGGATTCCAAACTTCAGTCCTGGCTCCTACTTATTCACTTCTTCTACGGTCCGTGATTTGCATTTCTTCAAGCCGTTTGTCAATTTTTTTGTGAATATTCAATTATCTTAGCGCAACGCGCCTAAAATAGATCAGGTGACTAGTTATTTAAAAACCTAGAAGTTTGTTACGCAACTTACATTTCAAAATGTCACCACCGATCGCACATCGAAGCTTACCAGCCGCATATGGAACACAAATTGAGAGTATAATATTTGCCCGTCGCTTCAACCGAAAAACCTTTTTTGTAATAGTAATTTAATTTTTCAGTTGACTACTACTTGTTGTGCTTCTACAACTACAAGTGCAAATAAATTCCATGTACGCGAAAATCAGTTAGTGGTGAAATCTTCAACATAAAGTAGCCCTTCAAACGCAGGAGCGAATCAGTCCAAATACCTGTTCATGCTACACCAAAGTTTGGCACAGAACCTATCTGATGTGTGACGCTCCACTTTTGAGATCGGCGAGGCGCAGCCTCGCTCCGTTAGAGAAATCGCGCCGCCACAACAGGTTCTTATGTGTGAGTAGAGGCCCTATTCAGATGATTTTTGCGCGTGCGCAAAATGTTTCCGGTATAGTGTGAACTTTAGTGTGAACATGACCTGAATTCTTCACCCCACAGTTCCTAGCAAAACAACAACTTTGCACGTGCATCACATGTTTTTGTACACTTCTTTGCCGTCACTGCACGACAACGACGTGAAAATGCCTAATTCTACGTTTTTTGGAGTACGTGAACACATGACAACGATTTTCTTTTTGCTTTTGTGAACTCAGATACAGTCCTTTAGAATTCAACTCCTGAAAAGTCGCCAACATTTGACAAATTAAAGGAGCTGGAATAAAGCGAAGTCACTTTTGGGTGACGTTTTTGCCGCCTTTGCCGTCGTCGTTGCTTAAGCTCCCTGTTTTCATACTTTCATTACTTCAATATTATCTTACGCTGAACGTGCCTAGACTGCGAGCAGTCTCTTATTTTTCTTTGCAAAGTTACTACACGCGAAACCTAAGCACGCGAGCGGCAAAACCGCGAGCCGCGAAGAACGAGGGCGTAAGTTCGACAAAGTCCGTCTTTTCTCGTCTCGTTCCAATCCCTCGTAATTTGCAATCGCGCTGGATGAGATAAAAACTAGACGGATTTTAAGAGAAAAGACGGACTGCAAGCAGTCTTCTTGCCAATAGGATTGTAGTACTATAAAGGGCATCCATTTTCAAAATTCCTTATTATATACCGCGACTGTTAGTTAAATGTTTTCCCGGCTCAGGATTGCCTAAGTTTTGGGCTTGTGCTAGATATATTACAGGTTGTTCTTTCTGTTATGAAGGTATAGCTTTCCTTAAGGCGATATTTGCGTCCTTATGGAAACATCTAAGACCTGTTGAATGCAGACACTTCAAGGACAGGGCTAAGTGTCTATATTGCTCTAAGAGATGTCCTTACCTTAGATGTAGTGATTGAAGGAAGTTTGGTATTGTTGCTTGGGAACAAGAGAATTACAAGGGGGGAGGCGAGAGGCTCCCTCCTCCCTCACTACGTTTTCCTGGGAGACTCAGTGTTCGCAAAGTGAATAAAAAATAAATGACAATATAACGTAATGACCTATTTTATTTTTAAAAATTAATCAAATAAAAAAATTTCGTTTTAAAACTAACTGTCTATTGTTTAACATATTTCGGCGTGAGTAGTAGTATTGACCAATCAACTTAACGTTTCAGCGTTAAAACGTATTAGAAATAGAACTTTTCCTCAGCTGAACTTACATTTAAATGTAGATTTTTTCAACTTTTGATAAAGAGCATTAAGCGCATATTCATAGGCTCTGCTGGAAAGAGGGCCTTAAAATAAGGTACCTTAAAAAAATTAAAGGTGATACGTCCAAAGAGAGGGAAAATATTTTTCCTCAAACTTGCCTCATACTTGCCCCTCCCCACCCCCTTGCATAAACGTCCGTAAAATTCTGCGACTTTGCGGAGTTATAATTCTTCTTTATGTTTCAACAAATCACTTTGAAATTCAAACTTGGCAACTTTCCAGTCATGTTGACGGATTTTTGCTTACCGATCCCAGTCAAAAGTTGAAAAAACCGTTGAAAAGTCTATTATAGAAATAAGGTTCGGTTTCTGAAAAGTTCGGAATCCAAACTAGGCCTACTGGTACAGTTTTTGTCAAAGAATAACAATAACAATATTAATTAATAATAATCAATAATTGTTAACAGCTGACAGCTACCTGGGTCTGTTTGTGGTTTATGAGGAACTTACAAGAAGAGGTGAGATCCATAACCGTCTAATTCTACTCCTTGGACAAATCGTGTGTCACATTAATTTAGCTAAGTTACTGAAAATTCGATTGTTGGATAATTGCTACCAGTTTTAACCAATCACGCGGGAAATATTCTTGGTTCTCGTTATCCACTAAAAACCAATGTTTTACTTAATATCTTTCTACATCACAATTCTAAAAACGTTTTAAAAGCGTTAATATTCGCTTTACAATCAAAAGCACCTTGATGAACACTCTTATTAAAAATTTGCGGGTTAATTAAGCTGAGAGTATAAAAGCCAGTTTTCAACTGAAGTGAAAAAACTACTTGACTCAAAAGTGAACTTGGTTGCATATTGATTTTTAAGAAACTCGGTGACCCAAATGAGTGGCTCATATCTCCAAAGGCCAAAGACTTGCACCCAGTGTAAATGTTAATAGGGCCCATGCACTCACAAATCTCAGAAATAACCATGGACAACAAAACACTAAATTCGTAAAAATAAATCATAATTTAAGTGAAAAAGCAGATAACTAATTTTGATGGTATATGACAAAATAGTGCATGTGAACGGTCATGATGAAGATGTCAAATGTTGCACAACTTACAAACATGCCACAATTTTTCACTGCGCGCAACACCAAACGATTGTCAAGATAATTTTTGTCTTTTTTATGATTTCTTTTTTTAGTAGTATAGGGCGCACCGGGTTTGGTCCTTTATTGAGGAGAGAACTTGCGGGGATATATTACCGTGGGTGACGTCATAAGTAAGCGTTTTATTGAGACAGGGTGATGTTATGTTCCATTTTTAAGTTGTATGAAATGAAACTTGCATAATTGCGTTACGGCTAAGTGATTTTGAAGTTATATACGGATTTACGCTTAGTAACCAACCAAACTGCTTTATGAAAACCTAAAAATTTCCAATAAACACCGCTCCAGTCAGCCAATCAAAAACTATTACGTCATCCTATCTTAACAAGCTACCTTTTTGACAGAGTTATCGACGTTAACTTACTCCCCTTCAAATTAATGTTATTCCCGCTCAACAAAAGTGTCTTACCACTGAGCTCTATACTACGAACAGTTAGATGTAAGGGGTAGACCAAACATCGAACTTTTCATAAGACGTTAAGTTTATGAAAAGTTCGACGTCTGGCTCAGTCAAGTTCTTCTGAATGAGTTTGGATCGTCCAACACGTTCTATCTGTCTGCTTCAGAAGGATAGAACGTCTGAACATCGCCTCCGGGACAAACGTCGATCTTCACATGCGACGAACTAAACTAGTAAATTATAAATTTGTATGATAATGTAAATTTAGCCTCGTTCGGGAGAAAATTTATTAAAATTGCTATTTGATCTGATTCAATTGATTAGTTCGACGCGTCCTAAGTTCGACGTCTGACTCAACAGACGATCTTAACTTAGTTTAGGTTGACCCAAATTACAGTTTGGTTCGTCTCATGAAAAGTTCGACGTTTGGCCTAAGCTTAAGTTCTCTTTCAGTTACCGTTTTCTTTAGGAAAAACAATTTTGACTTCTGGTGATCGGACGCTTCCACACAGTAAAATGGTAACGCAAAACCATCTTTCTCCTCTAATGAAACAGAGCGAATAACTGAGGCGCCTCTCTCAATTTGGAGTCAATCTTTAGGTCACCCTGAGTTATCTAATTTTGCAGAAGTATTTAGCCCTCTGGTGTTTTCTTTTACCAGGGAATCTAGCTTTGAGTTCTTAATATCCTATGCATCTGAATATTGAGAAATATTTTCTTAAATATGGTTTCGTAGGAAAACATCCCAGCTAAATTAAAGTGTTCTACGTTTTTAGCAGACTGCATGGCGGGCAGTTTCAGACAAAGTCGTTCGTCAATGTTGCTTTAATGGCTGAACTCATCCATATCTTTATAGGCGATCCAGACATTTGTTGGCCATTAAACGCGACTTTAACCCCTGAAAGCTTGGTTCACACTAGTTACAATCGTGTTTGTAGGTGAGCTAGATAAGCTATGCGCCTCACCAAACTGCGCACATACATTTAAAGAGACTGCTGCTAATACATGCGGTTTAATATTCATGTCGGGAGTATTACCACACTGAAACGTAATCTGAGCAACAAATACTCAGTCAAAATTTTAAGTCTTCACTCTGACTGCGCTACCAGTAAATTACAAACGCCAAATTTGCGCAGCATCGATCACTTCTTGGGAAGCAATTAAACGTATCCATTTCATCTCCATATATTGAATGACATAACACTTTTCCTTTATTGCAAAAAGCTATCACTCCTCGGGAGATGAAGCGATTTGTTGAATTTTCTCACCCTCTTAGTTGTCATAGTGATCGTTGCTATCTACCCATGACGCTTTGAAAACCCCCTTACACTTTTTCGTCAGGTGATTTGACATAAATTCGAGGTTTCGAATTATTCAGCACTTGTGCAATATGCTGCGGTAGATCTCCACTTGACGAAGTTTGCTCTGGTTTAAAAGAACCAGTGTACCGAGTATTCCAGCGATACAAGAAAAAGACTGTGAAAGATATAGCGATAGCGGCGGCTATCACCATCAAGAGAATTACCCAAAATGGGACCACCTGCGGCAGGGAGAGGTAGGCCTGAGCCACAGTAGGAGGGTAGTCTGAATCCGAAGTTGGTTCACTTGTTGACGACATCATATCATCTTGGAAAAACAGAAAAAATATTAATGTTAAAGACTAAAGCAGACATTTTTAAGAGGAAAGTTGTTCTGTCCTTAACTTTTACAAGTTGGAACCTCACGACCATCTATCATGATTTTCTCGGACTAAAACTACCTTTCAAGTATTTGTCTTGAAATACAACAATGTCACGACTTAACTTTGCACTGGCGCTTTTAGTTTGCGACTCAGCCAGGTGGAGTGAACACTATATAGGACGTTTGAAAGGTCATTTGCTGTTTCTGCGTGTTAGGTTTACACTGGTAAGATATTCAGTCATGGTCAGTGCGCAGACACTTAGTGTCCGTAAAGAGAGATTGACGAAGTATGCGATTATGTGACTCGTGACATAGAAAAGTGTTTGTTGTCCATATTAACCGGTGTCCGAGCTAAGTGGGCTAATTTTAGAGAGAATATATGCGCTTTTCTTCAAGACAAACGAAACTGTCCGTTATATGCGGTTGTCCGTAGAGTTAAGTTCCACTGTATAACCTACCTGTCGAAGGAGTTAGATCAGGTAGCGCACAGCTTGAATCCTCATCATCATCAAATGGATCACATCCCGACCCACTTGTCTCTATTATTGTGGCACCATCAATAACCCTCCCAACTATCTCAAATTGTTTGCTTTTTATCGTAGGTACAACATACTCCAATAGCTCCATGTCTCCATAGTAAAACTCTCTTAATTGTCCGGAGAAATTCATTTTTGTGTGCGATGTTTTGATGGCTCCTGTTGGTCCGCCACCCAAATACGCTTTATTTCTCTGGTCCTCACTGTTTAGTTGAAAACTCTTTCCTGGATTTTTGACATAAGGTAAAGTTTTTCCGTCGATTTTTAACGTGACTGCGCGACCAATCTTGTTAAACTCGATCCAATGCCAGCTGCCATCATCAAGGTGTACATTATTTCCATTGAAAACTGGCTCATCTGGAGACAAAAGGAAAGAATTTTATTTCCATGTATACTTTAGCAACGAGCAGAAACTGGGACAAGTTAACTTTCTCAAAGACTTCTGGGATTGCTACTAAGCACAGGGCAACCAAATTGGCCAATAGCTGAATAGCGCGTCCCCAGTAGCGATCCCAGAAAGTCTTTGAGAAAGTTAACTTGTCCCAGTTTCTAAAGTGGCGACAAATGAACACATTTAATTGTTTTAATATATAAACTCAGGCAAACCTACAAGTGGAGTTTCCATTTAAGCTCAATGGTTAACTTGAAAGAAGACACGATCCCACAGCAAGGGAATTTACAAATCTTTTTAACTTTCATTTTGTTTATGTGCAAAGAGACAAAAAATTTTATCTTTACACCGTTTTAAATCATAAACGCGAAATAATTTCAGTTATAATGCAACAATCACCAGAGCTTATCAGTTTCAAGTTAAAATTGCTTTGGTTTAATAAAAGAAGATACGGAGCTTATAAGATGGTACAAAATAATTCGAGGAGAAAACATACACACTAAGCAATAAAAGGTGAAAAAAAGTTCGGGCTTCCAAAGAATCGATCGCGAACTGAAAATCATTCGCCACCACTTAAGTAAGAAAAACAGATGAATATAAGAATATTTTTAAAGAAAAGTGATTTAGGTCTGAGTGAAAACAGAACTTAATGTAAAAACACAAACAAACAAAGAATCTTATTTAGAAAAAATATTGCTTACAGTGCGACTACTAGAACCAGGGCACTTGGAAGAAAATTGTCCTATCACAAAGATTTCTAAAAACAAAAGATTCTCAAGGTTTTAGGCAAGCGAGACAATAACGTTCATATATTTGAGGACTGTTTCCTGACAGGCCAGATTAGTTCAAACGCCGGCTTTTAAAGATTTCAACGGTTGCATAGTTGAAGGCCTTGAATTTAATTGCTCCGTTGCCGAAAAACTTGAGAGTCTTTTCTTTTCAGAAATCGTTGTGATTGGACAATCTTCTTCCAAGTGCCCCGGTTTGAGTTGTCGCACTGTAAATAATTTCTGCTTTCCCATTTATTTTGTTACCACTGACTTGGACCAAACAGCAGGCTCTTGGTAATCGAGCCTATTATAAACAGGGACATTTATCTTCTCACCGCTCGATACTATTTTGGGAGGTCCTTCCAGTACGTGATGTTCACTTCCACTGACTAGGTTACAGGGCATGCTGCTCGTATTATAAAGGCATCTAACATAACGTAATCTGCTCCTCAAATAAACATACCCCTATTTGAGTTTGGCGAGAAATAGGACGTTGCGAATATTTAAGAACAATAGCAAGAAGGCATATAGCTAGCAAAAGTTCTAACTAGCAAGAAACAAGGAGAAACCTTACCAACACCATTCAGGACAACGGAGATTATTAAATCCACATTTACCTTGTCCTAGGTTCAAATCCTCTACTCTCAACTTTCCATGGACCATCTCGATTAACAGATATTTATCAGACAACCGGAGACTGAAAATAACTCCGTTTGGGGTTTTTGTCCTCAGACTAAACGCCACGTAAGTGCAATTTGAATGCGACTTCTCCTCTTTGGGGTCCAGGGTATAGACTATGTAACTACTTCCATTCAGCCAAATAGATGCCGCCTCTAAAATTATAAAGCAAATGTTCTTCACTATTTCAATTTTTTTTTTGATTATTTTGATTTTATGATTATTGGGTTAAGCATCGCTCTTCGTCAACCCCAAAGCTTAGCAATGTCTTTGTTACATACTCCTGCTTAGACTTTTATCTCTTTGAACAACAATAATGGAAATGTTGCCATCAAGAGTCTGTAAGGGCCTGTCTAAAAAACGCCCGTCTGCCCCGCTTTACAGGGCTGGCCGGTGCGTTCTTGACGTTCTTCTCGTATATATAATTATAACGACAATTTTACAAGGAAAAAATAACCCAAGCCAGCCTGATAAAGAAGGCCAGCCCGACTAACCGGATTGGCTCAAGTAGTGTCAACAGGCCCTAAAAGTAATGGAAAACTTGGTTCTATTTTACATAGACATCAACTGGTCAGTCAGAAAAAAAAAAAAAGACGAGACAAGAAAAGAAAAAATAATCCCACAAATGATAAAAGCGGAATCTAGCCGCGTGGACCAGGTTTTTTTCTCTTCTTGACGGACTTTTTCTGTCAGGCGAACTAATAATTAGGTCACAAATCAGTGATCAGCTTGAGAACTGAAACATAGGCTGGATCAGCGTGGTAGTGTTTGTAGACTCAATAACTAGCCACGAAAAGTGTTGTAATCATAACAAAAAGAAAGATAATGAACTTGAATAATTTCATATGAAAATATAACTGAATGCTGTTATAGTTGATGGCGATAAAAGATCTCTTGCAAGTCTCCGATTATGAATCGAACGCTGAAAGTGATTTCATATTATGAAAACTTCGATGAACGTTTCAGTACAATAAACTAATAACCCCTTTTTTTGTCAATCTTACAAGGAAACATGCTTAATTTAGGCCCATTAAGTTTCGATTCTTGAATTCTTAGGTCACGTTTTTTCTTTCAACATCGTTTGGAAAAGAAATGAAAAGTTGATTGTTGTTAGCGCTAGATTACAAGGATATTAGCCAAGGTTAGCTTAAAGTGTCATTTGAGGTCTGAGAAGAAACCAACCACGTGGTTTGTGGTTTCTCATCTGTCGGAGGAAACGCTTTTCTGTTCAAATTGAACTTTTCTTGTTATGAACTGATAAGGATTTGCTAAACAACGAGTAAAATCACTTTGATATATATATTCGAAATCTCTATTGTTCTTTCTCAAATAATCAGGAGGGAAAGCTTTGCATCTTTGCAGACCAAGTCGGGAATCATGAATCATGTTTATAAAAAATTGCTTTGTAATTATGACTCAGAAAAAAGACAACGAGGGAATAAAATAGTATTCAAGTTTAAACTTTAAATGATAACTGAACTGGCCGAAAAGCACAGCTGACAATCGAAATTTTCATAAGAATAACTTTTACATTTTTGAATTGAAGGTTATCTGACTTATCTCAACTAGACCGCGGAAGACTGGTACCTACCTTCTTCGCATTTTTGTCCTTCGTACCCAGTTCCCTTGCAATCACACCACACTCCACTGACGTTCTCATGACATTTGCCGCCATTTAAGCACCGATCAGGTTGCGAGCAAGGATCCAAACAACCTTGCGTTGTTCCAGAAGCTTCTTTCAACTGTGCTTCTCTCAAATGACTCCTTCCATTACTGTATGTGATCCCGCTTATGCAGCCCTGAAAACTGTGGGCAAAAAACCAGTGAAAATATAGCGAGCGTACAAACTCTCTGTACAGTCTGTTTGCTCTAAAAATCAAGTCTTTACAATGAAATCTTTTAGCAATTGCCTGGACTCAGGTTAGTTTTGGCCATCCTTTATGAAAAACGTGAAGATGGAATGTCTTCAACATGAACAATCTTTCTTAAGCCTTTATTCTCCATTCATCGAGGAATTTTCGCAGAAAAACAATACATTATTCATCAGGGAGGCTGGATTTCATTTCCAAAAATAAATAATTTATGCGTCCTTTCCTGTGGAATGAATTTATTAATTCTTTCGAGGAAGAAAAATGATGATTTGCACATTAAACTGAAAAGCAACGACCTTGACTGAATTAACTATCAGTGCGTGGGTTGATAGAAACATGTCAGATTTTTGATCGCCTTGTTTTGCGTTAATTAATGGCGTATCCCCTTCCTCATTAAAAAGAAGTAAAGAAAGAAACTAATTCAACTGATTTGGCTGTTTGAGAAGATTTCGATGCAGCTGTTGTTTACTAAACATCACTTCGTATTTTCCCCAAATGATCATTTTTGTTTTTAAACCTTATTGCGAAAAATTCTTTTACAATAAATAAAGGGTCCAAAAATGCCGTTAAAAACAGACAAAATTGCGTTATGCAAACTTTCATTTACAACTAGCTCGTGAAAATCTTACCTGCTCGAAATACTTTCGTACTTTATGGCTGGGAAAGAAAGGTCATTGAACTGTGTGTAAGACGAAATGCCACCAACATATAAGTCACTTTTAACTCCAAAAAACGGATGATCAATTCCCCTGTAGTATGTGCTATTGGTGAAAAGGTCATCCACTGTTACACGCGTTTCAGAGAAGTTTCTTTGGACAATTACTTCGTGCCATTTTCCGTCGGCGAGTTTATGTCCAACAAGAAGAGTTTGTATTTTCTCGCAGTTTCCCATTTTTAAACGTAAACTGAGTCTTCCCTCCAGCAGAGACAGATAAAAATGCTGACATTGCCCATTGTCGTCCTCATAGATGAGGAAGCTATTTTCCTTGTGCGTTTTGAAATGGAATTGAAGCGTACCGTTTGTCTTAGCATTCCATCCCTTGAATCTAGCAAAGGCCGCTGGATCTTTCGTTGAAAAGCGAAGGCCAGTGCTCGCCAAAGTCGCAGCAGTAAAATAGAGCTGAATAATCACTAAAATTCCTTGCATTTCACTTACGTCCCACCCAAGGGAGGTTTCATGTTAATTCAATCTCAAAGCAGAGAGAAACAGAGCTGTTTTTGGTTTCGCTGAACTCGAACAGACCCGCACTACTATACATCACGAACAGAGGAGCAAGAGGCCAAGTTAACGAAACCGACTCTTCAAGGCGGCAGGACGTCACTACAAGCCAGTATTGCTTACTTCGCCTCTGATTGGCTTGCTAAGCGATGTTATCAGGCTGTAGTACTTATCTGCGCAATGCTGCGGCGGGAGTTGAGTTCAGTGAGCCACCGGTTGTAGAAAGTATTGAATGAGACACACGCCTCCAGATTACCTCTCTGTTACTCTAGCTTGCGCCTCAACAATGAGAGGTCTTCACGGACTCGTTCTTCACGAGTTGGGGTGTTAAGCACTTTGCATGTGTAACGGCACAAACGATGCAAGATAGTTTTCTTATTTACTATTTCTTTTGTTCGCGTTAATTTTAATGTCTTTTAAATGGGCGTTATAGCATGACTAAATTCCGTGCCAATTTCTTTGTGTTTATTATCAGAATCAAAACCAGAATCAGCTCCGAATTGAGATAATATTTTACGCAACGCAACTCGTCACTGAAAAAAAAGTCAAAGTAGTTACAATAAATCACAACATCGACAATAAAGTATCATACCATGATCATATAGCACGATACAGTCAAAACCCATATCATAAAAAGAACATTTTAATACGTAAAATTTTGATCATTCTGAAGGATTACTGAAAATTTGATGAACTGAGATTTTTTGAAAGTGGAAACGTCAAGTTCTTCGTCTTAAGCTTGACAAGTGTGAGAATATATTAAACTCTAAATTCAGCAGGTCAGGACACAAATAAAAAAAACGAAGAGAAGAAAACTGATAAATTCGTCTTCTTTCAAATTTGCCTTACCGGAAGTGCAGAGTGCTAGAGAAATTTAAGGGTAATTGACGGTGGAAGCAGAAATTTTTTCTTTTAGTACTCATGATTACACTCCATTTCTGGGATACTCTGAAAATCATCTTTGTTTCCGTTTATGTGCGTGCTACGGAGATAAATCTCATTGCGGGTGTATCTTATTAATTAAACAACATTTAAAAGGCCGATTCAGTCAATCAATGAGTACAAAATACTACGAAACCCCAAAACTGATTACTCCATATAATTCTTCCGAATTTACATTCTCTTCAGAACGATTTCCCTTGGAGACTCCTGGTATAAAACCCATTACATTTTTTCTTTTTCCTCCGTGAATTTTTTGGAGTAATAATTTTTTAAGTGTAAATTGTAAATTTATCTGTTAATTTAAAAGAAAAATGTCACTATCTTGTAACTGCGTGAGAAATTTTTTGGTAAATTCTTGTAAGTTCGCACTGTCTTTTGTTCTCCCAAGGTCAACTTTTGCTTTTAAGTCTTAACATGGATCCATGGTCTTAACCAAGTCCGGGAGCGTTTGAATTTCACTAGATGTTGTCTCTGTTGCATAGATTCTCAGGTTTTTCCAGCTGAGCAGATCAGCACAGTTTGAAAAAAACTATTGAATTCGCTTGTGTTTCATGTATATCTTGTTCAATCAGTTCACAAGAAAACGAATAATTAATTCTTTACTGAAATGACAGTGTATTGGCGGGTGAATCGTGAGACTCTTCAAACCTTGGTTTACCTGTGGGTAACCTCACCAGAATGCACCTCGTGCGCACGCATATTTTGTTCTGAAAGGTTCAGTAAACATGGCGGAAGACACTCGGGACGGGTATGGAAAGCAATTTTATCCTATAAATGTATGGTCTTTAGAACTTAAAGCGTTATACTTTGTTGTTATCTTTTCAGGTCATTTGCTGCAACCTTTGCATTGCACTGCCTTTGTTTTTCCTCGTGTATTACATGGTGGCTTCTTTGCTAAGTGGAGCCTTCAAGTAAGCTTAAGCGTACGTGTTAAGTGTCAGATGAGATGATTCGGGACGTTTCATTCTTAATCCGATCCCCCCTATGGATGAGTGGACTACCAGTCGAGACAGATTCCTACAAGTCAGGCGTGAAAAAATAACCGATTCCTGCAAGTCGAGCATGGGAAGAAAAAACGGATCCCTACAATTGACCGATTACTACACTAAAGGTCTCGTACGGACAAATAAACGATTCCTACCGGCCGCGTAAATAATGGTGCAGATTCCTACTGGTCAAAGAAACGGATATGCAAACTGTTAATCTCTATAGTATATTCCTACAGGCAAGGTGATAAGATAGAGTGAAGATTCCTATCGGTCTGGGAAAGAAACATCTGCACTGAAATACCTCATGCATTGGGGGAAGGTGAGAGGGGGGGTTAGATTAAAAATGGAACGTGCCCTCGGTCGATGTTTATCAAGATAGGTTAAGTATTTTTTTCTTCTTTAATGTTAATCATTATCTAGAACTTATTAGCCTGCATCACAGACGAAACTAAACTCGGGTTAAGTCTGTCTTCAAAATAGTGCTGAGGATTTGAGTACGTGCCATGATTGGCCTGCTAGTCAAGATGAAAGGAAATTTGAAATGCGCTTCCAGTAATTTTTGGAGTCTGTTGGGCACTCAGAACAAGGATATCGGTGCTGCTTTGCGCAGACGACACTGAATGAGGTAAAATTATGTTTGCAACACAGGCTAGAATTTATTAGACAGTTTTGGCTTTTTGACAAAAGTCTTCGTCAATTACACTGGGAATCCTTTACCCCTCATTGTCCTCCTACTGGCAGATGACCCCATCTTAGGTTACCCCCTCTAAAATTACTAGAAATCAACTAATTATCCCATTCGCCCCTGAACCGCCCATAACCGCCCATGCGGATCCAGATCCTTTCTACCCTTTGTGACGTCATCAGTTTTAACGGTCAAGGACAACTTTCTTCGCTAACTTGTGCAGAGTGAAGAGATTATTCAAACCATACCAGAATGAGCACAATTCAGTCAAGGACACCGGAGAAAGAAGCAAAAAACCACGTGACAAGGACCTGAAGAACGCAATGACCTAGAGTATGTTTTAAAATTCAAAAGGTCAGAAATGTCAAAAGTCAAGACTGCTGTGTCACTTTTAAACCCAAAAACGAAATTTTGTTTTCTGCGCATGCCCGAACTTCGCAAGCTGATATTTTGCATCTGGATCAGAAGGCCGCCACGTGTACGACCTGTAAACCGGTTTGTGGTAAGTTTTAGCTCTTTATAGCACGACAGTGACCAGAAAACCACTCGACTAGCTTCAAAACGCGTTTTTCGGCAAAATCTCCAGGAGCGAATGGGTTAATGACTTGAACCATAAACGAAGAATATTATTTTTAATAGACTCACCTTTGAATTTACAACTAGATGTAGTATAATATGCTTTTCTTTTTGTCATTATTGTTTTCTAAACAGAATAAATGACTTTGATGGCAAGACTCCTTTTGATTTCAAAAATTGTTGCAGTGTAACACATAATAAGCATTTAAGTAAGTTAAGTGGTTACATCTGACTGCTATAGCCGGGGGTATAGAATGGTAAATTTGAGACTTTTCGAGACTGCGAGACCCCCGTTTGAAAATTCGAGACCAAGACTATAATGTTTTTATCAAATCCGAGCCCAAGAAAACGTTAATGGCAGCTAGCCAAAACCCACCAATATACTGCTTGTTTAACTGTCTTAATCTACTAGCCCACTTTGATTTGCTGTACCTATGAACTCTAAAACGTTAGACTCCTGAAGACCAAGCGGAAAAAATCCAAGACTCTAAAACCCCTTGGTAAAAAATTTGACACTCCGAGATGCAAAATCATCCGAAAACGAGACTTCAAGACCCATCAAAAACATTTCCGAGATTTCAAGATCGGGCCAAAATTTTCAAAGGCACACGTTTTGGGAGTTACCATTCTATACCCCTTGCTATGTACAGTTACAAGATGAATCATGATTGGCTTAGCTGTTGATAATATGATTTCTTCACTTCAACATTTTCTGTGTATTTCTTTCTTTCTAGTAACACTTTTATCCCTTTTGTTGACATACATCATCACCACTGTGGTCTACATAATATTTTCAGCAAAAGATCTATGGGATTATGCCTTTTTCATCTTGCTGTGTCTTGTGCTGGTAGGAGTTTTTATCAATATTGTATTAGGCCTGAGCAACAGTAGGAGGGTAGTCTGAATCCGAAGTTGGTTCACTTGTTGACGACAATATATCATCTTGGAAAAAGAGAAAAAATGTTAATGTTAAAGACTAAAGCAGACATTTTTAAGAGGGAAAGTTGTTTTGTCCTTAACATTTACGAGTTGAAACCTCACCACCATCTATCATGATTTTCTCGGACTAAAACTGCCTTTCAATTATTTGTCTTGAAATACAACAATTCCATGACTTAACTTTGCACTGGCGCTTTTAGTTTGCGACTCAGCCAGGTGGATTGAACACTATATAGAACGTTTGAAAGGTCATTCGCTGTTTCTGCGTGCTAGGTTTTCACTGGTAAGATATTCAGTCATGGTCCTTGCGCAGACACTCAGTGTCCGTAAAGAGAAGTTGACGAAGTATGCGATTATGTGACTCGTGACATAAAAAAGGGTTCGTTGTCCCTATTAACCGGTGTCAGTACTTAGTGGGCTAATTTTAGAGAGAATATATGAGTTTATCTTCGGGACAAACAAAACTGTCCGTTATATGCGGTTGTCCTTAGAGTTGGGTTCCACTGTATAATTTACCTGTCGAATGAGTTGACGGATCAGGTGGCGCACAGCTTGAATCCTCATCATCATCAAATGGATCACATCCCGACCCGCTTGTCTCTATTATTGTGGTGCCATCAATCACTGTCCCAACTATCGCAAATTGTTTGCTTCTTATTGTAGGTACAACATACTCCAATAGCTCCATGTCTCCATAGTAAAACTCTCTTAATTGTCCGGAGAAATTCATTTTTGTGTGCAATGTTCCGATGGCTCCCGTTGGTCCGCCACCCAAATACGCTTTATTCTTCTGGTCCTCGACGTTCAGTTGAAAACTCTTTCCTGGATTTTTGACATAAGGTAAAGTTTTTCCGTCGACTTTTAACGTGACTGCGCGACCAATCTTGTTAAACTCGATCCAATGCCACTTGCTATCATCAAGGTGTACATTATTTCCATTGAAAACCAGCTCGTCTAGAGACAAAGGGAAAGAATTTTATTTCTATGTACACTTTAGAAACGAGCAGAAACTGGGACAAGTTAACGTTCTCAAAGACCTCTGAGATTGTTACTAAGCACAGGGCAATCAAATTGGCCAATAGCTGAATAGCGTGTCCCCGGTAGCGATCCAAGAAGACTTTAAGAAAGCCAACTCGTCCTAGTTCCTTCTCGTTTCTAAAGTGGCGACAAATGAACATATTTAAATAGTTTTAATAAATAAATATAAACACTCAGGCAAACATACAAGTGGAGCATCCATTTAAGCTGAATCGTTTACTTGAAACAAGAAACGATCCCACAGCAAGGGAATTTACAAATCTATTTAACTTTCATTTTACTCTTAACTTAAGTTTATGTGCACAGAGCCAAAAAATGTTAACTTTACACCGTTTTAAATTAAAAACGCAATATAATTTCAGTTATAATGTAACAATCACCAGAGCTTATGAGTTTTAACTTAAAATTGCTTTGGTTTAATATAAGAAGATATGAAGCTTATATTAAGATAGTCCAAAAAAATTTGAGGAGAAAACATACACACTAAGCAAGAAAAGGTGAAAAAAAGCTCGGGCTTCCAAAGAAGTCAAAGAATCGACCGCGAACTGAGTTGTATAATTCAGAAATCATTCGCCAGCACTCAGGTGAGAAAAACAGGCGACTGATTATAAGCATATTTTAAAACAAAAGTTATTTAGGCCTGAGTGAAAACAGAATGCTATCCAAAAAAATCCAGACTAAAAGTTCATCAGAAAACATTTTTGAACGACCGATTTTACAAGAAAAATTGTAAATTCACAACGACATTCAAGGCTTTTCCACTCAAGAGTAACTAATTAGATTGCATAGAGCAAACCTAACTGAGCAAGACAGCAAAGGACATAGTAATCTATTCCCAATGGACGCTCGCATAACAAAGGCCTGGGACTCAAGAGATGAGTTACGGGACATGCGAGTCCGCGAGCGAGAAGGCGATGGGACTAGACCAAGATAGGAGAAAAAATCGGGGGGGGGGGGGGGTTAAACAAACGAACCCCAAAGCAAAAGCCTATTATGAATAGGAACATTCATCGTCTCACCCCTCGATACTATTTTGGGAGGTTTTTCGTACGTGATTTTCACTCCTTCTGACCAGGTTACAGGGCTTGCTGCTCGTATTATAAAGGCATCCATCATAACGTAAACTGATCCTCAAATAAAGATACCCTCATTTGAGCTTGAAATGGAAGCACTCGCCCGACGAGAAATAGGAGTGTGTGAATATTTAAGAACAATGACAAGAAGGCATATCAGCTAGCAAAGGTTCTAACTAGCCCAAAACAAGGACAAACCTTACCAACACCATGCCGGACAAAAACGGGGATTATTCAATCCATATTTACCTTACCTTGTCCTAAGTTCAAATACTCTACTCTCAACTTTCCATGGACCATCTCTATTAACAGATATTTATCAGACAACCGGAGACTGAAAATAACTCCGTTTGGGGTTTTTGTCCTCAGACTAAACGCCACGTAAGTGTACTTTGAATGTGACTTCTCCTCTTTGGGGTCCAGGGTAAAGACTATGTAACTACTTCCATTCAGCCAAATAGATGTCGCCTCTAAAATTATAAAGCAAATGTTCTTCATTATTTCAATTTTTTAAATTTGATTTCATGATTATTGGGTTAAGCACCCCTCTTCTTCAACCCCAAACCTTACCAACGTTTTTGTTACCCACTCTTGCTCAGACTTTTATCTCTTGTGAACAACAATAATTGAAATGTTGCCATCAAGAGTCTGGAGGGAGCTGTTTAAAAAACGCCCATCTGCCCCGCTTTCCAGGGCTGGCCGGTGCGAACTTGACGTTCTCCCCATATATATGATTACAACGACAATTTTACAAGGAAAAATAACCCAAGCCAGCCTGATAAAGAGGGCCAGCGCGATTAACCGGATTGGCTCAGGTAGTGTCAACAAGGCCCTAAAAGTAATGGACAACTTGGTTCCGTTTTACACAGACATCAACTGGTCAAGCAAAAAAATAAAAGAAAGAAAAGACAAAGTAATCCCACAAAAGACAAAAACGGAAACTAGCCAAGTGGAGCAGATTTTTTTCTTTTTGACGGACTTTTTCTATCAGGCGAACTAATAATTGGGTCAGTGATCAGCTTGAGAACTGAAACATAGGCTGGATCAGCGTAGTAGTGTTTGTAGACTCAATAACTAGCCACGAAAAGTGTTGTAATCATAACAAAAAGAAAGATAATGAACTTGAATAATTTCATATGAAAATATAACTGAATGCTGTTATAGTTGATGGCGATAAAAGATCTCTTGCAAGTCTCCGATTATGAATCGAACGCTGAAAGTGATTTCATATTATGAGAACTTCGATGAACGTTTCAGTACAATAAACTAATAACCCCTTTTTTTGTCAATCTTACAAGGAAACCTGCTTAATTTAGGCCCATTAAGTTTCGATTCTTGAATTCTTAGGTCACGTTTTTTCTTTCAACATCGTTTGGAAAAGAAATGAAAAGTTGATTGTTGTTAGCGCTAGATTACAAGGATATTAGCCAAGGTTAGCTTAAAGTGTCATTTGAGGTCTGAGAAGAAACCAACCACGTGGTTTGTGGTTTCTCATCTGTCGGAGGAAACGCCTTTCAACTTTTCCTATGAACTGATTAGGATTTCCTAAACACAGAGCAAAAATCACTTTGAAATAAATATTCGAAATCTCTATTGTTCTTTCTCAAATAATCAGGAGGAAAGCTTTGCATTTTTGCAGACCAAGACAGGAATAATCATGTTTATAAAAGATTGCTTTGTAATTATGACTCAGAAAAAAGACAACGGGGGAATAAAATAGCATTATTGAAACTTTAAATGATAACTGAACTGTCCGAGAAGCACAGCTGACAATCTTCATTTTTGAATTGAGTTCGCATATTTAAAAAAAAATTGCGATCCGTCTGTCGCCTAATTTGGCTTGAATTTTCTCTGTGATATGGATTGACCCACGAGACAACCTCCTGTTAATTTTGTGAAGGGCATCAGGTTTCAGTCTTTGGTTTAAAAACTGTAATGCCACTAATTAGCTTCCAAGAAGGAAAAGTTTTAAAAATTGCAGGTTATCTGACATATTTCAATTTATTTCGCTTCAATCTAAACTGGGGAAGACTGGTACCTACCTTCTTCGCATTTCTGTCCTTCGTACCCAGTTCCCTTGCAATCACACCACACTCCACTGACGTTCTTATGACATTTGCCGCCATTTAAGCACTGATCAGGTTGAGAGCAAGGATCCAAACAACCTTGCGTTGTTCCAGAAGCTTCTTTCAACCGTGCTTCTCTCAAAGGACTCCTTCCATTACTGTATGTGATCCCGCTTATGCAGCCGTTAAAACTGTGGGGAAAAAAGCAGTGAATTAAATAAAGCGAGGGTACAAACTCTCTGTACACTCTGTTCACTCTAAAAATCAAGTCTTTACAATGAAATCTTTTAGCCATTGCCTGGACTCTGGTTAGCTTTGGCCATCCTTTATGAAAAATGTGAAGATAGAATGTCTTTAAGATGAACAATTTTATTTAAGGCTTTATTTTGTATTCATCAAGGAATTTTTGCAGAAGAACAGTGCATTATTCATCAGGGAGGCTGGATTTCATTTCCAAAAATAAATAATGTATGCGTACTTTCCTGTGGAATGCCTTTGATTCTTTCTAAGAAGAAAAATGATGATTTGCACATTAAACTCTGAAAAGTAACAACGTTCTGTGGGTTGATAGAAACATGTCAGATTTTTGATCGCCTTGTTTTGCGTTAATTAATGGCGTATCCCCTTCCTCATTAAAAAGAAGTAAAGAAAGAAACTAATTCAACTGATTTGGCTTTTTGAGAAGATTTCGATGCAGCTGTTGTTTACTTAACATCATTTCGTTTTTTTCCCAAATGATCATTTTTGTTTTTAAACCTTATTGCGAAAAATTCTTTTACAAATAGGTGTAAAGATTAAATAAATTTTGAAGGGTCTAAAAATGTTAAAAAAGGACAAATCGCGTTATACAAACTTTCATTTGCAATTTGCTCGTGACAATCTTACCTGTTCACAATGCTTTCGTACTTTATAGCTGGGAAAGAAAGATCTTTGAACTGTGTGTAAGACGAAATACCACCAACATATAAGTCACTTTTAACTCTAAAAAACTGATCAATTCCCCTGTAGTATGTGCTATTGGTGAAAAGGCCATCCACTGTTACACGCGTTTCAGAGAAGTTTCTTTGGACAATTACTTCATGCCATTTTCCGTCGGCGAGTTTATGTCCAACAAGAAGAGTCTGTGTTTTCTCACAGTTTCCCATTTTTAAACTTAAACTGAGTCTTTCCTCGAGCAGAGACAGATAAAAATACTGACATTGCCCGTTGTCGTCCTCATAGATGAGGAAGCTATTTTCCTTGCGCGTTTTGAAATGGAATTGAAGCGTGCCGTTTGTCTTAGCATTCCATCCCTTGAATCTAGCAAAGGCCGTTCGATCGTTCGTTGAAAAGCGAAGGCCAGTGCTCGCGAAAGTCGTAGCAGTAAAATAGAGCAGAATAATCACTAAAATTCCTTGCATTTCACTTACGTCCCACCCAAGGGAGGTTTTCTGTTAATTCAATCTCGAAGCAGAGAGAAACAGAACTTTTTTTGATTTCGCTGAACTCGAACAGACCCGCAGTTAGCGAAACCGACTCTTCAAGGTGGCGGGACGTCAGTATTGCTTATTTCGCTTCTGATTAGCTTCCTAAGCGATGTTATCAGGCTGTAGTACTTATCTGCGCAATGCTGCGGCGGGAGTTGAGTTCAGTGAGCCACCGGTTGTAGAAAGTATTAAATGAGACACACGCCTCTAGATTACCTCTCTGTTACTCTAGCTTACACCTCAACAACGAGAGGTCTCCACTCGTTTCTCACGAGATCTTCACTCGTTCCTCACAAGGTCTCCTCTCGTTCCTCACGAGTTGGGGTTTTGCGTGCTTTGCATTTGTGAGGGCACAAACGATACAATATAGTTTTCTTATTTGCTATTTCTTTTGTTCGCGTTAATTTGAATGTCTTTTAAATGGGCGTTATAACATGAGTAAATTTCCTGCCAATTTCTTTGTGTTTATTATCAGAATCAAAACCAGAATCAGCTCCGAATTGAGATAAAAGTTTACGCAACGCAACTCGTCACTGAAAAAAAAGTCAAAGTAGTTACAATAAATCACAACATCGACAATAAAGTATCATACCATGATCATATAACACGATACAGTCAAAACCCATATCATAAAAAGAACATTTTAATACGTAAAATTTTGATCATTCTGAAGGATTACTGAACATTTGATGAACTGAGATTTGGAAACGTCAAGTTCTTCGTCTTAATCTTGACAAATGTGAGAATATATTAAACTCTTAATTCAGCAGGTCATAAAAAAAAGAAAGAGAAGAAAACTGATGAATTCGCTCTCTGTAAAACTTGCCTGATCGGAAATGCAGAATGCCAGAGAAAATTAGGGGTAAGTTGAAGGTGGAAACAGAAATTTTTTCTTTTAGTATTCACGATTACACTCCATTTCTCTTATACTCTGAAAATCATCTTTGTTCCCGTTTATGTGCATGCTACAGCGATAAATCTTATTGCGGGTGTATCTTATTAATCAAACGACATTAAAAGGCCTATTTAGTCAATCAATGAGCACAAAATACTATGAAACCCCAAAACTGATTACTCCATATAATTCTTCCGTATTTGTATTCTTTTCAGAACTAGCCTGAGTATCAGGCGTTTCTGGGGAAAGGGGGAAAGATGGAAGGAAGGCCTGATACTCAGGTTATTTCAGAATACAATCTCACTTGGAAACTCTTGGAATAATACCGATTAATTTTTTTCTTTTTCCCCTATAAATTTTTTGAGTAATTATTTTCCAAGTGTAAATTTATCTGTTATTTTAATGCAATATGTCACTATCTTGTAACTTCGTGTAAAATTCTTTTTGTTTATACTACTACATGAGAAATTTCTGCAATTTGATTGGCTTAGAACAGTGGTATTTCAGCTCAATTTGAAATACCTACATGTGAAAATCAAAAACCTTTTGTGGGTAGTACTATAAACAAATAATAGCATGATTTGTGCGTGATATTTGGCATAAATACCACTTGTGATATTTCAAAATTGTCTCAAATTTCACTCGCCTAACGGCTCGTGAAATTACGTATAACAATTTCGAAATATCACTTGTGGTATTTATGCCAAATGTCACTACAAATCATGCTATTACCTATACAATTTCTTATAAATTCGCATCGTCTTTTGTTCTCCCAAGTTCAACTTTTGCTCTTAAGAGCTTAACTATGTTGCCTCTATAGCATAGATTCTCAGATTTTTCCAGCTGAGCAGATTAGCACAGTTTGAAAAAACTATTGAATTCGCTTGTCTTCCATGTATATCTTGTTCAATCAGTTCACAAGAAAACGAATAATTAATTCTTTACTGAAATGACAGTGTATTGGCGGTAAATCGTGAGACTCTTCAAACCTTGGTTTACCTGTGGGTAACCTCACCAGAATGCACCTCGTGCGCACGCATATTTTATTCTGAAAGGTTCAGTAAACATGGCGGAAGACACTCGGGTATGGAAAGCAATTTTATCCCATAAATGTATGGTCTTTAGAACTTAAAGCGTTATACTTTGTTGTTATCTTTCCAGGTTATTTGCTGCAACCTTTGCATTGCACTGCCTTTGTTTTTCCTCGTGTATTACATGGTGGCTTCTTTGCTAAGTGGAGCCTTCAAGTAAGCTTAAGCTTAAGTTTTAAGTGTCAGATGAGATGATTCGGGACGTTCCATTCTTAATCCAATCCCTCCTATGGATGAACGGACTACCAGTCGAGTATGGAAAAAATGACTGATTCCTACTAGTCAGTCATGGAAAAATAACCGATTTCTACAAGTCGAGCATGGGCAAAAAAAACCGATTCCTACAATTGACGGAATACTACACTAAAAGTCTCGTAAGGACAAATAACCGAGTCCTACCGGCCGCGTAAATAATGGTGCAGATTCCTACTGGTCACAGAAACGGATATGCAAACTGTTAATCTCTATAGTATATTCCTACAGGCAAGGTGATAAGATATAGTGAAGATTCCTATCGGTCTGGGAAAGAAACATCTGCACTGAAATACCTCATGCATTGGGGGAAGGTGAGAGGGGGGGGGGGGGGTGTAGATTAAAAACGGAACGTGCCCTCGGTCGATGTTTATCAAGATAGGTTAAGTATTTTTTTCTTCTTTAATGTTAATCATTATCTAGAACTTATTAGCCTGCATCACAGACGAAACTAAACTCGAGTTAAGTTACTCTGTCTTCAAAACAGTGCTGAGGATTTGAGTACGTGCCATGATTGGCCTGCCAGTCAAGATGAAAGGAAATTTGAAATGCGCTTCCAGTAATTTTTGGAGTCTGTTGGGCACTCAGAACAAGGATATCGGTGCTGCTTTGCAGACGACACTAACTGAGGTAAAATTACGTCTACAACACAGGCTAGACGTTATTAGACAGTTTTGGCTTTTTGTCAAAATTCTTTGTCAATTCCACTGTTAATCCTTTACCCCTCATTGTCCTCCTGCTGGTATATGACCGCCTCTTAGGTTACCCCCTCTAAAATTACTAGAAATGAACTAATGACTTGAACCATAAACAAAGAATATTATTTTTAATAGACTCACCTTTGAATTTACAACTTATGGTGGCCCACAACTGTCACGGCAAAACCAAAAACCTCTCAGCAAAAACCAAAATATCACGGCAAAACCAAAAACCTCACAGCAAAAACAAAATACCTCATGGCAAAACCAAAAACCTCACGGCAAAAACAAAATACCTCACAGCAAAAACAAAAACATCACGGCAAAACCAAATACTTCACAGCAAAAGCAAAATAGCTTTGGTTTTGCCATGAGTGTTTGCTTTTGCTGTGAGGTATTTGGTTTTTGCTCTGAAGTATTTGTTTTTGCCGTGAGGTCTTTGTTTTTGCCGTAAGGTTTTTGGTTTTGCCGTGAGGTTTTTGTTTTTGCCGTGCAGTTTTTGGTTTTGCCGTGACAGTTGTGGGCCACCGTAACAACTAGATGTGGTATATGCTTTACTTTTTGTCATTTTTTTTTTCTAAACAGAATAAATGACTTTGATGGCAAGACTCCTTTTGATTTCCAAAATTGTTGCAGTGTAACAGATAATAAGCATTTAGGTAAGCTAAGTGGTTACATCTGACTGCTATAGGGATATAGAATGGTAAATTTGAGACTTTGCGAGACTGCCAGACCCCGTTTTAAAATTCAAGACCGAAACTAAAGCGTTTTTATCAAATTCCGAACCTGAGCCTCTGAGCACCGAAAATTTTTAGGGTAATGGTACAAATAAAGGGAAATAGGATAACTGAAAATGCCAGTAGAAGCCAGCGGAAGCCCACCAATATACTGCTTCTTTAACTGTCTTAATCTACTAGCCCAGTTTGATTAGGTGTACCTATGAACTCTGAAAAGTTAGACTCCTGAAGACCAAGCAGAAAGAAAAAAACATCAATTCCAAGACTCTAAGACCCATCTGTAAACAAGTTTGAGACTCTGAGATGCAATATTATTATCATCCCAAAGTGAGACTTTGAGACCCATCAAAAACATGTAGACTGTGATTTCGAGATCAGGCCAAAAGTTTCTGAGACCCATGTTTTTCGAGGTACCATTCTATACCCCTTGCTATGTACAGTTACAATTTGAATCATGATTGGTCTAGCTGTTGATAATATGATTTCACTTTAACCTTTTCTGTGTATTTCTTTCTTTCTAGTAACACTTTTATCCCTTTTGTTGACATACATCATCACCACTGTGGTCTACATAATATTTTTAAGAAAAAAGCTATGGGATTATGCTATAACAGTAGGCCTTTTTCATCTTGCTGTGTCTTGCGCTGGTAGGAATTTCTATCAATATTGTACATATCATTGTGGATTTTAGTTATTTTAAGAGTTGACTTAAACAATGTTCTTACTAGAAACTATATCCTCTGACATCTTTCACCATTTGATTGTTATAATTGAACAAAAGATTATGACTTGTTGTGCAAATGTCTGTATGAAGCAGTTTACTACAGGTATTTTTGCAACATTCCTTCCATCAGTCCTTTTAGCTTTTAATTGTAGTGCATTGAAGACAATCAATTCAAATAATCACATGTCTTTGGAAAAATGTTTGACAGATGTGATTAAGTGATTATATTGTTGTTCTCTGTGCACTAATTTGAACCAACTAAACTGACTGATAAATGACTGTATATCACAAAAGCACTTTTAATGTCCCAACATAGCTGCCATACAGATACTTTATTCACAAAATTTGAGCTCAGACTTTTTATGGGGAAAACATTGTGGGGTAGTATGATGCAATAGCACACATGTTTACAGGCTGAAACTTGCAAGCAATTTATTATTATGGCTGTGGCAAATTCTTTTGAGAACAATGCAGAATGTAGTATGTTCTCTAAATGTATCTTGTCACTCTGGATGAAAAGTTAAGTTTCACAAAATACATGGGTGACAATAATTACAGTCAAACTGGCAAAACCGTGAACACCAGAAATATTTCTGGAATGTTAATTGCATTGCAAGAAAAAAGCCAATCAGGTGTGAGAAAACTGAACTGCAAGCAAGAACCTTAACTAGTTTGTGGGTTTGTGGCTAGTTCGCATGTCCTGATCTTTGCTGTGACTGGTCATAACACAATGAACATTCCTGACATATTTCAAGTGTTCACAGTTTTCCCGATCGCACTGTAATATGTTTGACACCTGTTTATAACGAAAAAAATGAAATTTCAGCTTTGTCTCACAAAAGTCAAAATGTGAATGCACAATAACCTGAGACAACAGCAGCCAACATTTTGTGCTGTGCCACTGGTTTCCCTGTGAAATGAAATCTGAAAAACAAGTTCAGAAATTCGATACTGATGAGGTGCCTCTATCCAGGTCTGGGTAGTGCTCCTGTTATTTTTTTCCTGTAAAAAGGACCACAATGGCTAACACGTGATTCATTTTATGGCTGTGAAAAAGTTGAGAAAACGTTCTGGTTTTGTGATTTATTCATTTTAAGACTGGCAGCAGTGAAAGGGATACAAAGTTCTTAATGGGTACTGGCCATTAATTTGTTAATAGAGTTGTCAAAAATGGTATATAAAAGGGTAAGGGGTTGGACATCATCGGAGCAGAGCCTCCCCATATAAAACTTTTTTGAGTACCCTTCCCCCCACCTCCCCCGAATCAGAAGCACTTCCCAGATCTGGGTAGTGATGCATCATCCTTATGGAATTTCTGCGCTAGTTTCTTAGACATCCTATGGCAAGGAAACCACTGGTGGCGTCGTGAAATGTCAGCTGTTTTCTCAGGCTATATATGCAGATGAGATGCAACAACGTTACAAAGAATATTACCCAATTTGGAAAGGGTCCAAGGAAGATAAGAAGATTTATGATTCTCAGTCAAAATTAATGAAGCAATCAGTCTATAAGGGGGTGATTTAAAAGTAAATACCTGATCGAGCTCTAGCACTGACAACCCTAATTTATACTGAAATTAATAAATCTTTATGTTTTATTTATTTCAGTTATGCAAGCATTTCCCACCAACTGGGAGTGGTGGATTGCATTTTGTAAGTCCTCTTGTATACTGGGACACAGAAATGAGCTGCTCAATACAATATAAAGTGCCATTTTGAAAAATATAATCTTTTACTTCCTAAGAAGAAGGAAATTGGTTAAGTTGGATAATTGAGTCGTTCAAAGCAACAGAGGTTAAATGAGTGTTAAGCTGGAGAAGAAAAAGAAAATTCAGTTTTGAGTTCTGAAAATTATCCTCATCTCCATCAGACGAGTGTAACTAAGCAATGGTTGTCTTGTCTTTTTGTTCCTTGAAAGACAGCAAGCATTCACTCTATAATGGCAGACAGACAAGTAGAACTGGGCAAAAAGAGAGATGATTCTAATTTTAATAATGTATATATTTAATTTTTTTCTCTCGTAGTGTCATCAGTGCTTTTCATGGCCTTGTTTGGTGAGTTAATAATCAGATTCTGCTTCAACAAAAAAAGAGATGTCAGCATCAGTCCACAAAGGAACTTGGTTACATGAAAATCAAATAATGTTAAGCAAAAAAATTGTCTTCAGCTTATTTATTTTATAAGCATCCTTAAAAATAACATAATTTTATAAATGCATCTCAGTGACCGTATATTTTAAACTGTAGATGAAACAAATAATTTATATCAATCTAAGAGGGTAATAGTCCAGTTAAAAGACAGTCAATCCAAGAAAGATTGATGATGGGCAGGTTAGAATAACAGAAGATCAAAATTTATTATTTTTCTTAAAGTTATGCCAGAAAGTCATTTTGTCTTTGCCATTCTCTTATGCTTATGCCCCATTCACACCAACTAAACAGCAAGAGACCAGGCACTGCAGTCGGGGAAAAGGTGAAAAAATTGGCAAGGGCGAAAAAATCAGTGATTAAAGTGAGCCGAGTGGTAGTTTTGGGAAGGGAAAGGGTGGCAGCGTTCCCCCTCCCCAGTCCCCCTTTCCACTTGCTTTGCTCGTTGATTTTTCTTTGCTGTTTCATCCCTGTTTTTTGCCTTTTTTCCCAGTGTGGAGCCTGCTCCCAGGCTTGGGTTATAACTTGTTATGGGTAGTTATGCGTATATCTCCATTGTTTATTGTAAATAATTTGTGAAAGAGACAAAGAAGTTTATAACTGTTTTATTAGTAGCTGATTGATCATTTTTATTAAGTTATTTACAAATAAAATGAGCTTGCTTTACATTCAATAATATGACAGTGCAAGAGTTGAAATAAAAGTAGAAATAAATTATATTTATATCCTTATAATCTCAAAAACAACTTAAAATGTTACTTTTTCATTACTGTAAAAAGGCATCATTGAGAAAAAAATAATAAAAGGTTACTACTTAACAAATCTTTTGCTGCAAGCTTTTGTTGAGATTCTCTGAGGCTTCCCACCAAGTACTAATTTGCACACAATCATTTTCTCTCTTAAATAACTATTAAATGTCGCCCTGACTCCTAATCAACTAGTGGTGATTGCACCTTCCTTCCAGTGATAGGTGGAGTGTAAGTGTTGGTAGCTCGAGGGGATGTAAGCTGCATAGGTGACTGGGTGCGTTGTGCCTCAGTAAAAGGAGCATTTTCCATAGTGGGAACACGAGATGAATGTTTTATAGTGTTGAATACTCTTCCCGTGTTCATCATACTGTGAGGAACTTCCTTCATCTTCTGCCGAACTTCCATGCTTCTGCTGTCAAGAGCAAGGGAGTTGTTCTTGATAGCCAGATCCTCGTTAATCCTCTCCAGGTTGCTCCGTAAAGCCTGCAAGGCATTCTCGGCCTCTCTGAGTTTCTCATTCAGTGCTCGGACGGAGCCACTTATTTCAGCCACCTCATGGCACATCTGGTATTGGGGCTGGTCTCGGCACAACTCAACATTTGGTCTGTAAGTCCTGTTCTCCAGACGTGTTTGTGCAACCTGAATTTGTAACAAAAACTTGTTACCTTGTGTCCAGTATGACAGCCGTTAGTTAGACATGAGAGAAACAAAGGGACCGGAAGGGAATCTGAGTGCGTTGGCGGGGATATGTAAAATACATTGACGCTATTTTTAGAGCTTGCAATATTAAATGGGAGTCTAATTCCTGAGAAGTCCGCATATTTTCATCGATTGTTTGAAATGTTATAAGTCTACATGTGACTGCCTCAAAGCAAACAGTGCATAATAATATTATTATTGTAATGGTGACACACTAAGAGAGTACGATACTTGACAACACTGAATAAATTTAAGTTTGCGGATGATTAATTTCAAGCCTTCAACTTGAGTGAAATTCACATATTCCAGTCAAGGGCTAGATTGGGTGTTTCTCTCTTAGTCCCATTATTCTCTCTTGTTACAGACTGGAGGAAAACTTTGTCCTCAATCCCTGCTGTAATAACTTACCATCATTGGTGCATTCTTAGCATCAATTGCTTCCTTGATTCCCTTGATGTCATTTTCTAGGGTTGAAATTTCTTCCATGGTCTATAAAGAAGAGCAAATTTGACATCATACATGGTGCAATCCCAAATGTAGCCAAAGTGAAAATAAACATAACTTCATTCTGTAGAGTTATGAAAAACAAAAATTTAATAGTACCATGTAAAAGTATTGACTGAGACAAATTCAAAGTCCATGTCCTTTTTGCGAAGTATGCCAATAGTTGTAATTCTAGATTAAAAAACTATTTATAAATACTTTCAAATAATTTGTTACTTTGGATAGTTTTGAGGATGGTGTTACGATAATAATATTCTGAGCTGCTTGGGCAGCCAATTAAAACACAGAATTTGCATCATCTTGCCAATTCACAGACCCAGCCAAATAAAAATAAATATTGGTAATTGTTATATCGTATCTGACACTTACATTTTTTTGCTGCCACTCCAGCTCTGACCTGGCCTGATTGGTTTCATGAATCCTTTTGCGGAATGCATATTCGGAAGCCTGTCGCTGAGCTTCAAGATCATTGGCTGTCTGTTGTAGAGTGGCAAAAATTGCCTCTCTAAGGTGCTTAGAAGCTTTCATCTCTGCCTCAGCACGTAACTTGTTGTAATTAGAAAAAGAATCCCAGGTCTCTGGGGTGACGCTTCCTTTGACAGTACGTGTGGGATTCACTTGAAAGCCAATGTTTGCTGAGTTGTTGTTTAGGTGATAACATTCACCATCAAGCTCTAGAGTTGTATGCTTGTCTGTGATGTCAAGATGAAGCTGATGACGTGCTTCTTGAAGGAGGCTACAAAAGAAAAAGAACAATGTGTTCCTCTTTATTGACTTTTCACTCAGCTAGTTCATGAAATATGCTGAGTAAAGATTTGCACTGGATTGCAAGGATTTCTTTATTAAAATAGTATGGCTTGCCAGAATTTGGTATATTTAAGTGTTTATATTGTGGTCAAATAATGTTTTGCACCTGTTTTCTTCTGGGTAATGTGATGTGCAGCTAAGTACCGGGGAAACAAGGGTGGGTTGTACCTGATTTGTCCCCCAGTTGTCTTATATCATTGCAGTAGGGCATTCTGCACCTCCACATAATATTTTAAGATAGACATTGTATGAAGAGACAACATTACAGAGGGTGAATCAGGCATCGAAATAGGGAAGTCCCATGTTGTTGGGGGGTGGGGGGTACTCTATATAATAACTTATACAGGAGGCTTTGCCCAAGAGGGGTACTTTTTCAGGCTTCAGGTCTATGAATTAGGGGCAGTAATTTCACTATTTGAAGTATACAAAAAGGTTAAGGGAAATCAGCTAACAGGTGCATTTTATGGCTGTCAAAAAGTTGAGAAATTGGTCTGGTTTTGTGATTTATTCATTTTAAAATTGTGCTAACAGCAGTTATAGAGATGTAGTGGTAGTGTGGCCCGCTGTAATTGGCCACAGCTGTTGTGGTGTCCCTGCCAACGTTCTTTCTGTTTGTTTGTTTGTTTGTTTGTTTTTGGCGAAGCTAATAAAATAAAGTTCTAAATGGGTACCATTAATTTGTTGATAGAAGGTATATGAAAGGGGTACCTTTTCTGTCAAAAATAGTATATAAAATGGTATAAATATGGTAAAGGGTAAGGGGTTGGACCTCGGAGCAGAGCCTCCGCATATAAAACATTTTTGAGCACCCCCCTCTCACCCCAGGGAAGTTTCATAAGAAAGGCAATTTACTTCTGTCCTGCAAAAGTAATTTGCCAGAAGAAAATAAGGAAAACTGAGTCAAGTAAAAAAGAATAAGAGTTATGTTTTATTACAGCTTTCAATATTTCTGCCCTTTTTGTCTCACTCAACATTAAGAACTTGTTTCCTTTGTTCTTCTTCTCATTATTATTAAACTTACCATAACTGTTCGTCAGCTTCATTGACTTTCTGTTGTAGAAGAGCTTTTGCTCCTTCAATTACCTCCACTTCCTGAAATAAAACGAATTCATTTATGACAATAATTACACAGGTTTTCTCTATAATATTCGCTAGATTGAGTTACCGGTCATCGCACCGACAAAAATTTTATGAAATGGTAGGACACACTGAAATGTTTTGGGCTAGAATTTTTCATGATGGCAGTTGAACTCAAATTGCTCAACACAGCTTCTCGCGGGACGTTATAAATTACTTTTAACGTCCAGTGAAACAGAAGATCAGAAAAGTCTTTGTTCTAGAAATGTTTACATTTACACAAAAAATTAATAAACATCGTGATTCATAACATTGTACATACCTTGAGACTAACGATTTCAAACAAACAAAAAATGATTTTCCAGTCATTCTCACCTTATGAAGCTGAGCTTCAACCTCATCTCGAACAAGATCAATATTTTGCCGGTTTTCTCTGAGCATAAGACATTCTAGGGTGATATCAAGGGGAACCTTCTTTGCTTCCAGCGCTAGTTCAGTGCGTTCTTTTTCTTGCTGCAGCAGAGCGATCTCGGCGTCTGTCTCGGCAAGACATCTTTCTAAGCTCTTCTTCCAGTTATTTATGTCATGTATCCTCTTTTCAAGCTTCGTGTTGCTGTCGTGTTGCGTCCAGCGAGTGTGGTTATCTGTCTCGTTCCTCAAAAAGCGGCTTTCTTGTCGAACACGATGAGAAGCATCGCGTTGTCTTTCAGCGTTTGTTCTTATAACCGTGTTTGACGTGTGCCAGTCGGAAACTGCAAAGCGTGGAGGAAGTTTTGGGTCCGTTAAAGCCATTTTTTGTATATTTTCTTCGCGTCTAGCGATTATATCTGGATAAACTCCTTCTTTGCAGTAGACGTGGAATGAATGAGTGTACACAGTTACCAAGGAAGCAACTATACATTGGCGTTGAATGTTTCTATAGCAACTGACGAATGAGACGACAGACTGTGGAGTGCAATTACCAGGTCTCCTCGGCTAACTCCCCTACTTTGAAGGCCTGTCTGTTTTTGTACTTTCCAGAGGACGAACTTGGAATTTTCGAAGGCAGCATGGTCTTCTATTTTAAAAGCAATGGTAAGTCAAGTCTTGGACTGAAAAGCTTTAGTACAAGTGATTTATACCTAGATGCTTATTCTTTTATTTTTGCAGTTGTCACGCCGCCATACACGATATTCATGGGCTTAGATAAACATGAAAGTGAGTGAACCAAAGTGAATTTTTGTAAAGCTTATATTATGCTTGAATTAAAACTTGTTACGGCGTTCCAAGACGTTAAAAATTTAGTCTTTTTTCTTGAAATATGTGAACTGATTATTTATTTATTTATATATTTACCATATAAGTCCAAAATTCAATACTTAATATAAAGGACTGCGGGACTGCGCAAAAAAAAAAACAATACAAAAGTATTAGTTCACGCTAAAATTCTTAGCTATCAGCCGCAGTGTACAGTAAGTAAAGAAAAAGCTTTATTAATGTCAATGTATTTAGTTTTCACAACTAACTGGGGACACAACAAAAAAATTAAAATTACTGACAAATAAGAAATAAAAAATGTAAAATCTGTACCATGTATAAATTTTACAATAAAACAACAGGGATATAAAAGGTAGTCACTAAGAACTGCAAAGGTTACAGCAGCTGCAGCTACAGCTACGTTTTTCCAGAAGAAAAATAGGTCAGTTTGTTTAATCATCAACTCGGTCCACATGTAGCCAGTCATTTAATGTAATACTCAAATGGCTCCAGCTGCCTCCAAACTCCATGTAGATTACGGAGGATACATTTACTTCTGCCTTCCATTCATAATCTTTATTCAAATTGCCTTAACACCACGAGATTCATTTATTTATTCCTTTTATTTGTTTTTGGATTTAGTTTTGGGTGCAAGACATGCAGTCCCTCGCTAGCTCCATTCACTTGACTCATTAAGTGCCTTAAATTGTGTGTTAATCCTGACCTAGAATTGCTGGCTTTTCTTTTATAGTTATAGTTTGTTTCAATTCTTTAAAATTTTAGATGAAGAGTTGATTAAATGGGGATTTCCAGAAGATGTTTGGTGAGAATTAACTTCTTTGTGCAAATTATCATTGCCTACAATACATGTCTGTGGTTTTTTTTATTGAAACGTTTTGCTCTTCATGTAACCATCTGATTTGTTATTTAGGTTTCATGTAGACAAATTATCATCTGCTCATGTTTACCTGCGATTGCCACAGGTAACTGGATCTTTTGTTAATGGATTATTTTTTCCGGTGATACTACTTTGCTCCTTTCCTTTTATTTCTTTAAGTTCAAGGTTTCTATTTTTTCAATTGGGTTGCATATCCTAATGCTGGTAACTGCCATGAATTTGCATGTAAGAATTTTCACAAACCTTCATTTTTTTTGACTGCTCATTACTTGTTGAGTTGAGGTTAGAACTATGGCAAGAAATACAGACATTAGGAGGCTGTTTACTTGGAGGAATGAACATCCTTTTACGGGGAAGATCCTAGAAGGCGGATCATCCTAGCACCATATGTTTTCTGTGTTCAGTTTACATGCAAAGGGTTAAACTTGTCCCTAGCACTAGGAACTTCCTAACTAGTACTAGGATCTTTCCAGATGAAAGGTTGGAAGACCCTAGAATGAGAAAGATCCTACAGGTGTATGTAATCTGCTTTTGCTAGAAAATCCTAGTTCTAGGGACAAACCAGTCGAAAGTGGTGGTGGGTCATTCAGTCGGTAATCATGGCATTAAAGACCAACAGTTCATTTGGCATCACCAAGTTTTAAATAACTGCTAGTTGCTGCTGAAAGGCTGGTAATGAGGACAGAAGGGCCCAAATTGCATGCTCGTTATTGTTGCCTGCTATTCTTAATTCCTTCTCTACTTTGTGACCACACAGACTAAAATTCCTGCATGTAAACCCAACAAAAAGTTGTTCCGGCTTCTAGGATATCCCTGGTTCTGGGATCTTCTTCCCTCCATGTAAACAGCCCCTAATACTAACCCTTTAAGCCGCAAGATCCACATTCAAATTCTCCAGACTGATCTCCATACATTTCTTTTAAGAACAGTTGAGAGAATTTGGTTTAAGAGCAAAGTGTTCTCCCTTTGGTAATCAATTAAGTAATTCTCATAACCTTTACTCTTGATGATCTGCTGATGTTGTTAGGAGAGAATTGATGTTGGTCACTCTTGGGAACTAAAGGGTTAAAGATTTTATTTTAGGGTGAAACACTGGATGATATTCCTTCTGCAGTGTTGACAGATTGTGCACAGCTGGTTAAAGCCAACAGTATTCAAGGTGACAATATGCTCTCTTATAAAGTGATTAATAGAAAAAAATAGTGCTCTCAGTTTAGCTCAAATATAATGTTCACCAATCAAATGAATCATAATTCAACAAACATTAATGCTTAAATAATTTATTATAGGAAACAAGATGAACAACATTGCCGTTGTATACACTCTTTGGTCAAACTTAAAAAAGACAGCTGATATGGAAGTTGGACAAGTGGGTTTTCACAGTAACAAAGAGGTAATGAAAAAGATAGCATCTTATAAAGGTGTATTTGTGACATTAATATTGAGCATGCAGTTGATGTAATTAAAAATTAATGAATGAGGCTGAGTATCTTATGAAGAATTATGGAGATCGAGGAGGGTGTTATCCGTCGAGGCTGTACTCAACTCAACCTCGTCCCCAGGTCTTCTCGGTTAATGGTGCCTAAACCTGCACGAACACTGCATTTTTGTTGTCATTTCCTCGTTACACACAAAATTCTTCCAAATTTGGTCATCCCAGTAACTGGTTATGGTGAATTAAACGTGTGCTTTTAGCCAGTCAGAATCGGGGAAATATTTTAAATGAATAAATATAATAATTATTATAGACAGAAGCAATATGCTTCTGTTATAGGTTCATTCATTTTTTAAGGTCTCTTTTTGTTGTATTAAATCCTTGCATCTTGTTGTCAGGTTCGTCTTATTAAGGTTGAAAAAAGGATAAATGAAATAGTAAATAGACTAAACAAGACAAAGGAAGAGAAGTTCCCAAACTTGCGGGAAGAAAGAGAAGAGAGGGATCGACTGGAAAGAGAAGATGGTAAACAGAAGTTAAGAGAACAGGTAATGTTAGATAGGTGAAAAAAAATGAATAAGGGAACATTCATGTAATGGTGCTACAGTATTTTATAAACTTCTGGGATTTTTTCTCCACAAGAATGATCAGCAGGTTACATGTTGAACATGTAATGTGTTTCATAGGTTGTGGATTGGTACCATGTAGGATACAAAAACTTGAAAACAGGGAACTGTAAGAGTTGTTCTAATGTTCAGTGATAAAATACCTATCAAGTAAGATAATAATAATAATAATAATAATAATAATAATAATAATACTCAAAAATAGTGAAATTATTATTATGGTATTATTACTATTTTTTAACTTGTTTTATTTTCGTTCTTCTTTGTGACGACAGAAACAAAGGGAAAAAGAAGAAGAAAAGAGAAGAAAGGAAGAAGCTGCATTAAGGTAAAGATTGAAGTGTGTTGCCGGCCACCTCTTTTGGTTATTGTATAAAGAAAATCATTTTATTTGAACCTCATTCTATTATTATTGGGCTCCTATACATTCATTGAACAACAAGAATTGCCTTAAGGGTTAATAGTGTCAAGCAGCTATACATTATGTATGCATAGGGAAGGAGGTATCCATCACAATCCTACAAGCCATCAACACTAAATGTACAATCACTGTGAAAGTTGGGTCACACTACTCACCAGATAGAGGGAGTGGGGTGGCAGAAATAGGAAAAATCCTTGAAAATAGGTAGGCAATGGTTGTGCACCATTTACATGGGCAAACTGGTTTGTTCACAGTTTGGGTAAATGGTAAGCAGAATTCAGGATTGGTAAATTTCGTCCCGGAATCGCATTTTACCGTCTGCACAAATCAGTTCCATTTATGGAAAAACAGCCGTGAAAGCCTGAAGTATCAAAGATGGCTTTGAAAAATGGAACACAAAATAATGTTTGTCGGAAACATTCCTTTCAGGAAAACAGGACAACCTTCTCAGATGTTCCATTACTCCCAGAAATTCTCCCCCAAGACGACCTGAAAAGTTGTGTTTCATTGTTTTAGTTTTGGAAAAAAATTCAGTAACAACCAATGTTACCTTACTGGCAGACCACCAAGTGAATGCAAATATGCAAGGCAAGATGAGCCCCTGTAAAATGTACGAAGGTCACCCTATGAAGGCCACCCTTGTCACCCTTGAACAGAATAATTGCTTTAATTTATTTCAACATTGCCTAAATTACTTTTAGCTAGATGCTCAGTGCTTTGATATACACACTCATGGTATAAGGATATGGCACTGACTGTGAGTCTTCTAACAAGCCTGGATCACTTGGCTTTTATTAAACAGTTGACTGTATGATTGTTAGTCTGTGCCAGGCTCTCAGTCGGTGTAGTCAAGCAAAAAAAGTGTCTCCCCATCCCTCACACTATCTTGGAGCCTGGAACAGGCTATGTGATCATTTAGAATCATTGGTATCATGTTCAAAATGTACTATTGTTATAGACTTGATGAATAATCTCTCTGGCTTTGAATTGTTTTGCAGAAGCTATGACTCTCTAATGGATTCAAGTAAAATGAAGTCTAACAAGGTATTTGAAGTTTTGGGCTTTTTTATTGGACAACTATACTGTCAGGACTTGATGTCAGTAATTAATTATTTTTATCAAGCAATACCATCTGCATCAAGTCCTGTATGGTTGTCCAGTAAAGAATCACTCCATGAATGGATGACTGAAAAGGTGAATAACTGAACAAATTAATCCTTTGTTCATGTATCACTGCCTTCTGGTTCACCCCATTGAACTTGGAGTCAAATACTGCTATGCACCAAGAAACTACAAATTATATGTTTCTCACAGCTGTTAACTGAGCTGCAAAACTATTATGAATTAAAATTCGAATTAAGTGGTGGAGGACCAAGTGAAATATCTTCTGCTTCTGCTACGTACTTAAGTAATGTTTGCACCAACTTTGAGTTTTTGAAGTGGCTGATATACATTTAGTGGTTCAAATTTGTTCTTTGGTTTGAGTTTGCTTAAACCTGTTTAAATTTTTCAAACTGGTTTGAAATTTTTAAAAAGTTTGCCTCCCTTCACAAACATTTTTTAAAAAATGCTTAATTTTTTTTTTTAATGGAAAGGGAAAGGGTTTCTGCGGTCAGTGTGTTGCATTATCTAATGTTTACTTGTTATTTTATAGGATGCTGAATCAGATGAAGATGATTTTATGTGAAATTGATTTTAAAGAAAATACAAACTGTAAATCATATCACAATATTCTCCTTATGATCTTGGTAGCTTTCCTTAAAGAAGCACGACAGTTGAGTTTCATGTGGAGAGAACATACCGGATGTGCAAGACCAAGGCCGGCTATCTCAAAATAGGGACCTCAAGATCCGAGGACAGCGACAGCGGCGAAAACGTCACTTTAAAAGTGAAGTGACGGTCTTTCAGTGTTGATCGCGATTATTCCAACTCCCTTACTTCTCCAAATATAGGCGATTTCTCCGGGAGTTCAATTCCTGAGATCATCCAAGTCCAGAAGGACTGGAAAGACAGAAAAATTTGTCCTATTTGCGTCCCCACTAAACGTACGTGAAATTGGGCAATTTCGCTTTGTTGTCGTGTAGTGACGGCAAAGAAATGTACAAACAAAGTGTGTTGCACGTGCAGAGTTGTTGTTTTACTTATTATTTGTAGCTATTGCTTTTTTGACGTCCCCGTTGCCGTCGCCTTCGTCGCATCAAAAGGACCCTTATGATACATTCAAAGAGTAAAAAAAAAAGAAAATAAAGAAAATAAAAGTAAAAGAGAAAAAAGAAAAACGTTTTACTTTCTCTGCCTGAGAAAATAAAGTTTTCTCCAAAAGCCCTCCCCAAAAGAAAAGCAATGTACGCCTATTTGGTGAGTTTTACAAGTTAATGGTTGGGGAACATGTCCGTCTGAAAAAGTGAGTTTTAATATGCGTGCGAAGTTGTTCTGTATGTGTTTGATCGTAGTTTCGGATCTGCAGGCGTAGGACACACACATATTGCGTCATTGAGTTGGTGAGTAGTCTGCGTGACAGACGTCGATAGGTAGGGGCGGAGGGATTGGTGAGGTGAGAGACGGGAGAAGAAAACCTCTCAGGGCTAAGTTGTTGAAGGCCTAGTCAGTGAGCAGGAATAAAACATTGATCACTTTTCAAACAACTAGACCCACCTTGATGACCATCGTAACGTAGAACGCACTCGCATACGGTAAACTGCCGCTTTTAAGGCGGCATTCTGTTGTTTTGTTATTGTTGTTGTTTTTTTTTTTGCGGGAAAAGATGTTGATTTGAGAAGGAAAGAAATTAGGGAAGATAATACACATGAATCAGTTAGTCCGCTAATGAGCTTCCATGCCCATTTTTTAAAAATGTTTTGGGTTAGCTGGTCTTTTACTACAATTTTTTTAAAATTTTTAACCAGCCACAAACCCCTTATTTCCTAATTTTCCGTAATCTTAAACTAAAAACATTTAACCTGAGATAACATTCGAAAAATCAACCAAACATTCCGTCTCACACATTTGCTGAACTGATAAGTCCAACAACCACGACCTCGTGGAGCGCTTTTTCGTTGATCGAATGAAATCTTGGCAAGATTTAGACGAAAAGGGACAGAAATAAACGAAAAACAAAGTATTTGACCAGAATCTCTCCTTAAGCTTATACATCTTCGTAAGGGGCCATACTAAGGAAGGCTTATAAACGGAAGGGCTTATATCTGAGGGGGCTTATAAACCGAAATAGCAAAAGCTGTAGCAGTGCTGATCAAATACGTTTTGTATTTACTGGTTTTTAGTTAAGCTCCAGCTAAACGTTATAATAAATCAGTTCATTTCAATACATTCCAAGGGGGCTTATGTTTAGAGGGTGATGGTGGGGGGAGGGGAAGGGGGTATAATCGGATATATGTTTTTGCTTACAGGTAAATGGGGCTATAACTGGGGGGGAGGGGTAATAATTGGGGGAGCTTATAAGCATCAGTTAACATTGTTTCCTCTACTATCTAGAAGGAAGATAAAGATTTTTTTAATACTCGTAACCTGAGCTTTCAAATATTTCTTGTGTGAAAGCATTAAACCTCTTCACTTGGTCAATCTACTCCACGTTTGTGATCCACGCCTTTTTTTAAAGTTTTTGCAAAATGAAATCTTGCTATAATTATTTATACTAAAAACTGTATTTTAAAATGAATATGAAGTGCTCAGTTTTTGTGTGGTGGCTCCAGCCGTTCTTCTCAAATGTTAAATGAGTTCTTCCTGTTACTGTATGTTGACTTAAACAATTGCAAGCCAGTAAACATGTATAGGGATGGTTCATAAAAGAAAGCCTGGGCCAACTTCGGAGTCCCAGGTTCTCTCTCCTACTTGTCGAGAGACATGACAGGCTCCGTAGGGAAGGGTAGGAGAGAGCCCTGCGAACTAGGCTGGTCCAGGGAAAACGCAAGAACTGCGAATCAATGTAAAAATTTTAATGAGTCAACTTTATCTCGCAGTCAAATGAAGAAGTGCAGGATTCAATCTGACGATTGTGTCAGTGATAGCACTGTATAGAGCAATAACATAAACGCTTTTGAAGGCACAATTGTAAAAACAGATCACAAAATGAAGTCACGTGAAGTAAGGGACTGTGCAATAATTATCAGGAAGACGGGGTCCTAAAATGAGCTTCACCAAAGGAAAAATTAGATAGGTCCCCCCCTCCAGCAGCGTCAAGATTAGCTCTGACCCCCCCTCACGTTCTCTCAAAATTATGATGTGCCCCCCCTCTCTAACCCGTACCTTTATTCACCGTACTGCAACGCATTCCACTGCGTCGTCAGGGATGAAGAGCACCTCGAAACTTTGTTCTTCATAATCGTCAATTTCCGAATCGTCTGATTGTTCATTATCTTCTTGGTCTTCGGAACTGCTAGATTGCTGCTCATCCGGGTTTTCTTTACCTTGAGCTTCCCCAGCACCTAGAACACGAGCTACGAGTGCTGCTTTCCCTCCGCTGACGGGTAAACCGTGTTCCTTTAGGTAGAGTTTCAGTTTACTTGCAGACAGCGAGTTGACTTCAACCTCGTCGGACCAATTAATGTCTGGAAGTTTGTTCCTTTCCGTTGCCCGTTTTTTTGCTTTCATTGCAAGGAATTTTTGGTTCTCAATGAAGTGATGACAACTATGAAACAGAAGCATGGGGCATTCCTCAGCTAGAAACTGTAGACCTAGAAACCCTCTAGCTGGCATCTGACTGGAATTTAAAGTCCCGTTAAATGATTATAAAACAAGGGCAAAATTTTTTAGGCCCCCTCTGGTTTTAGGGCTCCCCTCCATAATTTCCCTAACGTTAAAAAAAAATGAATTTTTAGTAGTCCCGCCGCTGAAGGTGTGAAGGGCATAATGATCACTTCTAGCAAGTTTTTTTCTAGCACAGTATTAAAAATTTTGGAAAATAGGCCTATTTGTATGTATGACTTTAATTTGTATCACAGTGGGTGCTTGAGACTATATGAAAAGAGCCCATGCATAATCCTTTTTCTGTGTTTTTGTGTTTTGATTTTTTTAAAACCAAAGTTATGACTTGCATGATCCCTCAGATTGATCATTTATTATCTTTATTTTACACAACTTCGAACTCGCGCGAAAAACACACCAGAAGTAAGGGTTTTCTTTCACACGCGACAAAATATTCAATGCATAAACATCAAAACTATGCACAAAAATTTGAACAACGACCCAGGTTGAGGGAATGGGGAAGTGGCAAGGAATTTAAATTTTCAAACAGGGCAAAATTTTAGCATAATTTTGAAAAAAATCAATATATATATATATATATATATATATATATATATATATATATATATAAGTAGGGAATATATATGTATATATATATATCGAGTTACCAATATTTCGGAGCTAGGAGTGTCCTTTCTTTTTCAGGGTCTGATTAGGAGCGTGATCCGTGTACGCGATACGGACCTATCTTTTGTCTAAAGATGACGTATTCGAAAAGCGTGTCGGGAAAGGGTCTGGATTCGAGTTAGATTTTCGTTGAATCTTGGCGACTCGTGGGTTCGAGCCGTTTCAGTTTCTGTGTAAGTTTTATCGGAATTTGACGCGATTTTAAGATTTCCTGAATAGTGTGTGAACGCTGATATTGTGCAATGTATTGCTTACAATGGCTGTTGCCTCTTCTTCTCATTCCACGCCCAGCGAACTTATTTTTACTGCATAACCATTCGATGTTTATGACACTGTATTTGGCAAGTTTCTTTCTTGAAAGACGCCCTTGTACGATCTGTACCATCGTTTTCATCGTTGCTGTGATTCTCATATGCTACAGTGGAATTGGAAACTGCCTGTTTTTGCTGGAGTGTAGCACGTAGCAGGAACTAAAAGATTTCGTCATTCGATTGCGAGTCTACTACTTGTAGCGTGTTACATGTAAACGTAAGCTGGATCACAAGATCGATCACCCACGTTTCTTCTCGGTCATGTTCCTTTATGCAGACTTCATAGGTGATAAAACGGCAGGAATTTGTCACTTTACAGTCGAGGTGATATTGATACTTCCGTGTGGAGAAGAATGTTTCGAATCAAGCATATAATTCCTGGCATGGCCTGTTGTTGTAGTCACCCGGTACATTCATTGACGAACCGAAACATTTTAATAGGATTTCTTACATTCCAAGAATAATGTTGCGGTTTAGAGGAGGACAATGAGCTCAAAGCTAGTATTTGGCACTTCAAAGACCAAACTACAGTTTATTAGCGATCTACTGAAAAGTTAACGACACTTTCGCCATGTTTGCATTTGGGATTGCCTTCCAGAATACACTACATCTAAAAGACGTACATCATTCGTTGTTTACATTTATATTGCTTCGCAGTACTCACAACTTTGTTCCGCTTTCCTTTCGTAAAAACTGTAGCTAGGTAAATCAAAGAGTAGTTAAACAGTACTTGCTCATTTGTATCGTCAACGATATACCAGTCTACAGAACTGATCGCCATCGGCTTCACTGCAACTTGTACTGTACATACTTGCATTTGTGGCAGCCCCTTTCTTATCTATGCTATCGTGGACAGTAGAGGATTGTAAGGTAGATTGTTCTGATATTGTGGTTTAAACTTGCAGATTGGAAGTGCGGCAAGAGTAGAAACGCAGAGATGATAACAAATCTCAAATAGTGTACTAGTATTTGGATCTGTAGAATTAAGAGCATATCGATTTCAATTTTTGTCCATCCTTTCCATCACCTGTGAATTTTTTTGGCTGCCACATCAACTGACGTGAACATAATAACAGCTATCAGTATTATTCTTAACAGGGAAAATTTTCAACCACCTAAGCAGCACCTTTAGGTGTTAAAAATGTTGAAATTAATTTTGTTGACTTGTTTTTAGAGGCAGTAGATTAAACCTAGGAAAACTTTCAGCCATAAAATTTGAAAAGCAGAAAAGTATGAGAATTAAAGAGTCAAACCTCCAATAGTTTCTTTAGTGCAAGTTTGAGAAATAATTAAACAACTGTGCAAATACTTTCTTGACACCTGTTCTTTGTCTATGTATTGCTTCACCAACACCAGCAGAGTTGTCTTTAAGTTCCATGGGCTGGGGATTTTTTCCCGGGACCTGTGAGCATGATGCCAGCTGTGGATCCAATTCCAATTCTACTTGTTTATACCAAGGACAGCCCTGACTATCAACTAAAAAATTATATGTATGTATAAGTTAACTAACAGGTTAAAATGTTTCCTCTCCAAAGGGGCTTTTCAGGAACAATCATATTTATTTACAAGCATTACCTAACTAATTACAACACTCAACTTAGTACTAATTACAATGCTTAACTAATACTAATTACAAGAAGCATTTAAAAAATTATCGAAAAGCTGGTTCCTTAAGAGATTCTGATGTTTAAAAATGAACATATTGGCTTAATTAAAGAGAAGGTTCTAAAACTGTTCGAATACAATCTCTCAGGTTGGGTGTTTACAGGACTGAGTTTAACACCTGGCTGACCTGGCTTAACACACGCCAGTTCTTTCCGGCTAAATTACCCATAGCTATAGAGAAGGTAGTGGGCCTGTTATCCTGAGAGAAACAGCTAGGCCAGTGGGTAGAATGTTGATGCAATAATCACATCTGGAAGATCATGGTTGTCTTTCATTTCAACTACATGGAAACTATTATTACCTGAAACTGCAACAAGAACCCATGAGCCACACCCTCGTTAAATTTGAGAACTGGGTTGATTTCTTTCTCTCAACCAGTCAGAATGGAGTAAGATTTCCAGCAATGACAAACAACAAAGTATCAAGAGAACATAGCTTGATGCATTTCTAGGCAGTCCTTTAACTCATATTCAAGTTCAGAGTCCTCAGAATCTTAGTAGTGAAGAAAGTGATTTCAGTAGTGAAGAACTTTGGCCAATTTACACACCCTAGAATAAAGTCTAAAACTTTCTGGTCACAGATAGAGGCTCCAAATGGTTGGCTTTACTTTCACTGCTGGCAATGAGTGGTTGAGAACTTATTTCATTAGAGTAAAGTAGAAATTACCATTCTCGTAAAAAATGAATTCATTTTTTGAAACGAACAAAGCCAATGCCCAGTGAGTGATGTTTAGCAATTTTAAAGTGGAGAGGGCAGATGGCAGTTATGCAACACCAAGGTCTCTCAGGTCACTGCACAGCCATAATGTATGTAAAGGCCAGTTCACATGTGCAATTCAGTTGAAATTCTTGTTGCCCTTGAAACAGCAATGAAAATTGAGATTATTATCTGTTGGTAATTTTACTTTGATTCATCCCCATATTGCATGTTGTTGTTGGAAACTTGCAGCACAAAAATTAAAGTAACACTTGCAACTGATACCATTATCTAAAGGAACATTTCGAAAGAGATTAGGACGAGGAGACATTTGGTGGTGTTAATTTATCATTAGCATGGTGACCTCTACTCAGAGCGGGCGGGGGGAGGCAGGAGGGGTAGGTTGACAGGAAAAGAAAGGGCGGCAAGCGGATCCCTACAACGTCAGGAAGCGGGAGAGAAATTCAAAAAGGCAAGCTTTCGTTATTAATTTGTTATTGCTTATCATCCAGTCAAAGAAATGAACCCAACAACGTCCATTTAATGTTCTCCCAGGCCAGAAAAGTCAAAAAACGAAAATTCGTACTCAGGATAAAAAAACGGCACAGCATTACTTCCGGTGAAATTGGAAACCTTTCCAAGTCGCTTACATCATAGGTCATGAATGAGATGGCATCACACATGTACACGTGTGTTGACTGTGTCAGTGTCTCGTCTGTGGGGAGACAAAGGAACAAAGGGGTACGGGAGGCGGTGGTTGTGACCACCCTGTCCCCCCCCTCCCTACTCAGCTCTGTGGAAAGTGACCTATTATTTTGAACATACCACGCCATCAAAAAGTCAGTGGTAATGGGGAAATTGAATGGAAATAGAACAATAACTGAAGAACTATGACATGATATTATCATCTTAGCCTGAATTTCCGAGGGAGAAAAAATGACTTGCAGTACTCGTCTGAAATTCAGGCTGTAATCTTTCTCTCCAAAGAATAGATTATTCCAAGAAAATAAAAAATAATCACTCAAAACAATCGATTCAAAGCATATAGTAGATTATTAATCTTTTACTTTATTGAACTGTATCTGAAGATTTTTACTGTACAAATGTTACACCAAAAATACCAATAATGGCAATAATGTAGTATTCTTTAGACAGTGGTCAAGATAAGCTGGATACATTAACCCTTTAAATCCCAAAATCAACAAAAGTTCTCGAGACCGATCTCACTGTACATTTCCTTAAGGAACTAGTTTAGAGAATTTGATAAAAGATCAAAGAATGTTACATGTGATGATCATTCTGTTATTTCTCATCACCTTTTCTCTTAATGATGTATTGACATGTTAGGAGAAAACTGATATTGGTCACTCTTGGGACTTACAGGGTTAATAAGAATAATATCATGGGAAGCTCCTAGCTATTCAAAGGCCCCAAAATCATTAACAGCTGAAATACTGCTATTATATAATGTCTACTATTTTTTTTCTCTTTTCTGGTGTGTTCTCCTAAAGCTAGCACACCTTACTGTAGACCAGAGTTTGTCTAACTCGGGTATTTGTCCACGTTGCAACAAAAATGCAAATTACTCAGCTTGTTAAACAAAATATTATTGGTCTTAGTCTTTTCTAATATTAAAGAAACAGCATGAAAACCAACCTCTTAGTGATATCAATATTATAAAAAACTGTTGGCATTATAAGCTGCTAAGTCACTATAACACTGTAACAGTTATAATTCGAGCAGGATTAGTACAAAAGCAATATTGATACACGAGGCAATAATCTTCAAACTTTGATCAGGTGGTCTTGCTTGCGGAATGCAAAAATCAACAGAAGTGAAGAATGAGATTTGCACTCAGTAAACGCTTTGAGAAATGAGCACATTTCTGTAGACACATTTATCATAATTATTGCGCAGGTTGGATATTCAAAAGGGTTACAACTCAAGCAAAAGTTCCTGAACAGCACTTTTCTAATATGCAGCCTAACATGATCTTAATTGGATGAAAAATAACACTATTTTTTCACCCTGAAAGCAGTAATCTCCATACAACAGCACTCGCCATACTTTTCTTCATATATATTTTCTTTTTACTGAAATGCTGACGAGAAAAACTGTTTAAAAATGGGGGGATACGGAATTTGCTGATCATTAATACTCTTCTTTAAATTCTGATCACTGTTCGGAGATTAAGGATCAAGCTCTATACAACTGTTTGAATACCATACTACTCAGCACTCTCGTCCATGAGCTGAGAAACATCTCAACTTGAAGACTCTCTTTTAACACTACATACTACAAGATCTCTCGCTGAATTCAGCCAGCAAGTTTAACTCAGCGTAATACCAGCTGCTTGGAGATAATTTTGCAGGAATCCTAAGGCATCTTTATGGAGTTCTGTGTTGATTTTGGAATGAATCAGCTGTGTAATTAAAAATCAATAAAGACATTTAACATAATTTTATTTCAAGCACGTTTGACGGGGGCTTAATAGAGAGGGCTTAATTGATTAAATTAATTAATTAATTTACTAAAATTGGGCACCATACTGGTTTCTCAAACAACCAGAAGATGGTATCAATTCTCCAAAAAGAACTTGGACACAAAGTGAAAATGTTCAAGTGCATGAGGTCACAGGTCTTGTCTTGCAACCACAGATCAAAACGAGTACAAACTTCCAGCAGATGAATAAACCATACCGGATCAGTTCATTTTTTATTAATTTGGTAGTGAAGAATGAGGAGGGAGGGGTAGGGGGGGCGGGCTTACGGTAGGTCTGGAACAATTTCCCTTGGTTTTACATGAAGAATGAAAATGTTACCTGCTTCCCCTTCCCCCCTCACTTTAAAAAGGCCACCTTAAATTTTTTTCAAAACAGCCGTTTCATGGAAATTATTCGACATTAGATTGTCATACAACCACAGTAATTTCTAATGTGGTTGCCTCCTCGTCAAGATGGCTTTCAAAACTGTGACAAGGTCTTTTAATCGTTTGGGTCAATCCCATTATTTCTGATGATCAATATTATGAAATCTCAGCAAATGTATAAATAGGTATTATGCAAAAATCCAGACAATTTGGAAGCAAGGAAAAATAGCATATGACTCAACCTTGATTGCTTCTCTGCTCTCAGACCTTCAAAATAAATATTTTTGCCTAGGAGGACTGTGTATGAGTCCATTTATCATGGGCCAGACAACACAAGACCTACCCAGTCAGGCTAAAACATTGAGTTTTGCAAAATTCTCAAGTTTGGTGTTAATTGGGCCAATAGTGAACAAGATAATTATATCTATTTAAAAACTTGAAAATTTAATACGAGATGTATGGATAGTTGGACACAATGTCGGGTTCAATTCTTGGTAAATTTTGGAGTATTAGAATGGCAACACCAAACTTGAGGATTTTCTAAATCTTGGTTTCCTCTTTCTGACTTTGTGGGTCTCTTGTTAGTCATCCCATAATAACTGGACATGTGCCCAGCCTCCATGGGTTTGAAGTTAGGCAATGATTACGACAGTGGGTCTAACCTTCCCAGGCTCAGATGAGGACAGCTTCTGCAGTGACTGTGCAAGGTAGACTTTAGCATCAGCTATTGTCCCAGAAAATGGGTCTCTTTCTTTCTTGCCCGCAAATGCCAACTGTGAGTAAGCTGTCTGATATCCTGGTTTAGAACACAACAATAAGAAAACACAAATAAAACTGATTTGAGAAAAAAAAAACATCCATGTGACAGCCTTTCCAACGTACAGTTTGCCTGCGTCGCAGACACTCTAAACCTTATGTATGGTTTTGATGAGTGCGTGGGCCGGCTGCAACGCAGGCTATGTACAGTTTGAGTGTATGATAGTCAACTGGTGATGGTCTTCAACTGAGTTATTGTAAGAAAATGTACCTGGTGTATCTTCTATTTCTATGAAGTGCTCATCATCTGGAATGGAGTCATCTTCTGGCAACTCAAATAACCCAATCAATGCTTGTAACAAAGGTGTCCTAGAGGTAAAAGTACATGGTTATCTAAAAACTAGCTATGATTAAAAAAAAATTCAGTAATGATATGGCATTGATTAATGTTAAAAAAATAGCTTATTTTGAAAAAACTGCAAACATGCAGTGTGGGTTCATTAAAAACAAAAGTGTGTATTGTCGGCTCGCCATTGCCCATTGGAATTTTTTATTTTTTGCTTTCATCTGCAAAAAAACAATTATTAAAGATTCCAACAGCAAAAGTGAGGGCTACTCATCCTTATGCTGAAAAAAATCCACCCTCAAAAAACCTACAGATTTGACAAACAAGTTGCTTATGTTATTGCACAAAACTAATGAACATTTTGGTGATCATGATACCGAATTTGAGGAGGCTACGCTGTGCTCTACAAAAATTTTTGAAGGGAGCCCAGTGCTCCTGTGAAATCCAGTGTGCCTGGCATATGACTTCCGCTATGAGAAAACTTAGATTTTCAAGTTGTCCAGGAGCAAAAGTAAGGCACCAAGGGCCACAAGACATTGCTAGAGCACAGCCTTGGGTGGGTGATGTTTAAGACTAGCAGGGGAGGGGAATGCACTCACCAAAGATCATGATAAGTCTTCAGAAACTCAGGGCTCTCAGTGAGTAACTTGATCATGCCTACAGCACAAATCCTTCTCTCTGTAGTTCCAGACACCTAACAAGTAACATAAAAGAATATATAATTATTTACATCTATACAGTGGAACTTTGATTTAACAAAGGGCTAAGGGACTGTCAAAATATGTTCGCTACAACGAGGTTTTGTTATGTTATGGAGGTGCTTTTCCATATACATTACCATTACTGGGGTGAAGAAAATCACGTTTTATACCGAGGACTTTGTTATATAGAGGTTTATAATATCAAGGTTCCAGTGCTGTATCAGACTGTATTCTCTCTGCTGAAAGAATAAAGTTCTGCCATTGCTATTAAAACTAAATTTCATTGAAACAGTCAATCGGCAAGATTTTGCATAAAATCATTCAACGTATGCAACATTAAAATGGTTCATGGGAAGACGCCCTAAGTTACTTTATTGTTTAATCTAACGTTTATAGCTTTGCAACCAAGCCTAAGACTTTTTCTAGCAGTTTACAATTATCAGAAATCACTTAAAGCTTTTTTCAGGTACCTTTTGAATCATTTCTATAATTACTTTTATTTACATTGCTTACACTTTGGGAAGCATTGCTTACCTTCTGTACATCAGGGAATAAAATCTTTTCCAAGAAATTTCCAAAAAGTCTGCAGATGTAAAAAACATTACAAAAACAACGACAAACAAACAAAATGAAGGCCTGTCTCAAAAATAATATTCACTGACGAGTGTAATGCAGCAAGGATTTGAGGTGAAGCTGACAATAACTTAATTATTGCAAAAAATTAATGTAAGCTTGTAATTTCTAAATTTTAAAAATATCAAGGATGGAGCACAGAACAAATAAGTCAATTAGGGAAGAATTCAAAGTGGAAAATCAATGGTTAAAGGACTTTATAAAGAAACAAGAGGCAAAGCTGAAGTATTTTGGCTATTTGAAAAGAAACAAGGGCTCGGGAAAGATCATCTGGGAGGGAAAGATAGGTGGGAAAAGAGGAAGAGGAAGACCAAGAAGGCAGTGGGAAAGGGACACACAGGATGTTTTCAACAATAGTTGTCCCTAACAGAGGTTGGAAGATTGGCAATTAACAGAAACTGTTTCTACTATTAATACAACATCCTATGGGGATAAGCAGTTACAGTAGTAGTGTCATTTCTGTACACGTCAGTACAAAGTGTCCACAATATCTGTTGCTGACTTTACTTGTTAAAGACAAAATAAAATTAATCACAGATTCACAACAAACAAATAATGTTCCCCAAGCATGATATGCCAAGCTAACAAGTTTTCAAAAACCCTGATTGCAATTGTCCATAATTGTCTTCTAATGTTATTGCTAAGTAATTTGACTCAGTTCCTTTAATGTTTTAAGCTTTTTAGAGGCCAGCTGACACTCTATGAATTTGGCTATTGTATAGCACAGTTCCTCAGACTGTTAGAAAGTGACAAAAATATAGCCTGGGAAAACAGCTGACATTTTGCGACATCAACAACAGTTGCCCTGTGAAATGACATTTGAGGAATGAGCGTAGTGTCACTACCCTGATCTGGATAGTGCTTCTGGTTGGTTGAAAATTTGCTTCAATTTCTACGCTCATTCCTGAGACTTCATTTCACAGGGCAGCCGTTGGGAGCTGAAAAATGTTGGCTGTTATCTCAGGCTAAGAATATTGATGATGAAGAAGTCGTATCTTACCCTGGTTGAATTGAGTCAACAGTCAGCATCAGAGCAGTTCCTCCATTCCTCGCAGAATAGAGACAGAAGAACACCAGTAGACCTAGCAGAGAAAACAAAAATGGCAAAGAGCAGCCAGTGATTTTACCTGACTCTTTACTGTAAACAACTCTTATTATTAATTCATCATAACCAGTTACTGATGACCAAATTTGGAGGAATTTTGACTTTAACGAGGAAATGACGTCAAAAATGCAGCGTTTTCACAGGTTAAGGCACCGTTAACCGAGAAGACCTCAGGGGACGAGGTTGAGTTGTTTTGGTTGTGAACTTAACAAAATGGCGGCCATTTCACTCGTTTCAAGAGTAAGAACTGGGCGAAAAAATAGCTAAAAACACGGCAAGAACAGCAAGAAGACAACTCGAAGGGCGACATCTGCTATTTGGAGAATATTTGCGGAGCTGGACAAACCTAAATGTGCACTATCGAAGATGAACTTAACATCGATGGATCGATGGAGGTAAGCATGTTTTAGCCATGTTTTTAAACTAGGAATTATTTTGAATGAATAATAAAACAATTATTGAATTCGGCTTTCGTATCATATGAAGAATTATGGAGATCTCGGAGGGTGTTATCCGCCTCGGCCTACGGCCTCGACGGATAACATCCTCCTCGATCTCCATAATTCTTCATAAGATACTAAGCCTCATTCATTAACTGTTAAATATACACATCAAATAATGCAAATAGACTGCAAACAAACAATAATCAAGTGCAATAAATTAATTTTCAAATAATAACAAAACATTTTTTTAAAGTTATGTGCCTTAATTCACCTAGATCTCTACACTTCTACACCTCTATAAGGCCAACACCTGTATAAAATGGAAACTTGGAGATACCTCTGCAGCTTGAACCAGGCATCTCTAAAACCTGGTTACTAGACAATCTGTAATGGTGTGCCGTGGCCTGTGACATAATCGGAAGCTGCCTTTGTCAGATAATATTTAGATGATTTCAGACACCACCTACAAAATGCTCCTGTTTACTTTAGTGCTGCTATCAAACATGCCATGTTCTTGACTCAATTTCGATGCAAAAATAGTGCAAGCAGATGTCTATGAGATGCTGCAGCCTTGTCAAAAACTGTATTGCAGAACATACAGACACTAGGCTTAGGATAAAATGGACACTCAGCCCTAGTCCCAGTAGTGTCTCTCTAAAAGGAAGTAAACACTTTCACTGAAAAGAAGGTGTAAAGAAGGACCAATGGGTGTCCACTTGTTGTCTTTTCCCTGCCCTTTAGCTACAAGTAAGTGCCCATGAGTGAATGGAAAAAAGATTGTTGAATACAACTTTTTTTCAAATGTTTGCCCATTGAATACAATTACCATTAGACAATATTCAACAATAGATTAGTGGCATATTTCTTACCTTTGATAAATTTTGTAGTTTTTGAATTCTGTAACCGTTGAAACAGCAACATAAATACAGACTTGATATGTTCTTTTAATGATGACCTGCCAATTAACAAAGTAAAGGAACAACAGTTAATGCACTATAACTTTGGTCATTTTGGGAGAGTAATGGTACATCCAGTGGGTAGGTTACACACTGTACCTTTCCAGTTAATGTTCATAATAGTCACAAAACCTATCAGTTGGCTGTTGACGAAATGAAACTGCCACTAGCCCCTAGTTGTCTTAAAAATTTTGGAAGGAGAACAACTCTTCAAAATCATACCAAGTTGGTTTTCAGCATAAAAGAAGAAGAGCCTTGACACTGCCAAAATCTGAAACTTTTTTTTAGTAATTTTCCAATGGTATACAGTTTATATATCCCATTGTTTACTCACGGTTCAAAGTGTTCCACCATACTGCCTAAAAGGTAAAATCCTTCATGATCGTTACTCTTGGAGGCAATGAGCTTTTGAAAAACTCCTAACAGTCCCATCTGTTTTTGGGAAAAGAAATGTATGATTTATTATGAGTATGATGTCATTAATTCCCCCTTGTCACCCTACACATGTACAAAATAATGTCAAGAGACACTGAAAGATATGGTCCCAGCCTGAAGGTGTTTGGAGGATTGATGCATGAAAGAAGTGTACTTGAGTCAAACTGCCTGCCTGTCTGTAATTCTTTTGAAACTTAAGACATCTCTAATGGCTTTAAGGAACAGTGTTCCTTCCAAGCCACAGTCTTGGTATACTTTGGTCTTGCCAAGACCCTGCACTGCTGCACCACACTCTCTGCAAATAGGCAAGGCTATGTTCATCTTCTCAACTAACCCTAACCCTAAATATTTTAAATGTAGCTGAAAAGCTAAAAATAAATTCTAGGATCTTTGTGCAGAAACTAACAGATTTCTTTGTCTCCCAAGGGCAAAAGAAAGTCTTCAGGGCCCACTGGAACTGATGGAGCATATCCCTATTAGCCATGCACTCCTGCTTATTAAGTTTGTAAGTTGAACCATTTGAATTATACAACTCAAAAATCCCACAACACCTTTGTTCAAGGAGTTACTGTAAGCCCCCATTTAAACGGCCCCTGTGAAAGCATAATTGCAGCAAAACAAACTAAATCCCTGGTCTAGAGAGTAGATGTAGAAAGGTAGGGACCAAGCATTAAACCCATGCAAAATGAGACAGTGTGACATGTCTGCCAAGTAGCTAAGTAGCGCAAAAATCATGATGTTGTCCTAGAAGTTCACTGTTTTACTTTTATTTTTTAGTTTTGGAAGCAGGCATTACCTCTTTTTTAGTCTCAATGATGACTTTGCTGGCTTTTTCAATATAAGCTTGAAGCAATCGCACCAAAGGAGGAATGTTGCCTAGATTAAGGTGTAACAAAAACATTAATGCCAAAATAGGCTAATCTGTAATTAACCACAGCAAATCAGTTCCAAAAAGACAAGCAACAATTCAAATTGTACCATTTCTTTCCCAAAGGACAGGACTCAACAGTAGAGGAAACAACTCCATGTAGGGAGCTGGAATTTCATTTTGTCGTATCTCCAGAAGCAGTGATAAAACTTGGAAAACATATGGCAAAAACTCTGTAATTGAAAGATAAGATTGAATTCACATTAGCCAATCTACTTGACTCAACATCTGATAGTAACCAGTGGCACAGACAAATGCATGGCTATCACTGAGAATTCAAGTTGCTGGGTATTTAAAATAGTAGGCGGGGAATTGAACAGTAGCTGAGAAGCTCTTTTGCTAATCAATCCTTGGTATTTTCACGAACAATTTTATTTACTCTAGTAATAGCAAACTATATGGCAAAAACGTTGATATTGAACAAATTTTGCCAGTCCCTTGGCCCTTTGTTATATTGAGGTTCCTCTGTAGCAGCCAGAAAAAATCCCTGCAGGGCAGTTGTTCGAAGGCCGATTACCACTTAACCTGGGGTTAAATTTAACCCTGGTTTGTGCTCAAAAGCATTTCTTGGATAATTTGCTCTGTCATTTCTAGAGCTTCCAATCAACAACCTGTAGACAAAAAGAATTAAAACTGAAATGCTTTTTGAGCTTTCAAATCTGAATTCAAATCTCGCAAAAATGGAAGATTAGAGTTTCACTTTCTATTACGTCTGGGATGTTTTTCTACATTAACTTAAGAATAAAGAGGGTGCGCTCATTCACGGCTGGACAATGTTATTGCAAGGTTATTATTATTGTTATAATTTCTAACTTTTGAATCTGTAATGATTAACCCTTGCCTAGTTCCTAGGTCTCATTATTCCACGGGGGCTACGTGTTTAAGGTCACGTGATCCCCAATGGGCTTGAAGCTGAACAAAGGGCAATATTGCTTTGTTAAAAACAAAAATAGAAGCACAGGCCTTGAAAAATAAGAGGTGGAGTGATTCTGGAAAAGGTAAATGCCAGTAATGACAGATACTTCACACACCTGTCACATCATTGGACAGAATCTCCTGAATGACTGGGAATAACATGTTTTCAAATCCCACCACTAAGGACGCATTTTCTTTGCATATCACTCTGCATAATAATGAACAGAACCAGAACAAAACACAACAAATTAAATCATGACTAATTAAATCAAGATGGTTCTATAGGATTATCATTCAACAACATAATGAGCCTGCTAGAGCAGTTTAAACCCTTTAAATCTTAATATCAAAATTCAGATTCTCATTTGTTATCCCCACACTTTTCCTGTAGAGGTAGTGGGGAGAATTTTCCTGTTCAAGGTGGTCCTATAGGATTAACAACAACATCATGAGCCTGCTAAAGCAGTTTTAAACCTTTATTATATCCATTTTGAAATCACTGGTGATCCCTGTAATCTGATTGGCCCTCAGCAGTGTGGTTTATTCACAAATCACACAATTTTCTCTTCCAAATCACATCTGTTTTAAATCACGTCATTCATGTTCTAAATCACATCATTTGTTTTAAATTGCATCAATTGTGCTCTATATTGCATCTGTTTCAAATACACAATGAGATGTAAGAGCCTTTTTGTTTCCGCTAATAATTTTTAGCAAACCGCCTACTTGATCAATAAAACATTGTTATCGACTGAATTCTGAGTTTTCAAAATGGCTTTAATAAAGTGGTAATTGAACTTTGTGTCGTGCAATTTTGGTCTCAAATCATACTTGTGATTTCAAATTGAACTCACACTGTGTACTCGTCTGATTTTGTAATCACACTCAGTTCAATTATTATTTAAAACCCTAACATCAAAATTCACATTCTCATTTGTTGCCCCGATCATTTCCTGTAGAAGAAGTGCGGAGAATCTGTTGAAGTATCAGTTAGATTCATCTTGTGTACTCATGTCCCTTATTCTTATCACCAATGTGTTTTGTAAAGTGTAATTGTAAATTGTAAATATCTTATTATCCACTCCCCTCAGGGCTTTTCAGGGATAATTTACAACACTGGTTGGGGGACTTTGCCAGACTGCTTAAGGTGCAGTTTTACAAGTAGTGAAGGAATGAGTAATGATGCCCCCATACATGAGTGTGAAAGTGAGATAGGCCACTACACCGGGCACTACGTGCCCTACTCTTCTGAAAAGAGTGTGTGGGTTCTTTAATGTCCCACAGATTTAATACATGTGCAAGGGCTTGTGAGACGGGGCCTACGGTTTATCGTCCTTATCCGAGAAGACTAGAAAGTCTAGCCGTTTGCAGATATTATTACAAAGGCAGCACTTTCTCCTCAGTTATTTAAAGACCCTGAGTGTTGGTCCGGCCGGGGTTTGAACCCGCGACCTCCCGCTCAGTAGACCGGCGCTCTCCCAACTGAGCTAACCAGGCGGTGGTTAGTATTCATATTACAGGGAGAAATTTGATGATGATCACACTTAGGGCTTAAAAGGGGTTAAAAAAAACAGTTTGCATTCAAAAATAATGTCGTGAGCAATGCCATGTAAAGTATGTTAAAAACATACACTGTTGGCAAGTAAGCACTCGTTAGTGTAGCGCATACAGATGAGGATTACAACGCTTATTATTCCAAAAATGTGGCTACAGGCCCTATAATACATACTGTTTTCACCCTTGTTGTATTTGCTACTTGAAGTTATAAGACTTCTAAACCAAGTTTAAGTATTAAAAGACAATAACTTGATTGGGGCGAACATTCTAGTCACAACCTTTGAATTTATCACACAAACCTGATAGCACAACATATTGCCTCAAACAGATAGTGGTTAAACTGTGGTTTACTGGGGTTCTATAATGATGGAAAAAAAAAAACATTTAAAAAGGGTAAGTTACAGAAGTAGTATAAAAGTTGTACATTTTGTTGTGGGAACTATGTCTGTTATGCTGTTGAGTGTAAATTAATAAATAAATCGCTCAAGACTATACCGGGGTAAACATGATCATTAGCTTTATATTGTGGCCCACATATAATGACAGGAACCAGTTATTTGAAAAAGCCAGTGAGAATACTGACTGGCGGAAGACACACCACATGGCTTTGACCACAGAGCTGAACTCAAGACTTTTTTACTCAACAGCTTTTTTACTCAACTGCATCTCTAAAATTCCTCTATGTCTTTGTTTTCATTTGCAGTTTGAGCTGGTGGTAAGCTCTTTTTCCTGGTGAAATTAGGCAACAGCCGTCTCTTAAAGACATCCCTGCACCATGGTGACCGAGCCTAAGTATCAATAAGTTTGGCATCTTTTTGGGAGCAAACAGAGAAGCTGTTACAGGGTGCCATAATTCAGAGTAATCAGTAATAAAGCAAAGAATGCTTCTTTAGGATTAAAAAAAAGTGCTACTGAAGAATGCCAAAGTTATTTGGTCCTTCAAAATTTTATAGATAGCCCTTTCACCAAAAGAATTATGCCACAAAAAATGTCTTTTACCTTGCTGACAAGCATTAGCTTTGAAGCCAGATTATTGATTAGAACTTCAAAGTAAGGTAACATGGCTTCCTTGAGTAATGAAAATGACCTCATGATAGCTGTAAGGTAACAGATAAAACACTTGCAACTGTTATTTAAAGTATCTAGAACCTAAAAATTTTCATTATGTTAACTAAAAGAAAACGTGACTACAAGAATGTATTCAAAACCATTTTGCATTTCAAACAAAAAGAGACTTTTTCAAATAATTTTTAGGTTATGGACAGTTTAAAAAGTCATCCAATCTTTGGATAAAAAGCAATGCTATTTAAACATGACGTTTTGGCGATGACATGTCACCATTTTCAAATGTAAATAAAAGAGACTATGAAACAATATAATAGGAAACGAAGGTGTGAAACACAACATTAAATTTGAGGAATAAAAGAATGAAATAAGTGAAAAGTTTTACTGGAGTGGAGTCGGTTGGAATGTTTAAGGATGGTCTCTTTTTCTTAATCAACAACATCTCACAAATGAGGCACTCAAACTTTCCTAGGCATTAACTTAAGGATCTTAAAATGTTCTCGGAGATTAGTTGCCTCTTGTTGATCAATTTTTGCTCTGAAAAATTACAACTTATAGTACAAAATTAGAAGTAATTTCCTTCTGCAAACATTACCTTTCATCACATACTCATTTTCATGGGAGCCAGGTACTTGCAACAAATTAAAGAGATTGACAAACATGCTCTCTAAAACTGGTTCAACTTCAGTCTTCTGGATTCTACAACGAGCAAAGGTTAACAATAATTATATTAAAATATTACTAAAATTATTATTATTACTATTATTATTGTTATAATATTATTATCTATCAAATGTAACATTGCATTGTTGGTTTTATCAAATCAGACACCCAACCTTTTCATTTTTTGCAACTGTTTGGTTTTCTATAAAAAAAAAATGCTTTACAAAACTGCTAAAAGAACACAGACAGTTGTCAAATGTAGGCCCAGAATTTTCCTGGAGTTGAATTCTTGTCAGACTGCATTCAAGTTCAAAAAAAGAAAAAACTTTCTTGATGTGCTGTTGTCCTCCATTGTTGCATAAGGACCCTTCATGTTGTAAGTATGAAGTGACCAAAAAAAGTACCCAAAGTGTGACGGGCATATAAAGTTGTTGTTTTTCTTGTAAATTAAACCTATTGCTTGATTTGATTTCCTTGCCGCATGGCCACTGTGGTTGCTAAGGCTCCCTAAGTCCACAAAACAATTCCTCATTTAACAACTGAGCTGGTCACATACGGCTTTCCTCCTCCAGGACTCTTGAGAGTAAACAGCTTCTCCAGGCAGTGAGCAGCATAACTGTGGACCACATGACTCTTGGCTGTCAAATGATTGACAAGCAATGGCAGACAATGGATGAGCACTTCACGGGATAACTAAAGAGAATGAACAGCAGCAATAGTCAACATTGAAACTTATGGCAAATGTCTTTTTTCACCCACATGTAATATTAGTTAAGAACAATGTGGCAAAATACATTCTTACACATGTATTTGCCAATTATTATTATTATTGTTCATGCCACACAGCGTGATCTTCAAGCTGGATAGAATATCTAGAGGGCAAGCTTTGACTAGGAGCTTTAGGTCTCTACAACCCTTCTAATCTAAATTATTATTTATTTAATGTGGCTAAATGTAATTTTGGCGAGGTTATACATGAGACAATGCTGGCCAGCAGTCTCCATTGCTAATCCTATGTGGGGTACGCTTAGGGCTTTTTCAGGGCCCCAGTATTTTTGAAGCGCTCTCTTGGAGGTCAGGTCATTTTGAATGCGTTTTCTTTGCTTGTGCTTGTGTCAAAGCCTTTTGGCTCCCAACTCTTCCCGACCTCTGGTAGGTTCTCAATGTAAGGGTGCCTGATGGTTGCCGCTCACAGGGTAGTCATGGTTACCTCAGTTTACTCAGGCACCTTCCCCACACCCATCTGTTGGCGATGGGTTTAACTATTATCATTATTATCATGCAGGCATGAGGTAAGTAATACAAGTAGTGAGATGACTGCAGTTAAAGTTGAGTGTTGTCAGGTAGATGTTGTACTCCCGCCTGAAAAAAAAACCTGTTAAAGATAATTGGACAAAGACTTGATTGAACCTCACCATGTTTCGAAAAACTATGAGGTACTTGATGGCATCAGCCTTCAAGACAGGGTGATCATCCACTGAAATGGAAGAAAACTATAATTTACTGCTAATTAACTGGGAGTAAAAAGGTAACTAAAGAAATGAGAATAGCTTTGTTCATGGTGAAAGCAAGTGCATTGATCTTTCTCACATACAACTGGAAGCCATGCAAAGCCAACCATGCAGCACAACCTTTAATATCAACACCACAAATTACCAGTATTGCAGCACAAAACAAGAGCTAATAAAAAGGCTGACAAGAAACTGAGACTAGGTACAAGAGTACCCAGAAGCAAGGTACTACTTTAAATGCTACAACAATCCAGAAAACACATAAAGGGTGGGTTAGGTGGGGCAGGTAAGGCCATAGCAAATCAGGATGGCAACAAAAACAACTGAATTCTGAAATGCCATGTTACCTAACGATCCCCTAAACACTTGAACCCATACCCCCAGCTGTGTGCAAGAAAAACGTTTTCCACTTCCTTCGTTCCTCAGTCAGTGGATAATCACACTTTTTAGCAAGTTTAAAGGCACTCCAGAAACAAAATGGAACATAACAGGAATGACAAAAGGCAAATTCCCTGGAGAACATCACGTGGTCTGAACTGGGAAACAAAACATACAAGCTAAACAGGTTTATTATGAGGTCATCAAAAGGCAGGGTTCCACTGTATAAGAAGGCCAAAAAGCTGGGTAGGATCTCATAAATAGTAGTAATAATAATTTATTATAATATGAAAATTCATTAAATAAAGGACTGCAGGATTTCAGGTGCAGCACTCTGATCACTCAGTCTTACTGCTGGACTTCCACACTGGTAAAGTGGAGATTGGTCTACAAGGTGAATCCATGCTGAGGTCATTGTAAACATTTTTGTTTATTAGCAAACAAGCAAGTCCATAAAACATGTAGATAATTATACTTGTAAATTAGGTTCAAAAATTAAAAAACTCCGATAATTTGAGCAGTTTCTTCAAGTTTCAGCTCTTTGCAAAAATTGCGTCATACACTCTTTGTAAATTTTGGGGATTTTAAAACAGAATTTCTCTGAAACTATTTGGTATGTTGGAGGCAAAAAATCAGTGTAAACAAGGATTCACCAGTATTAGTAAAGACTGTACCAATTATGAACAAAATACCCTCAGCACTCACCATTCTTTATTTCTAATTCTGGCAAAATATTTGCAGTGAAAAAGCTTTGCAAATTGACAAGTTCACTGGCCTGTGTTGTCCCATGCTGAGGGGAAAACATGAAAAAGAAGACAGATTTGTTACAATACAAAAAAAATACCATGACGGTCATAATTTAAAATCAACAAAATTGACTCCCGTTAAAGAAAAAGTTATCAGCCAGGAGGGGGAATATTTCTCTCCAGTGATAACTGAACCTGAAGCATGTAAAGAATAAAGATATCATTCTAATCAGACCTTAAACTGCTGTTTTCAAAAATAAAATTGAGATCCAAGCTTTCACTGATCAACAGCATGATGACATGCTTCATGGATCCAAGATTACATAAAAGAACATCTCAATAACGAAAACTCCTCTGTAAAAAAACATATCTATTTCTGCCAGAACAAAGGCTTTACAGGCATCAAAGTCGAGATTATTACGATTAAAAACAACCCCGCAAATCGACGCCTATAAGAGGCATTTTAAAGAAAGTAAAAACTTACCCTCAATTCCTGTTAGGAATGTAGCAAATTTTTACAGACCTTGTGTTTAAGTGTTTTTAGAGACTTTTTTAATGCATTTTAGGGGACTCTGTCTGTAGATAGACTTAGTCATTACACTGTTGAATTTTATTCAAAATCTTTATTTCTACACTTTACATACATACTTTGCATCATTTTCACGTTTTACACAAAGAATATTTTCTCATCCCTGATAATGCCATCGATCAGCAAAAGCTTGGATATCAATTTTATGTTTCAAAAAAGCAGTTTAAGGCCTCATTAGAATGATATTTCTATTTTTAATCATGCTACTGAAGGGCAGCATGAACAGACATAGGATATTTGTCACATTTCCGACATGTTTCTTTGACAACCTTCAGCAACTCATCAAACAACAGCAACTAATAAATTCAAAGCACAGGAAGAGATTACCTTAGCAGTTTGCTTTTTGCTTGCTAGTGATGTGACAAGAAATATTGCAGCATCTTTAGCTTTCCAGTTTTTCTCGCTGTCAGCCTGATATTGCTAAAAAAAAAATAGTGACAGTAAACAGTCCAGTATAAAAAAGGTTCTCTGATTTGATTGGCTGTTGACAGCCTTGAGTTCAGCATTATTAGGATACTTGACAGTATTTATCACACCTAAGTGATTAGTGATTAAACAAATTTGATGCTCATGATTTTCCTTAATAACATGCACGATGACAGAGCAAATTAGACCCCTATTTAAAATGACCATTTGCAATAATGTTTGTAATAATAATAATGAAAAAATGACAGAATTTGATAGCCTGGACCTGCTACATTGTAAAATTAACAAACACAAACCTGAAGCATAGTGCCCACATAAAGAGAAAATATTTCTATGACGCGCTGCTCATGAAATTTACATAGTGCTCGGACTAGGTCTGAGGCTGCACGTCGTCGTGTGTCAACATCTATAAGAAATAATGTTATTTATGAACAAGTATGAGAAGCTGAGAAGCTTGCCAAGAAAAGGTGACAAATGCACTATGCACACAGGTCAGAACCATTTTAATGTTTGCTAACCTGATCCTTCAATATCTCTTCTGATGTACTCCTCTGGATTATCCTCAAAAACCTCTTCATCCTCCTCTGAAAAGGGAGGAAAATATTTACGTTAACATGATATAATCATCATCATCATCATCATCATCGTCATCATCATATAGGTACTTAACAATCTCACAACTCACCTCTAAACTCTACATTTGGGACAACAACATTTTCACAGATACTTTTTAAAGTTTCTTGCTTGTCAAACAGGTATTTATAGTTGCTTCGTTCTGCTGCAGAGGCAAGAAACCCAATTGCCGTACTGACAACCTGTAAATTAAGCAAATAATTAAGAACACACAAACAAAATCATTCACAGAACTTCATATATTCATTATTTCATCTTCATCTTTCCTGAGTACCGTATATTATTAACCAATTTTATGAACAGCTCCCAGTTGGCTTGTTAGCTCAATTAATTACAGTACTGCGCTGGCATCACAGAGACAAGCCTGAATTTTTTCAAGCAGTTCACAAGCTTAGTGGTCAAGCGGTTCACAAGCTTAGCAGTTAAGTGGGTCGCAAGTTAAGCGGTCAAGCAGTCCACAAGCTTAGCGGTCAAGTGGCCCACGAGTTAGCGGGCATCTAGCAGACAATCCCATAAGAGCAGGCTCACATGGTACATGGTAGCTTAAGTTTGTACACTGGTAGGATAAGTGAGTTCTTCATTGAGTGCTTGTGCAGTGGTCTGTGCAGCAGTTCATTTAGTGTCTTCCCCCCCTCCCATCCCTTATTTTGATTCCTTCCACTGTTTCATCAGATGGGTGCCTGGAATGGGGGCTCATGGCTGGGCTGCGGGGATTTGCTAGCCATGGGGGCAGTATAGGCCATTTGCACTAAGAGGTCATGTAACATCGTTTTTATGAAAATGAAAGTTATATGATTTTTCCTAGGAAAAACGATTAGTGGGTCATATCTTGAACAAAATAATAGTGATTTGGTTTTTCAAACCTGCGCCATTTTCTTAAAATGAGTAAGTTGGTAGCTGGTCACATGACCAAAATGTGCACTAAAACTTCAAGGAAAATGTTGAAAGGATGATGTAGTAACGTTTGCAGCACATCTGAGCGAAACTAACAAACGTTTAACAAGATATAAGCAAAAACTAGTTTTGGCCGCCATGTTGGAGGGCAAGAGTATACCCTCCAACATGGCAGCCTATACAAATTTTATTACTTTGCTGAAAAATCAAAGTGCCATAAAATATCCCCCTTAAATGCTTTTCCTCTCAAATTTCGGGTGTAAGATAATTTTTATGTGCTCTATCAATTTTTGGCATCAGAAATTAAAGATTCCAACTCGATGTTTAAAGGAAGCATTGGTCACGTGACCTCTTAGTGCAAGTCATCTATTCTATCTAGGGGCTGGCGGGCCACAGTGGAAGCCCCTGGGTATCCCAGGCACCCACCTTTCACTTAAACGAAGCAGTTGGTTAAAAAGAAATGAATATTTTGTGTGAATCAGTTACACTTCATCAGCGTTGTGAGGAGACTCAAATGTTTTGCTCTGAATTTGGAATTTCCTGTACTAAACCTTTTTGGTAACGTTCGTATATTCAGTCATCATTTTAAAGTGGATGAAAAATATCAAGTTTACCAACAAAGGATGCCACTTGTGAGTAAGGATCCAATAGGATATAGGATGTGAAAGAGGTCTATTCCAATAACACTTGCTCATATGCTTTGTTTTTATTCAAATGTACAAAATGTTTTCCTCTTTGGGCTTCTTCAGTGTATAAAAGTTAAAAACCAAAACCTGCATCATTCTATGTATTTATTGTCAGTGGTGTTTAACAGAAGAGATGAGACAAGATTCCCCCAAGTTTGTCTTTGTGACAGTCACTGTACTTAACATGTGCATACTGTAAGTTCCACCAGGGTCCTTCTTGGTCAGCATGGGGGTTGGGGGGAGGGGGGGTTGGGTGAAGGGTGAACTCTGGGGTTACCAAAGTCAGAAGAACACTAGAAACCTCAGACAAATGCTGATACTTACAATGTCATGCTTTGCTATTTTTTCAGTTGAGTCAGAGACAAGGAGATGCCAAATTGCCTCCACAAACTTTGGCAGGTAACCCTGAAACCAAACAAGAGTAAAAAGACGAAGATTTCACTAAATATGAGGGTGAAACAAAGAACCAAACAGAAATCTAGTTCAGACCTCAAACCTTTCATCTGGCAAAAGTTAAAGGTGAAACAAGGATGAAGTGGACCTTGTTTTGATACACTACCCTTGATGCCTTATTGTGTAAGTGTTACATGTGTTTTTTTCCAGCATTGTAACAAGGAAGGAAAGCATGGTTGGATAAATTGTGGTCAGCTTCAGCTTACAATGACATTCACTCAAAGGTTTCTTACTGGTTTCCTTACAACATGAGGTCTAAGAAACAAGTGCAGATATTGCATAATGATGATACATCACTATCCAGACCTGAGTAGTGCTTCTGATTGTTGAAGCAAATTTCCCACACGGAAACACCAATCAGCAGCAATAGCCAAATCTGGGTAGTGTCGCATCTTCAGTATGGAATTTCTGTGCTTGTTTCTCAGATGTCATTTTGCAGGGAAAGCAGTGGTGGTGTCACGAAAAGTTGGCTGTTTTCTCAGGCTACCACTGGAATAGTGACGCTCCTTTTAAAGAGACCGAGTGCAAGTTATTTGGAGAAATGGTGCTTTGTAGAGAGTTTCCATCTTGGTGTCCCTTGGAGGAACATCAAACTTAAAGCTCTTTCTTCTGAGCCACCTGAGTCACTGAATAGAAAAGCATCATTCTCCTCATGGTGATTCTTAGTTTGAATTTTTTTTTTTGATTATGTCACATGCAAACCAACAATAATAATAATCATTATTAATTAGTATTATTATACTACTACATGAGAAATTTCTGCAATCTGATTGGCTTAGAGCAGTGGTATTTCAGCTTAATTTGAAATACCTACAGGTGAAAATTACAAACCTTTTGCGGGTAGTAGTATAAACAAATAATAGCATGATTTGCACGTGATATTTGGCATAAATACCACTCGTGACATTTCAAAATTGTCTCAAATTTCACTCACCTAACGGCTCGTGAAATTACGTATAACAATTTCGAAATATCACTCGTGGTATTTATGCCAAATATCACTACAAATCATGCTATTACCTATACTAATTATTATAATACAAAAATTAGAAGCCATTTTTCTACCTCGAATTCTTCATCATATTTCTGTGCATAAAGAGCCACATTATCACAGATTTGTGACTTGATCAGATCTATTGGTTCAGTCTCATCCGTGTCCTGGAAACAAAGACACATGAGAGTTAATTTTTTTTTTTACTAACTCAAGATTTCAACAATGTATGTTTTAAATACCACTTCATTTATAATATTAATATTATTATAATAATATGTTATTGATAGCTTTGAAGACTGTTAAATCTGAACTGGAAAGGAGAAAAATAATACTCACCTCTATCTTAAGTTTTTTACTGTCTATTGTAAGGAGGATAAGAAAATTTGTCATCCATTTATCCATGTTTTCCTCAAAGTGTTCAGGCAAGTCCTGTTATCCAAAACAATATTGAGAGATTTGCAATATTAATTTCAAAATTTATCTGCTGGGTTTAAGTGAGGCTACATTTAAAACAATGCCACACTGTCAGAATCAGTGGAATACTTGCCTAAATTCTGATACTGGTTGTGTGAAGCAATCTGCAAATTGTTATTGTTTTGGTGACAACTACATGGATCAGCCAGCAAAGAAAAAGTGCTTGTGTAACAAAAGAGATAGCATGCGAGCAAGCTCTCCATTTGGCCAAGCAAAGTGAGCCACCCGAGCATGATAAGCGCGAGCGAGCAGCAGTGGAGGAAAGTAGAGCTTGCAATGATCTCTCATAAATTTTCATTTACAAGTACTTTGCCCAAACGAAGGGAAATACATGTACCATTGGCTGAAAAATGACACTCCGGAAATTTAAGTTGATTGATAACAGGCCTAGCTGGCCTGCCCTAAATTTTCGCGGGAAATGAAGAAACACGACAAAACACTTTTTATGTCGAGCGATCACTGAGCTCACTCAGAAAAAGAAAACCAGCAAAGGAGGGAAATACCTCTCTCCTTCTGTGAGAGATAACTGTCGTCTGTGTGGTTGTTCATTCAAAGTCAAATTTGGACCTCAGGCCAGTCATAATGGAACTGAAAACTTGTTTCAGTCCTCAAAGCAGAAGGGCTTGTTTGGTGTAATTCTCGCAAAGCTGTGTGAAAGTGTCAACTTTTACCTTGTGCAAAATGTTGTTTGTTGTGTCTGGCGGATAGATTATGCCCTGGAGGGTTAAGTTTTAACTGAGCAAATGTGATTTTGCCACTTATTACATACTGAGAGGTCGTGACATGCATATTGATTTTCTGCGGTAACTGTTTCTGGTGGGCATGATTTGCCCTCTAATGCAAGAGCGTTTTCTTTTACCTTTTTTGAAACACAAAGTTCTTCATTGCGGTTAAATAACGGTTTTAGGCTGTCTGATTTTCTCAAAAATGCCTACTGGATCTGAAAAATATTTATTCAGCGATTTTCTTTTGTCACTGAATCTGATGGTTTCCTCAAAGTTTTGTCACGCTGGGCCTAGCACGTTAGTGTTTTTAGCAGAATGCTAAATTCTCACGGATAGTGATTTACAGATCCAAATTTTCGAAGAATGGATTGCAGCTTAAACTGAGCTCTACATCAACTATGGAGATAAGAACTGTGCGGTGACTCGTTGGAAGAACGGCAAAAAAAATCTCGACTCAAAAGGAAACTTGACAGGCGGTTGTCACTTTTCTAATTTGCGGCATGTTTGTGGTGACAGTTTTCACACTTTACAGAGTCCTGGGGTTTCTGGAATGGAAATGAAAATTTGTGAGAGATAGTCGCGAGCTCTCCTTTCTCTCCCCCACCCCCCGTTGCCGCGTCTCCCGTCGCGTGCCACTCGCGCATGTACTTTTCATGATAACCCCCAAATGGAGAGCTTGCTTGCAGGCTACAAAAGAGACAATTATAGACCCAAACCACAGCACATTTTATATGATCAGTATGGAATGTCAGTTTCCTGTTATTGAGGCACAGATCTCTGCCCCATCAGTCACACTCTTCCGATCAGCTATGATTGTTAATGGAAGTGTAAAACCTTTCTCATTTTATTCAGAAGCAAAATAAATAAATATTAAAAAAAAAGAAGTAGCTTGAGAAAAAACACTGCTTTAAATTCTGTAAAATGCCAACTCACCTGAAAATTCAAGCTGTAGAAGACCTTACAGATGAGCAAGATAGAACTGAGAATATCTTTAAGTTTGGACACATCAGACGCACTCTTATTAGCCTCTTCCATTATGTTCTACAAAAATTGAGAATAACAAAATCAATGTACATTATTTCAAAGAGACTTAAACAGTCAAAAACCATGAACACCAGAAATATTTCTGGAATGTTATTGTGTTGCAAGAAAAAAGCCAATCAGGTGTAATAAAACTGCAAGCAAGAATGTTAATTAGTTTGTGGTTTTGTGACTAGTTCGCATGTCCTGAACTTTGTTGTTACTGGTTGTAACACAATTATACATTCCTGACATATATATATACATGTATGTATTTCAAGTGTTCAAGGTTTTGCCGGTTTGATTATAAAAATACAACTGAATATTACATTTCTCCTAACAACAGCAATTCATCATCGAGATAAAGGCTATGAGAGTTAATAAAATTAATAATCAGCACAAGGAAAATCAGGGTGCAAAGAAAGTTAGTTTTACAGCCTGCCATTTGGGCAAGCTGTAGCTAGCATGAACTAACCCACAAGTACTTTCAACTACCTTATCAATTAACGCGAATCGTTAAAATTAGTGTTAATTTAAGTTGTGTTAATTTTGTTGAGTGTTAACTTCCGCGGCGTTAAATTAAATAAGTGCAGCATTAACTTCTGCTCTGTTAATTTCCAGTATTTTAACCTCAATTTTGGAACCTTTCAAGACATTCTTGACAACTAAAAAACATTAACTACAAGCTTTCTTTCTTGGACATTTACCCTATATTTTTCATCTTTCACAAAAGCTAAGGCAAGGTTTACAATATTTTGAGTTCATCTTCATTGTTGTCGCTGTCAGAAGTTATGTCAGATCAGTTTTGTTCAGTTTTGAATTTTTTTGCATCCAGTGTTGAATAAATTTGTTCCAGTTGTCACCACCAACTATGTCTTAATCGCATTAATTTCCTTTATTATGAAATTCTACCTCCTCTTTCACGTTAATTTTCTTTATTCGAATGTCGTTTTCCATTAAATTTGTGTTAATTTAAGTCGCGTTAATTTCCAATAATAAGGTAGCCCCCAAACCCTTTTTGATTAGCCCGATTGATTACAATCCTTCTGTAATTTGAATTTCCCAAAAAAAGAGCACTTGCCTGTTGGGTAAGTTAAGACCAAAAATCACTAGCTCGATAGCAAAATCCACTAGCCCTGGGCTATCAGACACGACTTTCTTTGCACACTGAAAATGCTTTGATCTTTTATCATATTCTCTCAACTAATTCTTTAAGGAAATTATAGAGATCAGTCTGGAGAAATAGTATGTGGATATTGGGGCTTTAAAGGTTAAAAATCCCTAGCCAGAGTTTGAACCTGTGCGTGCCTTTCAGCAAACTGTCAGATGTGTGCTACTAAGAACTTTACCAGATGGCCACTAAGCAACCATCACCACAACATACGTTAAAAACATCCCATTTAACATCATGTCACAATGACACAAGTCCTTTCTATAAAGCCAGTTCAATCCACTGTTTAAAAAGATAATTTTGTCACACATGAAATGATACAAGAACTACATTTATGCAACATACCCTGACCAATAACTGCCATACACAGAGATGATGGCCATTAACCTACCATAAAAAGATTTGTCAAGGGTTGAGCAAACTTGTCCAAAACAATCTTGATTTCAGTCCACAGCTCTTGGGACTTGAACTCATGACGGTATCTAGAATGGTCCAAGGAACAAGCAATTATTCTTACTACTTACTAACCTCACTAAATCCACCCATTTTCCAACCACCCAGTATTAATCAATAAAAATAATAATAATAAATACTTAATTATCCTCTCCCCTATGGGGCTTTTCAAGAATAATGAAACAAACAAATTTAAATAGAAAATAACAAGGTTAAGAATCCCAACTGGTAAGAGGAAAACCAGTTGGCTATTTACAAGAGCGGCCGTGGATTTGAACTTGGGACACTACCGAGAACAAATCCAGCTAGCGGTCAAGGCCAGACTTGGAACTCAGAGCCTCTGAATTACAAGTCCAGCACTCTAACCATGACTTTCATAATCAAGGGTCTCATGTTGTTTCTTTTGCCAAGAAAAGGGATCTGTCAAAAAATGTTGTGGGGAGATCTAAAAAAAATTATGCCCATTCAACTTCCCCTTTAGTACACTTAATGCATGTAGCCAAATGTTACCTTTTGTTGCAAGTAATTGGCAATTAAACTAAACTAAATGGACTAAACCACTGTGACACATGCCTTTGCATGTTCAAGTACATGGTATGCACATGGAATACACACCTTTTGAATAATGAGTGGGCAGTCTGCAAAACTCCATTTATTATGTGGAAGTCTCCACTCTTAAATTTAGCGACCATGTCCTAAAAAAATATAATTAAAACTGATGACGCAGCACTTAGGTGTAAACCAAAGATAATACATGTATACCTGAACACAATGCCAACAAGGATATAATCAAAGAATCATTACATACTGGCAATAAGGTTTCCCATTTATCAGGAAAGTCCTCTCTTCCAATCACACTGACAGCATCACTGAGCTAAACAAACAAATAAGAGAATGCCACCGATGAATACAACACAATAATAAATGTAAATTTGTCTAAGAAATGTGTAGAGAAAACAATGTTAAAACACAGTGAAAAACAGTTACTTGTTTTTGTAACTTCTCAGGACTTCTAAGCATCAAATCAACAATTTCCCTTTTAACTACAAAAAAAAGAACAGTGTGAGCTTAATCACAGAATCTAAAAAACACCAAACTGAAACAAGTGACAAGGCCCATGCAGGGATCAGCGTGCAAAGAAAGTAGTGTCTGATAGCCCGGGGCTAGTGGATTTTATTATCCTGACGGGCAAGTGCTGTTTTTTGGGGAAATTCAAATTACAGAAGGATTGTAATCAATCCTGCGAATCAAAAATGGTTTGGGGGCTAGTTGAAATGACTTGTGGGCTAGTACATGCTAGCTACAGCTTGCCTGAATGGCAGGCTGTAAAACTGACTTTCTTTGCACCCTGAGGGATCGAAGCAAAATTGCATTTATTAAGCTTAAACCTGTAGAAAGGAGGTCAAAATGAAGAAACATTGTTGCTTATCACATAATGTGATAGGCAATCATGTGATAAGTTAATAATATAGAAACCTTGAAGCACCTTTTCTATATTTGTGCAAGTATACGTGGTCTGTCATATATTATTAATAATTTATCACTGATTAAGCAACACTCCTAAGAATATCATACTTATTTCTCTGTCCTGTTCACTGATCTTGTTTGGTTCTCCCTCAACCTAATTTGAAACAACACAACAAGATAATTTACTTACTGTTTAATACTGAATATTCACTTCCTAGAACATTTATTTTCCAGTTGGTAATAAATTTACCGGAATCATTGTGTAGAGCAATATGTTTTACGTGAGACAACAAAACTTACAATTCTCCAGTTTCTCTTCACACTATTTTTGAAAGATATTGCAGCAGCAATTCTGATCAGGCCATCTGTACTAGCTTCAGCCACTAGTTGCAGCAATAAAACATTATAATTCTCCTTTGCCTCATTTGACTGAAGAAACTTTTCCGCTATAATGAACAACACAAAAGACAAGCACTTTAAAAGAAATTCAGAAGGTAAACTTGAGACAATGCTCGCCAGCAGTCTTTCATGCGATATTATTGAGGGCACCCCAATAGCTTTCCAGGGAGTTAAAGTGTGTTACAGGTTAAAATTATAATGTGGCTAAATGTAATTTAGGCAAAATTAACCTCGAAGCAATGCTGGTCAGCAGTTTCCCCAGCTATACTAGGGGAAGCCCGATGCCTCTAGCTGGGGCACCTCGTGACTTATAATATACCCAGTTGCTTGCTTGCAGTTCGTCGCAAAATGTTGTTGCAATAGCTTGCTCTTTGCGTACCATTTGGTGCTTTGGTTTTTTCCCATCCCTCCCTCCCTCTTGAGGTATGGGCCAGGTAAGTATTGTTCGGTAAGTATTCCACTGAATTGTTCAGTGTGACGGTGCTGGTGGGGGCCGCTCGCAGGGTTGCCATGGATACCTCCTTCTCATGCTAGAGCATTGCCCGGCTCCACCAAATTTGTAGGCACCAACGCCCAAGCTCATCTATTGGTGATGAGTTTAATTCAGGTTAAAATTTTTTAGCCTAGGTTGATTCTCAATTTCCTTTGTCTCTTTGCCCTAACAACAATATTATTTACCAGTGAACTCATTTTGACTGGCCTTGACTTGTATCACTAACTATTGTGATAGCTTCAGATTTCAGCTAGGATTCTTTCTTCTTATTAATAGATCATAGCTGTTTGATAATACATACATGTAGCCAGCTTAGATACTTGTCTAAATAATAGTCCGCTATAGGCCAAACCAAGTTCACAAAAGTTGCATTACAAATGACTTGCACAGATCAAGGATATTATTGACTACTTTCAAATAACATATTTTATTATACATTGTACTATCTACCTTCTCATTGGCTACGAGCCTACAGCTAATTTTGGAGATCAGCACAACCTACAGATTAGTTAGTTATCTGCGAGCAGATAACTGACTAATCTGTAGGTTGCGTGCACACTGCATGATTTCAAATAACAATATCAAGTCAGGTTCCTTGCGACGGTGTGTTTGTTGTTGTTTTCTTCAAAACAGTGTATAATAAAACAATAATAGATTCAGTTTTTGTGATATTCCAAATAATCAAGGTCTCGGTTAGTGTTATCAGCCTCAGCCTTCGGCTCAGCTGATAACACTTACCTCGACCTTGATTATTTCGGATATCACAAGAACCTCATCCAATAATTGCTTAAAATATTTTCATCTTAGTGGTGTTATAAGAAAAGAGAGGATGCCAAAATCATATCAAACAACAATAATCTAAAACGAGCAGACATTGTTATTGTGAACCGCAAGATGAGACAGTTGAATCTTCACAATGAGGTCGCTGTTATTAAATGTATACTGTTGCAAGACTGTCATGTTCATGACAAGTAAAGGGGAGGCTTGGTCACGTGTACAAATTATTCACGTATGCCATTTGACGATGCAGACCTCACTGTTATTAAAATCTTTTCTGTGTCATTTAATTTACAGTCTGCAAACTTGCAGTCTGTGATCTGCATTCTGACTCAACATTACTTTATCAGCACAAGTATAAACCTATATCTGAATAAATCAATTTGGTAAAATTTCCTGTTCAAATAACCTTTTGGGTAAGTCTGCTTGTTTTCCCATTATGATTTCAGAGAAGGTGATGTTACTTTCAGGGAATTGTTCCTTTTAAATTTCACACTAGTCATGTGCACATGAATGTATAAGCTATTATAAGAAAGGAAAAATCCCTCTAAGAATGTCACATGACCATGAACAGAAAAAGAAACAAACAAAACAACATAAAAGATGTATTCCATTTCCCCTAATTTCTTTTATCATCACAGTAACTCACAATGTGTTACCTTGAAGAGGCTGGAAAAAAGTTCTGGGTTGTGCTCTAGCAGCACCCAGTTGCTCCTGGTATTAAACCAACTTTTGCCCTTAGATGATAAGGAAATTTTTTGAACTGAAAATGCTGGCAGGCACCCTGGATTTCATAGGTTAGAGCTTTTCATTTCCCAACAATAAATAATTGCCTGTGCCTGGAATAAAGCTCTTAATGACTTATGACAAACTGCTAAATTCTCCCTCTGGTTTGTACTAAACCTGCTTGAGAATCAAAGGGAGAGTTTTACATTAGATCAGGAGTCACTAGGGACATTCTTAAGTGAAGCCTTGGGAAGTTAAGACCTTTTTAAGGTAATAATATACTTCAGTCTTTATAAATGATGTAAACTGCTAAATTGGGGGATGAAATCAATGCTCTCTTATTTTTGCCTATGGGGTAATGTAAAAAAAGGAAAATTATTCATCTGTAATGTGTAAGGCAAGTGCCAATCAGACTTGGACTGTCATGTTTGACAAGTAGAATCTGAACTTTCAAAGAATAAGTAATGGGTATTTTTAATCCCTGGCCAGTTTTAGTGCCTGTTTAAAAGCAGAGGAGGGCAAGTTTAAACATGAGTAAGTGATGACTAATTTGACCACCAGTCAGCAATATTTTGCCCCAAGATGACCCCCTAACGGCTCTTAGGCACTTGCCAGTTTTACAGAAATATGCCCAGCAATAGTGATCATTTCAACAATTATTGTAACACAAAGTCAAACGCCCAAGTACGTCTGATCCATGATCATCGTGAAACGACTGCATGCAAAAACTGATGATAACATTTTCAAGTGGTAACCATCTTCAGCATTAGTTACTGCCAAATCAACGGCTATTAAATTGATTCCCTTCCTATCTCAAAAACCACGCACCCAAAACAAGGGCCTACACGGCCTAGGGTCACAATCTGGTACAATAAAGTCACTTTACAAAGACAACTTTTTGCTTTTCGAATGTCGTTCATTTGTACTTTTTTAAACTCTAGCTCTAGATCTCTACGAAAGTTTTTCTGTTCCCGTTACTAAGTAACGGTTACTGTAACTTTTATATGTGACTTACGCATACTTAAGATATTAAAAGCATCGCTATTTCTTTAGTTGCACTTGGCTGATTAAAACAGCGACAGCAAAGGTAATTTTTGGTGACATGAAACCTACCAAAAAATGAACTCACCTTGCCTCCGAACGTTTGCATCCGGTGAAAGGGTATTTTTTAAATTTAAAGCTACTTCGTTCAAATTTACGCCCGCCATCCTCAAGAAGTTGAGAGAAACTACAAATCTCGGCGTTCAGAGAACAGATAAAACGATATGTAAAAGGAAATACTGGACAACTGCATTCACAAGTCGTGAAAATTCGTGCGTTTTCAAATCTTCTCGAAATGCGCCATTGCATTTGCGCATGTCACATGGTGCACGTGTTCGTTCCCAGTTCACTCTGAAGAACATTAACGGCGGGAACTGAACAGATCAAAAGAAAGTCAAACCAAACGGAGCCAAATGTACGGATTATCGAGGAATAACTTCAGAATTATTCCCCTTTTACCTTTTTTGCGGAATGAACGAAAACTAATTTGGGATTTGTACCATAGTACCGTAAAATTCCGAAAATAAGCCCCGGGGCCTTTTTGAGGGGCTTATTTTTGGAGGGGCTTCATTGGGTTTATATTCGGAGGGGCTTCTGTACGGAGGGAAATTTGCGTTTCAAAAGCGATTGGGTTAGCCTTATTCTTGGAAGGAAATTTACCGTTTTTCTTTGTTTTACTTTGTATTTGAGGGCAATTTCCAAGTACAAACCTACCGCGCCCGCGGGCTTATATTTGGAGAGGCTTATTTTCGGAATTTTACAGTATCCTTTTCTATTATGACCGCGTGGCTGGGTGTGACTGATAACAGGTGCGGATCCACACCGGTTTCCACCGTTTTACGGAAATCGGTCAGATTTTTTATCATAAAAATATTTTTAATAAAGAAAACTTTCCAAGTTAAGGTTATGTTACACGAGACGATTCGCAACGACGATTTTTAGTGCAACATGGCGTCGTAATGCTGGCACTACCGAAACAATGTCGCAACGCTGTGTAGCGCTAAAAATCGTCGTTGCGAATCTTCTCGTGTAAAATCACCTCAAAAAAATGGACCTTCATGAAATAATCCGCCGATTTGCAAGGCTTCATCAGGGAAGAATGGCTGGTCAATATCCTGTCTGAATGACTCAGAAACCCAAAAGAGGCCTAGAGGGGACTTCAGGGAATTAAAATCCAAGACATTTCCCGGGGTAGCATGCCCCCGGATCGGGCCCCTCGACTCGTTTAAGAAATCGGTCAACATATTTTTCTAAATCCGCGCCTGTAAATGTCTCTAATGTCCAAGGCATGCCAAGGGGTTCGTTCATGATAGCCATTAGGGAAAGTCTACAAGCCAGAGTGACAAGAGATTCATGATAGTGCAAAAGTACGACATAAACACTAAACTGTACACTCTCTCCCTCCTCTAGAAGTGTGGAACTACTGAACTGAAAGAAGGTCAAGGGTTTCATGATCTATTTAAGTAAAGAATACCCCTTATGAAGGCGAAGAGGTGCGACTCTAATCCTTCCTTAGCCTTGTGAGACTAATTAAATATAATTGAACTATCTGCATATTCCACACTTACAGGCATAGAAAAGTTAAGAACTAGGAACGAAAATGGAAAGAAGCGATCTTGTAGCCAGCGCTGGTGGATTTGAAAGCCATCTTTGATGCCAGTTTCAGGTTTTTACCAGCAGCTTTTCGGCAAATGGATCTGATCTGTGCAAATCATTAACGCGATTCCCGGACGAAATTTGCCCTGATTATTCACCGTCGTCACCCGGCAGTAGAGACAGTAGACCATAGAGGGTCATTAGATGGCAGATTAACTCTCGAGTTACGAGAATAATATGGGCCTGGAGTGCTACCGCATCTTCAGTAACGCACAAGACGACACTAAAAACATAAGGCACTGATAAGGTAAGTCGTTTTTATTCATCTATGAAGCATTTCTCCCGATCACTTCACACTGTCACTTGAATCCAGCCGAGAGTGAGCGTTACGAAGTACAGTTGAGTATATGAGATCACATGTCACGCGTGACATGATGGTACCTCCAGCAGTTAAAATGGTCCAACCGTGGTTGCTCCCGGAAATTTTCCGACTGAAACCGCAACGAACCGTAAAGATGTGTTCCGTTTACTTTCCAAATACACTTTCCGGAAACTTTTTCGTAAATGGTAAACAACCTGCGAATACAGTTTCCCCTCATCGCTCCCTGGCCTGAGAAAACAACCAACAATTTCTTGACGCTCACCTCTAGCCTGAGTATCAGGCCTTCATCTTTCCCCTTTTCCCCCAGAAACGCCTGATACTCAGGCTAGCTCACCTCTAGTTTCCTAGCCTCCCACGCAGACGTTCTTAGGGCGACGAACTCCTAAGAACCTCTGCGTGGGAGGCTACTGAGGAACGAGCGCAGAAATTCCATTCTGATGACGCGTCACTACCCAGATCTCAGCAGGGTTTCTGATTGATTGAAGTAAACACTACCATTCAGAAGCACTAAACAGGGGCCCATTTCAAGTCCCACTCAGGCCACTTCCTGTATTTGTTCTCAGTCATCCTGAGTTTAAATCCTTGGCCATGCTTGTAAATAGCTAGATGATGGCCTCCTGCCAGTTGGGGCTTTTAATCCTGTTGTGTTGTATTCAAATTATTTGTTTACTATTTGAGCGGAGCGCCTATTGTGTAAAGTAGCTGGATATTGAGCAAAGTGCACTTTCCACTATAAACAACTTTAACCTTTCATACCCGAACAATTCCTAAAGAGTTCCAAAAATTTAAGATTTATTTCATTTAAATATTATTTTATTGCCTACAAAGATGGTCGCACAGATTCAGATGACAAAGTTCCATTGTTATAATCAGCATATCAAGGAGAATACAAAGAATCAGTAAAAATTAAAGAAAGTTTGATGATCCACTCTGGTCCATGTTAGCACTTGGATTCTTCTTTTTATGTAGTATTGAAATATGTTAGCGAAAAATGTTCAATAATAATTATTTGTACCTGAAAGAGAAAAGATTGGTGTTACTCAATACTCTCAACATGTTAAAAAAATTAAATTTGTCTAGCAAGCTGTTGGACTGCTGATGAATGGACAGTTCAAAATTGGTTGGGTACTAGACAACAAAGTGGTAGGCCTGGTTTAATTCCAAGACCATACAGAACTCAAGGCCTTGTTAAAAGGTTACCGGATACCTTCAGGGGTGTTTCATGTGTAACTTAAGTATGGCATTCCAGTTGAACTACAGATACCTAAAACCCTATATCAAAATTAAACTTATTGAACTGGCTATCATAATAAACCAACATTAAAAAAAAACCTTCACTGTAAATTTTTTTTACAATTTTTTAATGCGAGCATCCAAATCAGCTTTCAAAAGCCAAAACTCAGAGCAATTTTTTGTTTCACTTATTTGATTTATTCTAGTCTTAAGGAAGTTAAAGTGCTAGAAAATGTGTCAGGGATTTGCCATATTTTTGATTGCGATGAAAAGTTGCAGAACAATATTCGAAACAGGGCTAAGAAAAAGAAGGATAATCATAGAAAAATGCCTTGCAACAAAAATAGTTTAGGAAACCAAAAATTTGCTGACACTTGATTGTTGCAGTTACATATGGCTCAATCAAACAAATTCCCTCCCAGTGTTAGCTATTAAAAGCTGATTTGCGTTTAGATTGATTGCAGAACCAGCTTTTATAGAACAGAAAATATTTGGATGGACTAGACAAACATATCAGAGGTAGTGGGACTGAAACGTTTGGTCTTAAGCAAGAAGTGTAGAGTAGCTGTCTGTATGGGCAGTGTCTATAATGGCAAAGTTTCCACCAGGGAGGAGTGAATGGACAGCAGTAGTATAACAAATGAAGATTGAAACTGCTGATCTAATACTGCTGCATACAATTCTCCAGCACCTGAATAGTGCAAACCCCAATGTCCTCCTCTTAATGGGCCTGCATCACAGAGATAATCTAACCCCAGTTAGTAACGTCTGAGAGGCAGCACCGAGATCTTCGTTCTGGGCCCCCAACAGACTCAATGAATTAATGGATGTGCATTTCAAATCCCCTTCAACCTGATTGGCAAATCGAGAATGGCTTTTTTGATAGGCCAATCATGATGCATACTTAAATACTGGTACACAGGTGCTGGTGGGGCTCAGAAGAATTATTACAGCGCTGTTTAGCAGACAGACTTAACCAGAGGTTTATTTTCATCTGTAGCCCAGGCTACCTCTTTAATTGGTGGGTTATAAAATCAACACTATCAAATAATAACGTTCTTAAAACTACTCTGTAACAACTGTTGTCACTTACAGTTATAATATTATTGGTGGAAATAATCTTACTCCTCCTTTCTTTTGGGATTATTGACTGCTACAAAGTGGTACAAGACAACTAGAAGGAACAGTGATACACCCAGGATGTTTGCAAAGGCTGCAAGCTGAATATCTGTAATCATGGCTACAACAGAAACAGAATACCAGTTATCTTTATGTTAAACATCGTCATATGCTAAGAAAACAACATGAAAGGAGGCAATTAAATAAACGTTTTTGAGACAGACCAACATAAATCAAACAGTTTTGGGTAGAAAAAGGGATATAGATTACTTCAATTAATGAGAATATTATTAATAATAATTAAAGGGTTTCCTAGAAAATGGACACTTGTGACTGTTTACTAGGTCTACAGACACAAGCGGCCATCTCTAGGAAACACTAACACAGCTTTAGGTCATAAAGTATTATTATTACTTTATGACGTAAAGCTGTATTATGATTACCGTAAAAACTTGTGTATAAGCCGCACCTTTTTGCCAAAATTTTGAGTAAAAAATCGCAGGTGCGGCTTATACACGAGACCATTGCTCTCAAAGGGAGTAAACTGGCTTGTAGGGGTCACAAATTGAACTGAAAACCTTCAGTAAATAAAGATTAAACATATTGAAAACGTGTCGTTGATCATTGCTTTCAGTAGAAGTGGTGGCTCCTAAAGGAGCCGTTTGTTTGCATCTGCAGGTTCTATACCTGAATCTTGCTCGCCAGTAGTTCTTTTAAGCGTTTCATCTGCGCTTTGTTTGAGCAGTTAAACTCTAACTGGCACGGAATCTCCATTCCTCCGCACAGCTGCTTACAGTGTCGTCTGCGACCGATCACTTCAACGCTGATTTCCCCACTACGTGCAAGAAAATACCACGCTATTCGAGAGAATTCGCGAGGCAAATGGCCGACCGTTTCGTCGTCCTTCACTACTTTCACGGCGTGTTTGTCCATTGGGTTGTTAAACTCTCGTTTAGCAACAAGCTTTTCCCCGATCGATGGTTTCCATACGTCAAATAAACGTCAAATAAACACGTGGTTACTATTTAAAATGTCACTGCAAATACACAACATTAAATTTCCTCAAGTTTATTTGTGAACATTTTGATGCGCGAACAAACGATCACCTTTTTTACAAAAGCGCATTTTTGGTTTTTTTTTTTTCAAAATCATGCTTGAAAGTTGGGGGTGCGGCTTATACACGAGTGCGGCTTATACACGAGTTTTTACGGTATGCTTCATGATTTTGAAGGATTATTGCGGGGCTGTCAATAAGGGCTGGTAGCCGGCCAAAACCGCCGCCTAGTCAGCCATCCCTAGCCGGCTACTTTAATTTCATCTTCTTCTACTATAACTGCTAACAAAAAATAAGCACCATCGAATGAAATTGAATGCATATTTATAAAGGTTTAGCCCTGCGAAACGTGTGAACCGTGTGATGTCGTTGAACACCCAGGACATTTCAATGGCATCGTTGCCAATCTTGAGTGTATTCTGATGACAAAACATTGTGTCTGCGGTGGAAAATACCTCTTGAAAACCACAGAAAATGCCATTTCCGAGACTCTAAATTTCAAAATCTCCCTAGATGTCTTGGCCCTCAAGAATTTGTGCTTTTGGTGCGAGTTCCAAAGCCACCTTCTATTCATTACTAGCCTGCTACCTAAAAACTTTTTGACAGCCCTGATTATTGAGAACAGCATGTCCTCATATGAACTCTAGCCCTTGTGTTAATATGTTACAACCCAGTCAAACCTTCAGTGTGTGTGATGGTTTTATTATATTCTTTTATGTTCTGAACCTCTCGTAAGTGAACACATCAACATGAATATTTGAAGAATTTTTTGGTAACAACATAACATGCATGTACATGGAACCAAATTATCATTACTTTGAAACTGCAAGCAACTACATGTAGGTCTGTTCCACAATGTAGACAAGGTCATACTCATCCTTGGAAGAGACCCCCTGTGGTTCAATTCTCAAATGCAATTAACTCTTGAGAGTAACCACTAAAACTTTCCATTTTGGGCGGTCACTTAGAATCAAATGACTGCTACTGAAATGACAGAAAGTGGTTTCCTGTGGTTCAATTTTCAAACACAACCAACTCCTGAGAGAAACTGCTAAAACTTTGCATTTTGGGCAGTCACTTATCTGAGGTTTGGCTGTAAATGGCTTTATTCTAGAATCATGACTGCTACATACTGAAATTACAAAACTGGTCTAGTTTTAGGTTTCAGATGTGCAGCCACCAAAAATTGATAATTGCAGGAGGACTACAGTACTATGGATTGTGGAAACAGCTGTTCAGTTTCATAGCTTGGAAATCCCTAAAAAAAATAGGGCTAAAAAGAGTCCTCTCCAGCTGTGCAAATTAACAAGATTTTCCTGTTGGGCAAGTACAGGTATACTTTTTTGGCATTCAGTGACCACAGGCAAGCAAAATGAGAGAAAGGCTTCAAAAAATCAAATTCAGGACTACAGAACAGGGTACCAATTCTATTTAGTTCTTGATATTTTAAGGTCAAGGTTAGCACTTACTTTCAACTATGAGAGACTGTGGTCTGCAGTCTGCAGCAAAAGCTTAATTTCGCACTTTATTAAATCCAAAAATTATGTAAAACGTGGTAGCACAGCGTGCCAAGAAAGTAGTGTCCAATAGCCCGGTGAGAATGGATTTTGCTTTCGGGCTAGTGATTTCTGTTTTTAACTTGCCTGATGGGCAAGTGATGATTTTTGAGGAATTCAAATTGAATTAGAGAAGAACTGTGAAATCAATTCTGCCTGTCAAAAAGCTTTTGGGGCTAGTTGAAATGATGTTTGGGCTAGTAAATCCTAGCTTCAGCTTTCCTGAATGGCAAGCTGTAAAAATGATTTTCTTTGCACCCTGTAGCAGTTCACTTTTTATTATGTTAGTCTCTTAGAAAATTCTGGGTTTATGAAAATTTTGGTCCAATCTCAAAATCTTGGAAGCATTTGTAGTAAGTCTCAAAGTCTTGAAACTTCTGTTTAGTCAGAAGTCTCTGATTTTTAGAACCAACTTATTCAAGACAATGGGAATGGCATACAGTGGAACTATTTTTTCAGATCCAGCAATATATATTTTGTGGTTTAATTTTATCCTGGGTTCAGTTTTTGTTTTTCCTCACCATCCATACCCATATCCTCAAATAGAGGAGAATAAAAGCTGAAAGAATGGCAAAATTAAACTACAACGTATATATTAATAAGCTAAAATGAAACGCGGTTGGTATACTTACTATATACACAATGCAATATAGTATCACAGTGATCCTGCAAATTAATGAAAAAGCCTGGATATCTGACCTATTGCCATCGATCCAATCTAGCATTAGGTTGAGACCACATTTATAGATCAAGCCGAAACATTCGATAAAGGACAAAGCACCATCACCACCATATGACTCAAGGATACTTGATATGATATGATTTACAGCTCCAGATTCATGTACACGTGGGATTTTGTTAAACCTCGACGTGCAGTCTTTAACTAGTCTACGAAATAAAAAAGCTGAGTAAGGAAATAATGTAAGCAAAATTAAACAGCAACTTACTTCTTGTCAAAGTAAAGGGCTACCAGATAATACAACTTTTCAAAATGCCTTTTGTTCCTCCACGATGACCAACTTCGTGTCGACACGGAAAAGATCGAAACAAGGTGTGTGGACTGGGACGGAACTTAATTCGCAAAGGATCGTGGTTATTAAAAGTATCTGAGTCATGTTTCAAGATGGCGTTATCTTCAAAAGTTCGACAACTTCTGATGGGCATGGGTGCCTATGCACAGACAACTAAAGGATTCGATCGAGTGGCGAAAGCCGTGAGTAGAAAATAGATGAAAGGCAATACCCCAAGCGGTGCTAAGCCTAATTATTCAAACTGACTGAATTATAGAAGTAGTTTACACTTCACCCGGTGCCTTTACATGGATCCGGAGGGAGGAGGGTAAAAGCTGTAAGCTCTCGCGAGGGTTTAATCTTCTCGTGGAGTTCATTTTCTTAGTATTCAGAGGGTCAACATTCAGTGGCATTTATCCCCAATAGCAACAAAGTCCGGGGGGGTAGGCACTCTTGGGGCCATTCGCCCCCCTCCCCCCCTGCCATTGACGAAATTTTCTGAAGAGGTAAACAAAAAATATTAAATGGAATTTCTGAAAGTTGTAGGACTGAAGACCAGATTTTCTGAAGGGAAGTAGCAAAGAAGCAAAAATTTTTCTTTTGGCATTTAGGCAAATTTTCTGAGGATTTTGGGGAAAAGAGAGCACTTTTCTGAGGGTTAGGAAATTTCAAAGTCCTTCGTCAACATGGAGGGGTGTATATTAAATGAAATCGCCCTTGGTTTAAACAGTCTAGCTGAACTACTAGACAATTTCGGTGACTGCAGTCATCGGTCTTTTGTAAGGCTATGCAAGTCAGTCAATAATTGTTGGCTGACCAATACACACTTTTGGGACATATTCTTTCACAACGTCCAGAGGCTAAGCAGTTTTCTTAATCCATGAGGCCATCCCCTTTTTTTTTCTTTTTACCGTCCTCTGACCGACTCAAATTTTGGGCATTTTCAAAAAAAAAGAAAAAGTAATGACGTAGTTAAACCTTTTCACTTTAACCCATTCGCCCCTGAACCGCCCGTAACCGCCCGTGCGGATCCAGGTCCTTTCTACCCTTTGTGACGTCATCAGTTTTAACGGTCAAGGACAACTTTCTTCGCACACGTGTGCGGAGTGAAGAGATCTTTCAAACCATACCAGAATGAGCACAATTCAGTCAAGGACACTGGAGAAAGAAGCAAAAAACCACGTGACAAGGACCTGAAAATCTCCATGAAAATCTTGTACCATTACCCACCTACCTTTCCTTTCACCTAATCCTAAGATCCTAAAAGCTTTCCTAAAAACTCTTCCCACCAAAATGAAGCCTACTAAATGCCCAGCAAGAGAAAAAAAAAATGAGGCAAGAAAAGCGAAAAAATAAGGGAGGAGAGAAAGCGAAAAGTCAAAGTCAAGACTGCTGTGTCACTTTTAAACCCAAAAACTATGTCGAAATTTTGCTTTCTGCGCATGCCCGAACTTCGCAAGCTGATATTTTGCATCTGGATCAGAAGGCCGCCAAGTGTACAACCTGTAAACCGGTTTGT